ATATACATGTTTTCTCAAAGTTATTTCACTTTTTTTTTTACCTGGAAATAGGTTTTAAATCTCCCAATCTTGCTCCTGCTTGAATTCTGTTTCTTAAACACTGTTTGCCGTGGTATGTAATGTAAAATTTAATAGCTTAATGAATTGTTGACTTGATGTTGCTGGATGATATACAAATGTTGAGCCTATGACTGCCGCTCCAGATATTTAGGATGTCTTTATGTAGAGGGCAAGACAAATTTTCTTCCCACCAGCTTTTCTTTCAAGAACCAAAACTAAATGTGAATAAGAACTGAACATTTTAAAGAACTGTTATGAATGTTAAATTCTTAACATAAGACTGTTAGACTTTAAAGTATTGTTTTATATATCATTTAGATATCAGTTCAATATTGATTGAGCTATACCCATGAAGTTGACCAGACTTACAGCTACTTTATCTAGATGGAGACTGATGACTGCAATTGAAATCACCCTCAATAACCCTAGAGTACTTGGGGTTAGCTGGCCCATGTTTATACATAGACCAGTGAATAAAATGTGGTGAAAGCAAACAAAAATAACCCAGTCTTGCTGTGAGTCACACAACATGTTGTACACTTGATCAACTGGTTCTTAATTAACAAACCGTAAAAAAAAATTCATGTAGATTTTTGAATCGTGAACTGTGCATTAATCCTGTCGAAATGTTTTGAACCCACAAGCTTAAAGGAATTGGTTACATGGACATAGTCACAAGGTTTTCAGTGTCTGATGGCATTTCATATTTGAAATTGAAAAAAAAAGGAGATTAAATCTCCGACAAATTTTTATAGTAAACAAGTTTTTTATTGTATGAGTTGGTGCTGTATGTAGCACATTCAGTATATATAATTACATTTCATGAATTTTATTCCATGAATTTAATTAAAAACAAAAAGCTTTTCAGAAGAGTTTGATTGCTATTTTATGCCTTTGGATCTTTATGCCATCAAGTACACTTTGATCAATTAGGCCACCTGTTATGAATTTATACATGTGTGTTTGCCTCCTCCTTGCAAACAAAATCTGTTCCTTGCTTCAGTTACTGCAGTTAATGAAGTGAGTTTCACAGCTTCACAAAGTGTACATGTTGATCCGGCAAAACTGACTCGCACAAAATAATTACTTCAACAACTTTGTCCACATGTGCATATCATGAGTATGTATTATTCTTTATTAGTCATAGAGAGAAATAAAAGTTGATTCCAGATGTTTGTCACATTGCTCTTCTGTGATATGTAATTCTAATTACTTTCTGGGATCTGGCCATGATAATATTTGATTTAAACTTCTAACTTCAAAATGGGGGGTTGCCAATGTTAATTTAAGGAAAAATGCAGATTGATTCATTTCGTTTCATTCAAAACTGTTTTCTTAAAGAATTAGATGTTTTGCACAATGTAAGATATGTTTATAGTGATTTTTGTTTGTTGTCATACATCTGTTGTCAACCAACTATTGAAATTTTAGATTCTTCTCCAAAATGTCTGAACCAATTTTAATGAAATTTTGTAGAAACCTTTCAGAGCCAAAGGTGAACCCAAATTGTGAATTTTTATAGTCCCCTACCCCAAGGGTGCCACCATACTTTGTCTGTTTCTGTGCATAAAATTTTACTTTAAATGCTTGGACAGATTTCAACCAAATTTTGTCTAAAACATTAATTGGACAGGACAATCATAGCTTATATAAATGGAGTTGATTCAACCTGTGGGACTTTGGATGGGGCCCAAAAGGGAAAATTGTTAAATTTTACTTTAAAATGCTGTTCCTCCTTAATACCTGAGTGGATTTCAATCTAATTTGGTGTGCAACATCACTTTGAGAGGGTACTTTAAAGTTTCATAAATGAAATTGATTTAACCCTTGGGAACTTGGGAATTCACCTAAAATTTTGCTTTAAAACACTACTTCTCCTTAATACCCATGTGGATTTAAACCAGATTTATTCTGAAACATCACTTGGGGAGGACAATCATAATTTGTATAGATGAAGTTTATTCAACCCCTGGGGACTTTGGAGCTTGGACCTAAATAGAAATTTTTTCAGTCTATATTTCAAAATGCCTTCATAAAGCCTGGATGGGTTTATCACTGGGGTATGGCAATCCTGATTTTTAAAATTGAAATATTGCAGCCCCTTGGGTTGAAGGGATGTAGCCCATAAGAGGACATAGGGGAATTTGGCTTTAATTTTTTTCTTCTCTCATATGCTTGAACAGATTTACCAAAATTTGTCCTGAAAAATTATTTAGGATGAGGAATTGTAATTTAACTGAATGTGTTGCCATAGTGCCAAGGGGTGAGACCCATTAGAGGAAATTGGTGAATAAGCATTAAAAATCTTCTCCTCTAATAATAAACCAGCCTAATTTGTATAAAATGAAGGTATTGGTTGGGATTCCTAGGGGCCAAGGGGTGAGGCTCCTTATGGAAAATTGGGGAATTAGGCTTTGAAGTCCTCTGATCTGCCTGGACAGTTTTCAACCAAATTTAGCTTGAAGCATTAGGTGGGAGGGGGGGGGGGCAATTATTTCCCCAAAGATTTCTGGATTGTTCAAGCTCATTATTATCATTTTCTATTTGATGTTTTGTGGAGAGCACCTATGTTTCTGAGTTGGTCAGCTGACAGTTAAGTCCCATGGGACTCCTATTTGAAGAGGGTTGAAGTCCATTATGGGAAATGGGGAAATGAGGCTTTAGAATTTCCTCAGATATGCATGAATAGATTTTCATCCAAATTTGGCCTGAAACATCATGGGGTGGAAGGGGGGAGAGGGGGGAAGGAGAGGGTAATAATTTCCCATAGATTGCTGGATTATTCAATTTTATTATCTTTTTCCCATTGGATATTTTGTGAAGAGCACCTATGTTCTCTGTGTATTTTGTTCAGATGACCATTAAGGCCCAGGGGCCTCTTGTTTGAATATGTGCTGGTGCATAAAAGACCTCTGCATTTAAAGAAACCTGATACCTGATAAAATGTCAAGATACACTTAATGTGTGTACATACATGTAGAGATAGAAACTTCCTTTAAGTCATAATGTTTATACTTATTTCCAAATTTATATTCCAGAAGCAATATTATTGTTTGCAGATGTACATATTGTGTGCTACATGCTTGTATATAGAAAATAAATGAGGTGGAGGCATTTGTATTTAATAGCTTTACCAGACAAACTGGAAACAAGAGATTTATTTGTAACATAATCATTAACTGAACATGAAATGTATAAAACATCATTTTTGTAGGTTGGCTTGTTAACCAGAGTTGCACATTTTGAGGATTTATGAGCTCCAGAGGAAGAAGATATAGCTCTGGTTTTGAAAGCACATTGGTCGGAGGAATTTTTTAGTCATTAATACTCGTGGAGAAGTACACCAGATCTCCCACAAGCCATGTGTCTGCCCCAACACAGTATCACTTCAGCCAACTTACCACAACCCATACAATGTTTTCTCTTAAATTGGATTTTTTAGATAAAAAAAAATGCCTTTCTTGAAGTGAAAACATTTTTTTCTTTGTGGTAAATTTACAACAAATGCTGGGAAAATATTTCTGAATTATTCTTGCTTTATCACAGATCTACTGTAAATGATGAGGATGGGAAGTATTATATTTTGTACAAGGTCATTAGCAGATAAAACAAAAATAAACTTTTCTAGTCCAGTCAATAATTTCATACTTTAAAGTATTTCCATTCCTTACATTAATGGTAAAACTTTCACATAGTCTTATTGCAGTTCATATTATTGCAGAACTTTAAAGATTCAGTACCCAGGAATAATAGCTGTTCATGTTGAAAAGTCTGCATGTGTGATAAAGGAAAAAGAAGACATCTGACATGTTTCATTTTCAGGAAGTCTGTTCTGTTATGGAAATTATAGAATGTCAGATTGTCATTTGAAAGTATTTACTATACAACATTTGTATCTTGTTTATAAAAGTAAATTAGGATGTAAAATAAAGAAGACCTAAAATATGAATATATTGTAAAAAAAATTGTAAAATAATCAACAAGTTTTAGCAGATAAGGCATTAATGACTTTGTTTCTTTTGTTCCAATGAAATAATATAGATATTCTACTATCAGAGGTAAAGATTTAAACTTACAATATTTAAATAGGAAGTTTACATCTATCACTGCTGCTACAGTATATAGTTTCCTGCTGGGTTTGAGATAGGAGATGCTTCATTCAACATCCTTATCTGTAGTGGGACATTTGATGCTGTAAATTTAAGATGAATCCCTTGCTGCAATCTTGTCCTGTACTAGAGAGGTTTTAAAGCTTTAAGTATGTAAACATATGTTAACATTAGGGTGTATCAATTGTGAGCATTACGGCAAATTAGATGAAAAAGTTGTGAGAGAGTCTCATACTCCCACAGTTGTAGAGGTTAGGCTAGGGGAGCTCTGCAGCCTGTCTGTTCTATACATTGCTATGGGCGCACAGGCCTACTACAATTTGTGACTCACAATTCTCTATACATAACTTCTTTGTTAGGAATATTACTATAAAAAGGAAAGTTTGGAGATCCTCACATCTGCAGGAGAGGTCACATCCTGACCTGCCTGTGAAGATTTTGTGAGACGACAACAAATCTTTCCTTGTTGATTTGTTATTTGTGTTTTATGAAGCCTTTTCTGGAAAAATCTGGATAAAAAAATCTTGGAGATTGTCAATACGTGGGAATATTGCTGGTTTCTTTTGTATACAATGTGACTTGAGAAAAAGTTTAAATGCTGAAATGTCATGGAACTGATAATATCAACAGATTGTATCTGTCTTCATTCATAAACTGTGAGGATCTTTTTATATTTCAAGTACCTACAAAAAAAAAGAGTAAAAACCAACATTTACGGAAAACGGTGTCGTAAATATTCCAGTGAGCATTTCTGTGATTTCTCTATATGAACATGAGTGTCTTAAAGTGCTGTAAGTGTTGGATGCATTTATTTACAATTCTGTCTCTCAGTTTTGTACATTTTGTGACTGCCCAGCCAGTGACAAGAGGACAGGTACCAAGTGGTGCAGCTTCACTGGCCTTTGTCTTTGATATCACAGGGTCCATGTACGATGACCTGGTGCAAGTTATTGTTGGTGCTAAAAACATCCTTGAAAAGACCCAGGAGCGAAGAGAAAAGCCTTTATATGACTATGTCCTAGTACCATTTCATGACCCACGTAAGTATTATAATCATTTTTCTTTTCTGAATCATTCCATTTTTATTTGTTCTGTACATTAATATTGATAAAGAAGATATCAACACAAATTTGAATGATTGGTTAAAAATCAAGGTCTTTGTTACAGAAAATATGTATATGCTGCCTTTGGTATGTACATTGAAGTGTTAACAACACTGAATATTTTTGTGAGTGGACAAATTCTGAGGTCATTGTACAATGTAACATGTAATAAATGTTGTTTCATCATTCAAGCAGCTGTTTTTCTATAACATGGTGGCCTCACCATGTTAATTAAGGTTTGTGTAGTATTACCTATGAATGTCACATCCCGTTCTTAATCATTATTATATCTTGAGAATCTATAATTGACAGGTTCATTTATATTGCTCTTAGTATCTCAACATCATGTTTCAACCTAATCATATGAAGGTGATTAACAGTCAAGGTTTAAAGGGTCAAAGGTTACATTTGACAACTGCATATTTGTCAATAATAGTTATATTTGGGAGCAGGTGCACTTATGTCCTACTTATGTCTTTTTTTTTATGATTTCAAAGACATGCAATAGAAACATTAGAATAGACACAATTACATGTATGTGAAGGTCAGGACTACTTATACTTGAACATTGCTGTGCCCTCACACACCTGATGATAGATCTAGTCTCCACAAAATCTTCAGGTCATTGTTACAAAGTTGCATATACATGTGTCTACTTAAAAACTCTTTGCAATTGTTAGCATGATTGTTTTAAGTCATAGTCATACCTTGGACGTGTTTGAATATAAACATTGTCATCATATATCAGTATTACTTCATGGAAATAAAATTTCACTGTTGAGCAAGAGTGTTAGAGGGCTTAGAGACCCTGGTCACATTTTGAAGTTAGGTAAGTGGAAGTGAAAATGAATTAGAAGGTTATTGTTGGAGTGATTTTGATCCCTACATATAATATATATACATATACGAGTATGTACTATACAATACACCTGAAGCCAAATGAAAACTTTTAAAGATCAAATCAAATGTCAACTGATTTAATGTCAATCTTTAAAAAAAAACAATCAGGCAAACTTTCAATTTGTTATGGCTGTTATGAGTAACAGCATTTGAGTAGTAGTTTTTAAACATGACTTGAGACCAAGATAATGTTTAGAAAACATCTATGTTGTTAAGAACTGAATCTTCATGTTAATCATGCTTGGTTCCCGATAAGTGTATCCATTCTGCAATAGGATCTCTCTCTAAATTGTTGCAAGCCTTAGGGTTATAGGTTGATTGTGCTAACTCATGTTGACGGGATACAGTTGTTTAACACCACTTCAGACGCTAAATCTCTTTGAGGATTTCTTTCTAGTTCCCTGTAATCAAGTCTGGTGATGTTATGTATTGGATGTAAATTTAGATGGTGGAACATGATATTGGTGCATCTTGAATGTGAATGTTATTTTTATTTTTTCTCATTATTTTTTTTTCTTTTATGAACTAAATTTGAGTTTGAAGATAATGTGGGAAAATTTGAGAAAACATGAAAGATGTCATGTCTTTCCAAGTGTTATCACTGTTGTTACCAATACCTTGTTCATACTTACTCTACATAAATTTATGTAAGGCATACACAGTACAGCTCTGATAAACTTTTCAGCAAAATTCTGAAAATGCTAGACTTTGTAATAATGTTTCTTGTACTCATATAAATGGTAATAGACTAAAACATTGTGATAACAAGGTTCAATTTAAGGTGGTAGAAAAGGATCGCACCATTGGTCATAGTTAAACAGGAGAAAAATCTAGTAAGACTAAAGCACAAAAAAATTCTCCTACTTTACATATAATGGATTTTGATCTTGGACATAAAGTGCTTAAATTAGTGCTGGTTTGGAGCACCAATATTTTGTAACATCCCTTGGTTTACATGTAGATATGCTTGACCTGAAACAACCTGATATAGCTTATATCAATAAGTCACATGAACACATTGGGTCGGATGAAATCATGTACATTGTATTGCCTTCCACCATGAAAAGTCTTTTGTTGCACAGCTTACCATAAACCATGAATTCAACATACTGTATACCAAGATATTTTGGTCATTATATTAAAGAAATATATAAATGGAACAAATTTTCACCCCATCGTCACTTTGTCCTCCCAGTTCTTGTACAGAAAAGGGAAAAAAACCTATGGGTTGAAAATTTCATGGTAGATAGTAATATCTTTCAACACAACTTATCTGCCTGTTTGCTGTATTGGTAATGTGAATAGATATGAATAAATTTAACTATGAGTCTGTGTAGAATTTGACAGATATGGGGTAGGGATACATAGTACCTGAACAGCTGATGCTGTCAGAAGTGTGCTATCTCAACACTTTTTTACACACTTTATTTTTCCATGCCAAAAAAAATGTTTTAGAAGGTAGTTAAATAAAGAAAAAAGAAAAATAAAAGATGGAGTAAATGTTATATGTATGTGGACCTGAAACCATGTGTGATGCATATAAACATATGTAAATTCTGATGAATGATACAAGTTGTACTGGTGTCTGAATAATAAATTGTTTGTGCTAGTCATGTCACTGAAAACTGATTAAACTATTACCTATTTAAAAACTAAAAAATAATTATTTTTGATTTCAAGCAGAAATACTTGTATTTATTTTGGTTTAATTTTAGTACCTTGATTTCAAAATAGTTTTTGACCGTGCAAGAGAGTCAAAGTTGGAAAGCTAAAATTGAGAAATGAAAAATTTCATCACCTGGTATTTCACATGTATGATGGAGTAGATATTTCAGTTTCTTTTGTGAAGAGTAATAAGTTAATAATTATGACTTCATTAACATTGAAATAAGATATCTGACTAGGGATATGATTTCTTTTGTTGATTTTCACAGAGGTTGGCCCAGTACTGGTCACCACCAACCCAGAGTATTTCAAGGAAACGCTCAAGGACCTCTATGTCCAAGGTGGTGGTGACTGTCCAGAGATGTCCATCACAGCCATCAGTGAAGCCCTTGATGTATCCCTGCCCAACTCCTTCATCTATGTCTTTACTGATGCTAGGGCACGCGACTACAACCTCACTGATATTGTACTGGCACAAATACAAGAAAAACAATCTCAGGTATGTTGTCTCCTTAGAAATTTTCCTGATAACTTTTGTAAGTTGATATATGACTTTGATAAAACAAAGAACATGCTTGGTACCACATTATACATGTAGTTGTAAAATGTTTCAAATTTCAAAGTTTGAAATGGCCAAGAACATGCACATCATGTACACCATCATTCTTTTTGGTTTTATTTATTTAAGATTTCTGACACATTTTAAACTTACCATTTCTTGGGGAGTTGGTTGTTTATAGGGGTCAGGGACTACCAAAAATATGCAGGTCAACGTTTAACAAGACTGTCTATTTACATATTACATCTGGACAAGTGTTGTATCTGACAGTAGCTGACAATGTATTACTTATGTGGCACTTTGTTTTCTGACATCCAAAAAGTTTAAGAAAAACAACAAAGAAAATACTGACATACAGAATCTTAATTAAAACTCAGATTGATGAAACTAGGGCAAAATATGAAAGAAAGATTTATATGGAGACTCTAGAAAAAGTACATGGAGAAAAAGACCATTTGTATTGGAATGGTAAGCATCTTCTGCTTCATCAGTAACACATGCATGTTAATCTTGGTCAGTCTAAGTAAGTAATGTCATGTTCTCAAATGAGAACAAGGTAAACAACAATAGAACCACCAAGCAAACTTAAAAGCATATAAGGCATCCAACTAACATGGTATCTATAGTCATGGATCATAAAGGTTAACATTATCATAGGCATAAAGATTATTTTCCAGAAAAAAAATTAAAAAGGAAGTATTAGATTTTTATGATGCATGTCTCTAGTTAAATACCTTGTCCAAGTTTGAACCTTGTCCAAGTTTGTGTATGAAGATGCTGTAATCTGATTGGTTGGTGGTTTTAGATGGTGACAGTAGAGGGTATATACTGGGGATAAGAGTCTCATTCCTTTCCAAGACAAATTAAAAACAAGATCCCTGTAAACTTGATGTTTACTGCTCTGCCAACATTCAATAGTAATTTCATAAGTGGATAGCAACAAGTATCACATTTTTCTTTTTTTGAATGATAGAAGGTTATAGATTTGCTTTTAGTCAATTAGTTATTGTGAACGTGGCTTTCATATATCATTAAATGTTGTAAGAATGTACATTTAACTATCATATTATCTGCAAATAAAACCCTGCCTGCAAATAATTATGTTTCTTCATTTTTTGCAGTTTCATGAATTTAAAAATAGTAAGTTAAAAGTAGTAGGGGCATTCATTTTCTTTATTTTTCTAGCTTTTTGAAAATGGAAAACATTTGTCTAGTCATAACTGCTAATATGAGAATTAATACCATTCACTTTGATAATAAAGTTGTCGTCATAAGCATATATTGACTTGTGCAGAGTAATGAAACCTTTGAGTTTGGTCATTGACACAATAACCATGGTGAGTTGTATACAGTGTTTAAGTCAGGTTCCTGTGTTAGTTTTGAGGGAATCTAGGGAATTTTGTGCCTGATATCTGAAAGGTTGTGTTTGACTTGCTAAGTTTGGTTGGGTGATGTATCTAAGCTCAATTAAGGTGAAATGAAGCTTGAAACCTTCGCCTTCAGAGCTGATGACTTCTGAAGGTCACTTACATACAGATGTCTACAGGTCAGTGCTGTGAATCTGGTATACTAATCAATGAAACATGACAGAAATAGCTGCTCAACTTCAGTAATATGATTTTATAACAGAGGTATTGACACTGTAATTAGGGAAAATGTTCATATATTTCCTGTTGATAAAGACTTGAGTTACCACTCTTGGAATTTATTTTAAAATCGTCCATATCTTTAAAAAAACTCTCACCGGGGCTAGTATTTATTACACACGTCTCTTTAATTCAGAACTAGAAGAAAAGATAAATCTGATATTGCAGTTTTATGAACATGTTAGTAGTTATAGATATGGACACATTTATAAATTCATTTTTTTCATTTTGGTAAGTTCAAGAGAAATCGATACCTCAGTTTGCACAGCTCAGTATTTTGTGAAGATTTAGTATTTTCTATAAAGCACCTTATTATTCTTTGTGCATTAGACATGTCTCTTATAGTCTATGTATCAAACCAATAGTTTTTTTGTTTTATGTGTGTTTAGGGTTTATATGTCCTTGAAGTGCCATGGTCATATAAAGACTCCACCTGCAAAAATGTGAATTGTGTTCTATCCTAAGTGAAATTAGTGTTTCCTGAAAAAGGATGGTTTCAAAGTCAATTATGACAGTAACAAAAGCTTATGAAATGAATATAATGAAGTTCTTTGACATAATTACCTCTGCTTGGAATATGATGCCATCTTATTAATTATTTACTGGTTATAATATTGAATGAATGTCAAGCTCCTCAGCTGAGAACCTTCATTTTTGAATGATGATATGGTGGAATGCGGTTGATATCATGTTCCATTTATCATGGTTAAATGTGATAATAAGAGAAATGTGACATTAACTGTTAACATCAATATGCGGAAGTTAACTTTCTTTCGTGCCAAACTGACTTGTTTCTAATAGAATTTGTTTGAAGACAATAAGAACAGTGAATTTTTTTAACTTTAGTTTGTTTATTCCTTGAAATACCATATTTACTATCATAAATTATCATAAACAATCATGTTGTATTTTTCACAGTTTACACATGGTCAAATTTGTACATGACACTACAGTGTCATCAGCTGATATTTTGCTGAATTATCCATTCATCCATTACTGTTTATCTCTGCGACTTCAGTAAAACGTATCTGAAGATTGCTCGTCACAGTGGTTATTTTTAATGGCCAATCAGATGTCGTGAAACACAGCATAGGGAAAATCTGATTTTAGAACATATTAGTCACCTTCCTAATGCTCACAGCAATTTAAGCAATAAATGATTTGAAGAGATTAAAACGTCAATGTTCTGATATTATGACCAATTGGATTTTCAATTTTCATTCCGCAAAATGTTACCGGTAATTAACCTGAACAAGAAAAGTGATTATGATATCAGCAGAGACATAAGCTTTTCGGGGCACATGTGATAATATTCTATGTTCAATTAGGCCTCATCCTGACTTCATTTTGTGTAACTTGAAGTTCAAATCAATTATTTTAGCATCTTAAGCTTTGCATTGAGATATGTTCTTGTAAACTTAAAGATGGCAACATTCATAATGACCACATGACATGCCACAGTTTGGTGTTCCATGTCATGGGTTTTTGTAAAAGAATCAAAACAAATACGATTTATCATCAATCATTGTTCATGGCTGATGATTTTCTGAAAATTCTTTCTCAAAACAATCTTTTTTGTTTTCAAAATTGATCCTGGTATGCATACTACAAACTCATTTTGAAGACGTTTCAACAGCATGTCTGAGAAGTAGGGAAAATTAAAGGTATGGCGCCCACTCCAACATTGGTTACAATGTGACATGTTCCAAGTAACAAGGGTTTAAACTCATTTTAGCATTAGGAATTCTCAAGCCAATTAAAAAAACAAATGCACTAGGCTTCCCTAACCTAGTTGGATATTACAGGTAATCAGGTTGATCAATTGTTCCTGAGTCGCAAGGTGTACAAAAGTTGGCCAGGAGGGCAGTGACGATATTTACATAACACGGCCAGGTGTGAGGTATGGCCCTTCAGGCATGAATCCATAGTTCCTGTCCTCATTTACCTGTGATTTACCTGTGGTTTTGGTGATAGTCATCAAAATGAAGTGATATTAAGCATTGCCCACATGAAAATAAGTGACATTAACGGATGTTGGATTACTTAGAATATCAGTGTTTAAAGAAATCATGATATTAAGTGGAAAGTGACATTAACAGATATAAAATTCAGGGGTGTAATGATGTATTGAACATCCTTGATGAAGTAAGGAGTAAAGGGTATTGAAATTCCAGTTGACTACATATCTTGATGCAACCAACTGTCTTGTTCCATTGACCTAATGTTTACAACACCTAGACAATTTTACTGTACAGCATGGTCTCATGGTTGTATAGTCGATTGTGATAAAAATTGGGCTGAAAAAGCTGTAGTAAACTTTTAGAGTAAACAGCAGTCATTTCAAAATATTAATAAATGTTTTAGGATACTGTATGTTTGGTAATATTAGTGGGGGAATTTAATTATGATAAATGTGCTAAATTTGTAGTCAGTAAAGATAGCATGAAATTATATGCACAAGAATTATTTTAAACGAATCAAAACCTCAGAAAAAGGTATATTATTTGCCTATATGCCTACCCATGAACTTCTATAGCACATTGGCTCAGGACAAGACTTCAAAATATAAGTCCCATAAAATAACCACACAGTATGCAACTTTTAAATGTTTGTAGTGTCCAATAAGATGTTGATAATCAATGTAAACAGTGCCCCACCCACCTAAACAGTGTCCAAAAGAGAAGGAAATGAAGTCTGTAAAATTGAACTGTATAATCTCTTTGCTCACTATATGAGAGAAGAGATTTAATCTGGAATAATTCTTGAATGAATGGAACTCAGATGGTTGGAATAAGGCCTCCATGGGAACAGAGAGCAAGGCTGAATAAAGGACTATTAAAGTCCCTAAATCTAGCCTCCTTAGAAATATAGAGAGTTAGAAAAAAACATTACTGGTAAATAGAGGGTTGATAACATCCTCTATCCTTCAGAAAAACATGCAATGTTTGTTAGTGAAATTGAGTTATTTTTAAATTAAATGTCATTAAAAAGTATCAAGTCTATTCAACTGTTGTGACATCCAGTCCACTGAGGTATGGTAAAACTTGGCTGTTCTTGTTTATTTCGTGTTTTAGATATTTCTAATGAGGAAACCATACTAGCTGTTGTACTTCTACAAATCATGGATAGATGACCTCGGATCTCTAAATAGACATTTGTAATTTGAATAGGCGGGATGGTTATCACAGTTCAAAGATTATACTGAACAAGACTAGGGCATGTGGTTAGAACCACATAAAGCTACACATATTTTGGACAAATTGACGCTAGATGTGTTTATTTTCCTTCCAATGTCTCCACAGACTTTGGTCTGATTTGATTATGTAATGCATGTATGGGATTTCATTCACAGTTCAGTTGTAGTTTTAAAAGATCATTGTGAAATAAACAAAAGCTTGCTAAAGTGGTGTTATGCCAATATTCATAAAATGCAGACGTTGACATTTTTTGTGCAAGACTGAATACATAAATCTTGCAGAGTCAGTTAACTTTCAGGAATTAGGGATGTAAAAGCTCGCTAGTGTTATCAATTCAGTAATATTTGTTTCTGGTATTGTGACCACCCATGGCTTAGCGAAATGCGTTCCAGATTTCGGTAATGAAACTCTAACTGCTTGCTGGCCATATTACGTTAACTGTTTTTCAAGTTTTAAAGACAATTACTGAACAAAGAGTAGACCAATGAATGTAATTTAAATCATTAGCATTAAAAAACACTTGGCTGTAAGATTAATGTAATTTGTACATTTGCTCAGATAGTGCAAAGTGCGTGTTGCCCCCACTCCCCTTCATCTACCTAACCTCTGTCATTAATCAAGTCATGCTTGATACACAATTTATTTCCCTGTCTAAATGATTGGGGCATATTCTTATTATTATGTATTCAATATCTTCTCAAATTTAATCAAGAAAAAATAAAAGAAAAATCTTTAGAAAGTACAAGAAAACCCTTTTGTTTCATTGTATAACTATAAAATATATTTATATTACATTGCTAAATAGAAATTCATGCCCTAGCTGTTTTTACATTTTACCATGCCCATCTGTCCCATTCTTTCAGATCAATGTCATATCTTTAGAACCTCTCATCCGATTTGTGCACCTTAACATATTAAGGTAGTCGTGAGTCAAGGTTAACGATTCAAAGGTTGAATAAACCAGCATCTACAAATTCATTGATTGATGATACTGATATGCATGGGAAAGTAAGCATTTATGTTTTACAGACATTTCCTAACTTTTTGTTTTTTTTATTTCTTATTAGTGAGGAAAATGATATTTCAACGTAGTGGACATGGATTGTCATTTTACACTTGTAATGTAGATAATCTGTGCAGTTTGACCTAAAAATGACTTTGTTTACAGGTTGTATTTGTTTTGACTGGTGACTGTGGGGATCCTACACATGAGGGCTACAAAGCTTATGAGAAGATTGCCTCTACCAGCTCTGGACAGGTCTTCCTGCTTCGTAAAAACCAAGTCAACCAGGTGAGTATTCCTACTTTTGGCTGCAAAAAATCCTCAAAACTTGATGTTATTCTTGTTGCAAGTTTATGATGTAATATTGCAGTTATGGTATCCACTACACAGTAAAACACAGAGAAGTTGAAGTTGAATCAGCCATATTTAATTTTCAAGATCAAGAAGAGAAAAATCAAGGATTGAAAAAAACATCTGATGTATTCAATTCAAGCATGTTCTATACAGTGAGTTTAACTGAAGTTCTGGCTGCAACATGTTGCAGAAGATAGGTTGATCTTCACACCAATGTTGTAATGATTAATTTGCAATATACAAATTTTTTGTTCAAATCAATACACTTACAGAGGGACTAGTTAAGAGTTTAAAATTGGAAAATTATTTTATTATATCTGTTAATTAACTGCATGCAATTGGGTAGCATGACTTGTGGGACATGTAATTGTCACCTGATTGTATTGACACTTATAGGAGCCAGGTAACTTTGAAAAAGTTTCGGAAAGTGGTCTTTTTTGGTTTTTGGGGACACAAATGATGTTGATAATCACGTCAGATAGAGGGTTACTTAACTTAAGCCATCTGTATAATAATTTACATTGATAGAAAAAATTACTGTCACTTATGATAGGAAGTCGCTTTATTTAGGTGATCGCTAAGGTAGGTTTGACTGCATTTAGTTGATAGATTCCTGACATTAAAGCGGGAAAAAAAAGGTTGACTATATTCAAAGTCTGAGGGGTCAAATTTGTCCTCCAGAAAATAATTCATTAGTTTTATTTAAATAATAATTAACCTTAGAGATGAGTGAAAAAACAACTTAATGCAAATTGTAGTTTTTTTATGTTGGTTTAAATGAGTAAGTTGTATATAGCCACATTGAATGAGTTGGAAACATTGAATACTAGGTAAGCTTTGTATGTGCATTTGGCCTTTTTTTTTGGGTGGGGGGGGGGGTTGGTGTTGGTGTTGGGGGTTACTACTTTTGGGGTTTGGTCATCTCCTACTCTCTTACACTACTCTTCACTGGAACTTCATACTTTGGGTACAGGTTTGCCTTGATGAGGCAGTGTGTAATTTATCAAATATAGGTCGCTCTGTCCAACATTTTGAACTTTGAACTACAGCAGAAAAATGCTTGTTTTGCATATTATAATTTCACAAAAAGTTTGTTTAGCACATGATTTCAGATTGAATAAATGACTGCAGTTTCCATAATTGTCTTGTTTCCTATCAAGCAATTTGATTGCATTTCAAAAAAATCTTTAAAATTAAGGATGCTGATTGAGCTAGACAAAGTGGTAGAGGAAAGGCCTTAGATTATGCATTGTAACATTTTATTGTAATTTCTCCTGAGTGAGTGGATAAAGTAAAATTTGAAGTTTCTTCGATATGCTCTGTTATCCTCTTAAACTTTTTAATATCATTGAACATGAGAAATGTTACAAATTATAAAAATTTACTATGTCAACAGTACTTTAAAAATGCTGACAAACTGAAGCAGGTCATTGACATTTGCCACCTACCATATGTTTGGTAATTTGTTCTCCGCAGGAATATATGGTTTATCTGTTAGCTGAAAGCCCTTGTTACCACTGACAGGAAGTGGCAGCTAATAGTGTTCCTCATATCGTGTAAAAGAATGTTATCATTATTACTGTTGATAACATTTCATGGCTTCTTGTGATAATCAAAATGCATTTACCATACAGATAGGTACTAGCAGCTAGGTTATCTTTTAGCTCAAGGAACCACCTGTTCAAACTGGAGTTGTAGCACACAAAATTATGCATGCTGATAATAAATGATGGGCTATATTTTCTGATTACCTGACTTATTTCAAATCATTTTTTGGAGCTATAAGCAGTGATATGAGTGGTCTACTTGAGAGTAAGAGGTTGTAAATCATAGGAAAAGTGGATAGAATATTATGTATATTCTGCACCAGCTGTATAAAATGTTTTATCAAACAAGTACCTGGCATGATTATTAAATTCACTCCAATCAGTTTCTGTCGTGAACTTGTGTGATTATTCAGAACTAATAGTTGTTGTGTGGCCTGCAAATGAAAGTGAAGCAGCAATTTCACTTTTAAAGTTTTGTGTATAAATCAGTTGCTTCAACTAAACTTCGTATATAGCTAAATTATATGGTAAACGCTTCAACATAACTATTAAAAAAAATGCCTTTCAGATTTTATGGTCCAGCTTATAAAATTGGAGATATATAAGCTGGAATTAAAGTTTTTGTGTTCAGTTTCTCATTAAGTACAAGTGCAATTCCAATCAAACCTGGAATATAGAATATATAAGTTACGTTGTAATATGGACAACAGGACCAAATAAATTTCAAGAATATTTTCTTCAAGGAAAATTTTGCTACAAAAATTTGAAAAGTTACAGCAAAGTGTTCATGACTTGTTCTATTCTCTACAGGCTTAGTTTATAACTATATTGAAATAACCACTGTAAGATAAAGTTTTCCTCTCCTTTCTCAGTAAGAGTGATACACCATGACATACATGTATAAGTGTTGTTCATCATTTTGGATTCTTGGATCCTAAAGTTCATGTAATTTAGGCATCAAATATGAAAAAACCAAGAAATTACATTAAGAAAACAATCTATATCCAGCTTTACATACCTAAAAACACCAGGTAAATGTTGGATTGATAATAGTCCTTCATAATATTGTAAAAGTGATGGATTTGGTATTTCAAAATTCATAGCAGTTTGTTTTAAAAAATGCAGGTTTTTGATCAGTTCCTTCTTAAGTAAACATTGTACTTTTAACATGCAACATTTCAGTGTCTTGTTTCAGTTTTGATGTATGAATATCCAATGAAGTTGTTGAGATCTAGAGTTGATAGTGAACGAAAGACAGATTTAGATATTTGGGTAATTTTAAATGAGTAACCTAAATGAAGACTTGCAAAACTGAAATACATTTGTTGAAGTATTCTAGGAGAGTGGGTTGATGGAGGGTTTTTGAGTAAAGTTTTAAAAACAAATCACAAAGCTAACAAAACAAGAATATTCCTCTAAACTGTTTGCATGTTATCTACTTTTCTCCCACCCAGTAACTTTCATATAATCTTCAACTTCTGAAACAAATTACATTTTCCATTGTCACAAAGTTTTACATGAAAATGAAGGTTTGCCTTTGGCCTCAATTAAGGTACAAGATGGCCATCGAAAGAAACGCAGAGCTCCAATCATACTTAGTGAACTGGCTCAGGTGTGTTCTGAAATACACGTGTCAGTAAGATATTCAAAACATTTTCTAAAGAGTTTGTTTTAGTTTCAAATTTTGCTCCAATATACATAGCCCTCCAAAAAATCCCTGACACATTATTTTGACATCTCTGTATATTTAAGAATCTTTTGACAATATTGAAAATGTCGTAATTTCCTAAAAAAAATAATTAATTTGTTAATGACAATTGTTTTTTTTTTTTTTTTCCAAAATAGCTGGTTAGATACTTTTGTGACATTTGACTAAATAAAAAATATGATAATGGTAAGGCTCTTCTTACCTTTTGATTCGACTATGCCCAGCTTGATTTTTTAGCTCACCTGGTCCAAAAGACCAGTGAACTTATGCCATGATTTGGTGTCGGTCGTCCATCTGGTGAAGGGGAATCAATCATGTATACACCTTAGGTCTCGGGCTCTGCTATGGGGACATAATAAAGGTAATAGTTAAAATTCTTCAAAATCCTACTTCTGAAGGAATGATTGGATTTTGCCCAAGTTTGGTCTGAAGCATTTTTGGGTTAAGAGGAATCAATTTTATGTTAACGGTAGGTGTTGGCCCGAGGAAATAGAGCAAATTCTCAAAAATCCTACTTATGTAGGGATGATTAGATTTTGCACAAATTTGATCAGAAGTATCCTTGGGGGAATAGGAACAAAGTTTGTATAATTATTGAGAGGTGGTGACCAAAAAGGGAAATTTTGCAAGTTCTTTAAAATCCTTCTCCTCCATTAGGAATTTATTTTGCCCAAATTTGGTCTGAAGCATCCTTGTGTAAAGCAAAATTAATAATGTATAAATAGTGGGTCTCTGCCTCCTGGGGCAAGAGAGGCAGGGCCTGAAGGGGAAATAGAGAAAATTCTTTAAAATACTACTCCTCCTGTAGGAATGATTTAATTTTGCCCAAATTTGGTCTGAAATATTCTTTTGTGAAGGGAAATAAGTATTGCATAAACTGTGAATTTTGCCACCTGGGGATTTTTAGGGGTGGGGCCAAAAAGGGAAAAAAAGAGCAAATACTTTAAAATCCTACTCCTCCTGTAGGAATGATTGGGTTTTGCCCAAATTAGGTCTGACACATCCTTGGGTGAAGAGAAATTAATTATGGCTAAAAAGTGGGTTTCAGCCCCCTGGGGAAGAGGGCCAGGGCCTAGAAGGGGAAGTAGAGAAAATTCTTTAAAATAATTCGTCCTCTGTAAGAATGACTAAATGTCGTCCCAATTAGGTCTGAAGCATACTTGGATGAAGGGTAATCAATTTGTATAGTTGATGGGTCTCAGTCCACTGGGGTGGGAGGGGCTGGACCCATTAGGGGAAATAGGGCAAATTCTTTAAAATTCTTCTTTTGTAGAAATATCAGGTTTCTCTCCAAATTTGGTCTGAAGCATACTTTGGTGATGGTGGGTCAAATTTGGTTTTGGTTCAATTTTCATGAATGGTGAATCTGACTTCTGTTTGACCACAAAGCTTAGATCCAACAGGGAAATTATTATCATTATCATATTTGAAATTCACTGTTAAATGACTGAATAACTGAATTAGCCAGATGGGCGATGTAGGCCCTTGGGCCCCTTGTTTACATTTCAGACCAAGCTGAAAAATGTCTTTAAAGGTTTCATCACATATATAAAAGGATGTTTCACATCTGTTTCAAAGGTGCTAAACTTTGTGAAGGTGGCAGTACAAGCTCGCAAGGTTAACTTGATGTCTGTAGATGTTCCTGAATCCTCATCTCAGATGTATGAACTGCCAATCGATTCCAAACTACAAGAGATCACAGTATCAGTAAGCGGAGAGACTCCAGACATAGAAATTCGGGGACCTGATGGTAGGTTGAACCTATTTGAAGAAGTATGACAAGTTTCTTAAACATTTATCCCATGCCCAACCACCCACACAACAGAATCTTGCATCTATTTTTTACATTAAAATTGCCTCCAATCCCATCAATATGAAACACTCCATGAATCCATCAAAGGAATGTTAGTAACTTTATATTGACTAGAATGATTGGAAAATGATTTTCTGAATGCATCATTACACGATTTATTCAGAAGATATTGAGTTGAAATTATGTGTTGTATGAGTAATCAAGATTCTCTAAACAAAGGTTCTTCAGAAAGGGAGGAAAAAATGAAATTTTCAAATAAGTATTCATGAAGTAAATGAAAATTCATAAGCACTATCTGTGTTTCTGTTTGCAGTTGTAGATATAAACAAGTTGCCCATGTGCATGGGTGCTCTCCGTCATTCTTTAACCAAGATGCGTGGGTAACAAGAAAATATTGTGTAAATTTTATATTTGGTGAGGGGCCTTGGTTTTACATATCTAGCTAGCCACATTTCATCCTGGTGAATTGGTTCTTTATACTTAACACACATGTTATACTGTGTACTACATGCACCCTCCATATAAAATTTAATTTGATACATAGAGATTGGTTATGGAATATACTAATTTACATTAATTGATTTTTTTCCTGTAATTAAATTGCTTTAAACTATATTTAATTCTCTTTGAATACTAAATTTCGTCTTTCTCTAAAAAACGTTCCAGTATTACATTTTCCTTTCCTATTGAGTATCAAATTAAAAAAGTAAGTTTCATGCCTAAAACTCTATTCAGTAGTATCATTTTGAATAATATTTACTGATTACATAACAACTGTTAGGTTAGAGGTATGTTAGAGGTGAAATGACAAGTCATTTATTACAGTTAGTGATAGATATATATTTTCAGGAGCTGTAATCAACAGCATGCCACACTTATTACCTATTTCTCCATACTTCCACATTCACCTATCCTTTCAGTTTCAGCCTGAGAGACGGGGCCAAATATGTAAAAAACAGAAAATGGGGTTATCTTCATAAATCTTTTCTCTGCTTCTACAAGTAGCAGGGAGAAATAGCACAATAAATTATAACCATCAGCCAGCCCTCTTTTGAATAATTGAAATGTATGGACCTGGGGTCAAGAGATCAAGCAGAAGGGCAAGATCAATATTGTATACATGAATGTTATGTAAATATGTATTTATAAATTTTAATCTTCAAAAGCATGGGGTTAATTTTGACAAAATTGGGAGATTGAACACACTAGGACATGGGGATCTGGACACTGGCCCTGGAGTCTGGCCCAACCCCAAGGGACTGAGTTTCAGGGTTATATCTTTGATATAGTTGCTATCCCCACCTCATAACCAAATATAGGAAATCAAATGATAAAACACAATTAGGAAGTAAGAATTGACCTTATGGTCTTCCTTCAACACTAAAAGACTTAATTCCCGCACAATAACTCTGAACAGCATGTATTCCATTGCTGGGTATCAAACACAATGGTGATCTAAAAATTGAGCCAGGTGCCTGATCTTGACCATGGAATGGGATTTAATTCTTTAGCCTTGTTGAACATAGATATAACTTTGAAAAATTTGAAATCCCAAAACTATAAACATGCAGTATTCAGTAAACGTACAGACTTAGTGGCAATCTTACTGTAGTTAGAGTTTTTGCACTGAAAGTATAATGCTAAATTATGATGGCATTAATTGTAGCTTATATATACTGCTTATTCAGTACTGCTTGTTTGCCAAAAAGTAATCATGAGTAAAGTATGTTTAAAATACCATTGCTGGGCATAAAGATCCAGGTAAGTGACACAGGCCAGGTGGACCTCTTGTCTATTGATCAAAATGCTGACATCTGAAAATTGGCACTTGAACGCAGTGAAGTGCTACAGGATAAGTGATGTTGAGGAAAAAAATGGTAGAGCAACGATAGAGACAGGTGCATAATGTTTCCTTTTTCATTTTGTTTTAAACTCACAAACCACCACATTGTCATCATCTCATTGTTAAATGTACCTGATAACCTGAGTAACTGATCAGATGATGAAAGACAATAATAAGTTTCAGACATTAGACTAGTAACAAGAAGATTAAATTTGGGGTATGTATCAGGTAGAGGAAAAATGAACCAGCAGTGTCTGCTTTTAGTCATTTAGCTTTTTATTCTCTAGTTCATATTTAAAAAGTCTTGTGAAAGAAAATGATGTCCATTAAGGAGTAAGGATTCTTTGAACACATAGCAGTATATTATATTTTATTTGTGTAGAGAATGCTTGTTAATATGAAGATTGGAAAGTCCTAGTGTCACAATATTTGGCCAAAGACCTGCTAGCATGGTGTGTTACAAAGATATCAGTAAGCAGTTATTAATCGTGACAGTCACACTTGCATTGGGCCTAAATGTATTAAAAGTTTTCAAACAGTTTCTTAATATAGAGATCTTTGATATGATTAGGCTTGGAACATTCTTATCTTGTAGTCTAGATTCAGTGTACTAACAAATTAGAATAAACTCTTAATTTCCTTACTGTCTTGATCCGAAACATTCAGCCTCTAGGTTGCTGGAATAATTTAATTGGTTCAACCATCTTGGCCGATTTAATAAACCTCAAGTCAGGTTTAAACATGAACAGAGCAAGAACATGTTATGTCTGTAATGCTCATATCATGTAATGTAGTGTTGGATTGCATGATATGAAGATTTACAAAATGAAATTGACATTGAACAAGCTTGAAGGTCACAGATTTGTGTTTGCTTGCTGCTTTGAAAAACAGGTAAGACGTGTATATATATATAAGCCCATTATGTCTTTGTAGAGGAATCCTTATGGTGGAGAAACCCCAACAATTTCTTTAACAACTAATTTTTTGCCAATTGTTATCACTTCTGAATTATATAAAAATATCAGAAAAGTTTCTTATCTATTTATGTAATGCTTGCTTAAGTATCATATATATATATATATATGGTATTTCATAACTATCATGGTGTGCAATTCATAGGTGTCTTCCAATCCAGATTTGAAATTTTAGGGGGAAAAAAGAAGTTAAGTTTCTGAAAGTAGGTCACAAGTTCTTTCAGTTCAATGTGATGTACTATTTTTTATTGTCAACAGATCGAAAGATGACAGTGTTTTCTGGCCTAAATGAATTACTGGATCTGAGGAATGCAAAGGTGCTGAATGTCAGGGCACCTTCTGCTGGGCAGTGGACACTTTCCATAAGAAGTAATAGTGCCCACACTATACGTGTCACAGGCCTCAGCACAACTGACTTTGTGTCAGGTTTTTCTCGCTTTCCTACAAACGAGCTCTCTGAAACTGACCTGCGACCTCTGGGAGGTTTGTGTTTGATAATCAGTAAAAGAAAAATTTGACTTTTTCAAACAAAATGTTTTTAACTTTCAAATAATCATAGTGTCTAATCCTTACCCATTATATATTAACACTATTTGCAGATGCTGGATATGTATCAATTTTTTAAAGTCTGTTACAGAATAAAGATTATACAGATGGCTTCAACTATACAAATTACTTCTACCCTACTTATTGTCGATTGAATGTACAGTTTTTAGATATCAAGATGATTGTATTTTAAATTTGTCTCCAATTTATTTAGGTGTTCCTACATTCATGGTTATCAATGCTAGTAATTTGGAAGCTCCTGGATATTTCAACAAACTTGAGCTGATAGATCTTCAGGGCAATGTCCTGAAAATACAGGACCTAGTACAGGATCAGGACAGACCATATATTTACACTCTAGCTGAGCCTATCCTGCCTCCAAAACAATTCTTCTATGTCAAAGTAAGTGTCTTACCTCCAAAAACAAAATTTAATAAGCTCAGATACCATAAAATGAGGAACAGCATTTGATATTATACCATCAAAAAAAAATTTCCCATAGTTTTATTTCAGATGAGTTTGGCAGAGTGTGTTATGTACAACTTGACACTAATCCTTGGCGGTATAGGAAGTGTACAACTTGATACTGACCCGTTGATGTATAGAATGTACACATCATGACACTAACCCTTTGAAGTATAGGATGTATACAACTTCAGACTAATCCTATGAAGTGTATACAGGATGTATACAACTTGAAACTAACCCATTGGCAGTATAGGATGTAATCAACATGACACTCATACTTTACAGTGTATACAGGATGTTAACAAGTTGACACCAACTTTCGGCAGTACAGCATGTATACAACTTGAAATTAACCCTTAACAGTGTATATAGGATGTATACAACATGACACTAACCCTTGGCAGTATAGGATTTAATCAACATGACACTCATCCTTTACAGTGTATACAGGATGTACACAACTTGACACCATTCGGCAGTACAGCATGTATACAACTTGACACTGACCCTTAGCACTATATACAAGATATATTCAACTTGACACTAACCCTTAGCACTGTATATAGAATAAATACATCTTTACACTTACCGTTAGCAATGTATATAATTAAATACAACTTGACACTGACCCTTAGCACTGTATATAGGATATATTCAACTTGACACTTACCTTTAGCAATGTATATAATTAAATACAACTTGACACTGACCCTTAGCACTGTATATAGGATATATTCAACTTGACACTAACCCTCAGCACGATATATAGGATATATCCAATTTGACAATAACTCTTTGTAGTATACCATTGGATAAGTTGTATACATAGAAAATACATGGTCATTGCCTTAAAATATGAGCTGTATTTTGGCGAGGGTGAAGAAAGATAAAAGTGGCAAGCCACTTTGTCTTTTTGTACCAAGCCAAAATGCAGCTTAAATTTTAAGACACTGACCATGTAAACTATTTATCCTGCAACATCGATTGAAAATCAGATTATCGAAACTTTATGCTGACGTTTGCCTGATGACGTATGCAAAAATAATTGCTCCACACAGAAATATAGTTCCAAACTTTAATGGATATAACAGCAACTTTATGAATTTTGATCAATCAACTTGTTCATTCCAACTTGTAAAGTTGATTATTTCAACAACTGCTTATATTTTTAATTGTAATATTTAAGTAAATTAAAACAGTGAATCTGTCAAATTAATGCACATGCCAAAATAAAGCTGTTTTCCGTTACTGCCGAAGACAGAAAAAGATATAAATTATTTATATAATTTCATCTTTACCATATATAACCTTATTTTCTCATTTACAGGTGAGCGGAATAGATGATAAAAGGAACCCAATTCAGCGCTTGACCCCAACTGCCATCAGTCCTGTTCCTCCCCCTCGTCCTAACGTGTACATGCCCCAAGTGACACGTGGCTTTTATGATGCAACTGCCTATATCACATGTTCAGTACAGAGTCCTATTCAGTATAATGTGCAGTGGAGCAGAGGAAATGAGCCTATTGGAAATCCCCTCTTTTACAGGTCAATTACCCTGTTCAAAACTGTCTCAAATAAAAGGCAAAACATTTTGGAAAGAGAAAACTTTGTCGCTTGAACCAACACTTAGACCTTCCTATTTTATTGTTCCATCGTCAAATGATAGCATGCATTCCCTAGTTATAACTTTAAAATACATAAGGAAAATATTGGCAACAACTGAAAGTGTTTTAAAGGTTTTTATCATTCTCATTTATAGGGAATCCAGTAATGTGGTGTTGGAGTTACCGTATGTGGATGGGACTTCTGAGGGGAGCTATACCTGTAATGCTACTAATCTTGCTGGTTGGAATGCAAGCACCACATACCTTGATGTCAGTGGTATGTTTCAATAGTGACATATGACAATAGAGATAAGTAAGGACAAATCTGAGAGATAAATAAGCAGAATAGAGAGGTAACTGTAGTGACAGATCAATACAAGTCGTTAGAGGTAAGCCTGTAGTGATTGGACTGAGAGATAACCCTATAGGAACATGACAGAGAGGTAACCCTATAGTATTTAGAGACAGGTCAGAGAGGTAACCCTACAGGGACATGTCAGAGAGGTAACTCTTTAGTATTTAGAGACAGGTCAGAGAGGTAACCCTAGAGGGACATGTCAGAGAGGTAACTCTATACTATTTAGAGACAGATCAGAGAGGTAACCCTATAGGAACATGTCAGAGAGGTTACTCTATAGTATTTAGAGACAGGTCAGAGAGGTAACCCTATAGGGACATGTCAGAGAGGTAACTCTATAGTATTTAGAGACAGGTCAGCGAGGTAACCCTTTAGGGACATGTCAGAGAGGTAACTCTATAGTATTTAGAGACAGGTCAGAGAGGTAACTCTAAAGTATTTAGAGACAGATCAGAGAGGTAACCCTAGAGGGACATGTCAGAGAGGTAACTCTATAGTATTTAGAGACAGATCAGAGGTAACCCTATAAGGACAGGTCAGAGAGGTAACTCTATTTTATTTAGAGACAGGTCAGAGAGGTAACCCTATAGGGACATGTCAGAAAGGTAACTCTATAGTATTTAGAGACAGGTCAGAGAGATAACCCTATAGTATTTAGAGACAGGTCAGAGAGGTAACCCTAAAGGGACATGTCAGAGAGGTAACTCTACTCAGTGAAAGGACAGAGAGGTTACCCTATAGTGACTGAACAGAGAGATAAAGTATGACAGATTAGTAGAAGTTACTATGTAGTAACAAGGTAGAGAATTTATGCAAGCCAGAGAGGTTACACTGTAGTGAAACCTGAAGGGATAGGATAGAGACATAATCCTATAGTGACAGGACAGAAAGATTAAACTAGTGAAAGGACTGAGAGATAAACCTGTAGGGATAAGACAGAGAGGTTATGCTGTAATGAAAAGACTGAAGTAAACCTGAAGGGATAGGATAGAAAGGTAATCTATAGTGACAGGACAGAGAGGTTATGCTGTAGGGAAAGGACTGAAGTAAACCTGTTGGGATAGGATGGAGAGGTAATCTATAGTGACAGGACAGAGAGGTTAAACTGTAGTGAAAGGACTGAAGTAAACCTGTTGGGATAGGATAGAGATTTAATCTATTGTGACAGGACAGAGAGGTTACGCTGTAATGAAAGGACTGAAAGGTAACCTGTAGGGATAGAATAGAGATTTAATCTATAGTGACAGGACAGAGAGGTTATGCTGTAGGGAAAGGACTGAAGTAAACCTGTTGGGATAGGATAGAGATTTAATCTATTGTGACAGGACAGAGAGGTTACGCTGTAATGAAAGGACTGAAAGGTAACCTGTAGGGATAGGATAGAGAGGTAATCTATAGTGACAGGACAGAGAGTTTACGCTGTAATGGAAGGACTGAGGTAAACCTGTGGGGATAGGATAAAGAAGTAATCCTATAGTGACAGGACAGAGAGGTTACGCTGTAATGAAAGGACTGAAAAGTAACCTGTAGGGATAGGATAGAGACATAATCCTATAGTGACAGGACAGAAAGGTTAAACTAGTGAAAGGACTGAGAGATAAACCTGTAGGGATAGGACAGAGAGGTTATGCTGTAATGAAAAGACTGAAAGGTGACATGTAGGGATAGGATAGAGAATTAGTCATATAGTGATAGGTCAGAGAGGTTACCCAATAGTTATAAGTCTGAGAGGTAACATAATAGTGACGTTTGAGGAGAAATAACCATCCAGTGACTAGACTTTGAGTGTGATATGTGTGAGTTGAAACTATAAAATGATGTTGTCCTGTAATTATATGTCAGTGCATGGTGAATTTCATTGATGTCCAGTTATGAAAATAAGATAAATATATATGAAATAATTGTTTTATGTCAGAGCCACCCCCCGTGATTTCCCCGATGAGGAATAGTTCTGTACTACCAGGAGAAGACGCTGTACTCCATTGTCTAGTCCAGAGTACTGTCGAGTATAACATCAGCTGGTACCAACCCAATTCTGTTGAGTTTCTCTTCAGCAACAGCAAATACCAAATCTACAATAATGGATCACTCTTGATCAGGTAAAATTTTGAAATGCATTTACTTCAAGGGTGATATTCTGTGATATAAAGTCCTGAAAGAACCTAATCTCAAATTTTGTATTCTTTTTCATTGTGAGTGTGTGAATATTTTCTGTATGCTTCATTGATGAAGGAAATCGGAAATGTTATGGAACATTGACAAGAATATGGTATTCAGATCTTGATCTACCGGTAGTTTATATCATAGGAAAATTTTTTTTATTACATTTCATGAATAGATGTTCTACTTGAAGTTATCCTTTCTCTAGCCCCACTTTCAGATGATGTTGGGCATCAGAACCCCTTTGGGATCTCTGATTTATTTATGTTTTGATGTGAACATTTGATAAAGAAGAAAAGCAGAGAAAAAGCAGGTAGAAGAATACAATGCAGAATTGGAAAGACTACCAGGCATAAACTGATGCATGCAATCATTTTAAGTGAAAATGAGAAATAGCTGTGATATTTTTAATACGTTTATTTGTATTACAGAAACATTGGCCTTGAGGATGAGGGACGATATCTGTGTCTAGCTGGTAATGAGGGTGGATTTACCGAGGCACTTGTACATGTTAGAGTACAAGGTACACTTACCTTTAGTAAACAAAATACAGACACAGTTGATATTTAGTTGTAAATATTTTAAAATTGGAAGGAAAAATATAAGTGAATAACTGAAAAACAAATTACAGACCAAACAGCCCTTACACCATTATTTTGGTTTGCAGTGCCACCAAAGGCTGTAGTGACTCCTGCTTCTAAGAACTTTAAGACTGGACAGACAGTGAACCTGACCTGTACTGCAGAGGGCTTTCCTGCCCCAAACTTCTACTGGCTCCGGGACAACAAATTAATGATACCCAATGAGAGGATTTATATTGACGGTCCACATATTAGCTTCATCAATATGTTTCTTGGTGACCAAGGAGAGTACCAGTGTTTGGCAGAAAATCTCGCAGGAGAGGATATGGTGACGACCACTCTGATGTATATAGGTAAGGGGAGATAACTATATCTGTCTTTGATAGAGTGCTTTTATGAAATCTCTTTTTTCCCCATATATGGCTAAACCAATTTTCATGTTTTTGAAAAATATCACTAACAGCTTGACTGAACGTGGCACTGACCAGGTATACTGGTGCAGTATTACATGACAGCTTCACTTATCTGAACATTCTGTGCCTTTTCCCTGCCGCACTTGCAGGTGGGCTTTGTTGGAGAAAATTATGTTTCATGTTACAAACTTTGCAGATTTTTAGAAAATTTAATAATGAATAGCTTTGTATTAATCTCAAAGAAATAAATACCAAACTATATCATGAGATCAATAGCTTGAGTTTGCTTATATTGATTCCTTGACTTTAATGTTGTTTTATTTTTATTTTTTTTCCCCTTTACAATACTAAACCATTCTAACTGTTTAGTATTGTAAAGTTAAATGAGAAGTGAAAGCAATCTTGTATGATTTTTGTGACAGAGACCCCCCAGATATACCGATCAGATGAGCGGGTGCTGGTTGCCAGTGGTGACATGGCAGTCTTGGTGTGTGCAGCCAACGGTATACCCAATCCCAAAATCACATGGTTTAGAGGAGATGTCCAGGTGTGTTCTTGTGTTTCATATCAGCCATATTTCTGATTGAAATTTTAAATTTATGAACTAATTAGGGCCTTGCAAGATGTGGGTGCCCTTTATTAATTAGCTCATGTGTCAGTCTGTCTGTATCCGTCTGTCCTTTTTTGCTTTCTACATAACAAATTGTGTTTTTTGTCGTCAGATTTGCAACAAATGTGGTATGTGGCTTTATATTCATTAGACTTCACATGGCTTTGATAACCAGTGAAATCTGTCAATATTTGCAAGAGTTATGGGACTTTAAATGACGCACACTGACCACTTTATTGCTTTCCATTTATTATATATTTATTCAGTGGGTTTTATGTCCACTATTATGGCCTTTCAGCCTTTTAGCAGATGAGTTTACAACAAATTTACTTTTCTTTCCATGTGACAATTTACCTATTTGTTGTCCAATGTGCTCCAAATTTGGTATATGGCTTCATATTACATGGATCAGTGAAGTGCTTGAAAATTTGCAAGAGCTGTTGGACTTTGAATGCCAAAATTTGAACATTTCATTAGTTTCTGCACAATAACTTGTTCATTTGTAGTCACATTTCCTCAAATTTCTTATGTGGGTTTCTGTCAATTAGCCCTCACATGAGCTTGAAAACCAGTGTCATCCATCAATATTTGCAAGAGTTATGGGACTTTAAATACAGGATATATATATGTGTACCATTTTATTACATTCCACACACTGCATGCTTGTTGTCAAATTTTCACCAAATTTAGTAGGAGGGTTTATATACACAAGACATCACATTGATTCAATAACCATTGGAATTTGTTTATATCTACAAGAGTTATGGGACTTTGAATGCTAAAAATTTGGTGATTTTTTACCATTCTTCTTAATAAGTTTCATAGTTGTACTCAGATTTTTACAAAACTTGTTCGTCTCTTAAACAAGATGTCTTTTGAAGGTTTGATAACCAGTGAAATCTCAATATTTGCATGCTTTGAATGTTGAAAATTTGTAATTTTATGTCATTCCACACTATAACTTCTGTGCATGCTTTGTTGGACTTGGAAGGCCAATGCAAAAAAATTGGTGTATTGAAAAATTCAGGCTGTTGCATTCTGATTTCTGATAATTATTTCAGAAACAATATATAAATAAGGCCCTTCTCGACATTGGTCTAGTTACAAATTGACAGTGAAATCAATTGACCATACCAAATGATTGCAGTCAGGTGATAGATCATTAAAAGTTATGATATTAAATTTGGAAAATATCCTCTGTTGGATGTCCATGTTAATAATCATTTCCTAAATGATATAAAGAGAGATGAATCCTTTTTTGATAATCATTGCTAAGAACAGTCTCCTTTTCAGATATGAAGCAGAATGCATCTGTAGTAACTCTTGCTACGTACAGATTTCTGAGTTTTTTTGTTTTGTTTTTTTTTCTGTTACAGTTACGAAAGCTGTCCTATGTTAACATCACTGATGATGGGGTATTGATGATCCTTGGCACACAGCAACAAGATGGTGGCCAGTACCGCTGTGTTGCCACCAATGAAGCGGGAACAGACTCTGCAGAGGTTACACTTGAGGTTGGATGTAAGTATGTAGGCATTGTCCAGGTCAGTAGGAAAACTTGACTTGGAATTGTCAGTTTGGAGAAAAAAACAGTTCATTGTTGCAGATACATCAATGAAATTTTATAGATATATGTAGGATCACAAGACAGTGATTCATTATCAGTTATTAAGTTATTTACTGTAGGTCTTTGAATATATAGAAAGTTGGTTAGATTTAAATGGGGTAAGACAAAGCTGAGACAGTTGTCCAAGATAGGTCAGTTGGTGGAACCTTGGCATATGCAGCCTTGGGTGAAGATTCAAGGAGCACGGTTTGATGTTCTTTTCTTGTGGCAGTTGTGTTTCTGAGGTAGCTGAAAAACAGACTGGCCTGTGCTGCTTTGAGCAATACACTTACTTGCTTAGAATGGCATGCGATAATCAAGGCAGTGTCTCTCTATAAATTTCCTCTATATTTGAATGTTGATGGAAACAGAAACATAAAATTGTGTTGAATTTTATAGCTGAGCCTCGTATCACTACGCAGCCTGCTAATATTGGAGCAGATATTGGAACCAATGTCACTATAAATTGTGAGGCTACAGGACACCCACCACCTAAAATCTACTGGAGGAAAGAAGATGGCACTATAGTTACAATGAAGGGCCGTTTTACTCAACTCCCAACAGGCTCTCTGTCAATTACAAGTAAGGTGTTCAGTGTAATTGATAAAGTTTTGTAATGTCAAGTTAGTTACCTTAGTTATATAGAGCTTAAAATATATTGGCATAATTCAGTTTAGAATTCACAAAACTCTTATGGTTAATCTGTTTATAGTTAATTAGTCACAAATACTGAAATTCCCGATGATTTACCATATTTTCTAGGCTATAAACCGCACCTGAGTATAAGCCGCAGCTGGTTTTTAGTGAATTTTTCTATTTGATCAGCACACTTACTTATGAAGTGGTAACCGTTATGTTCACCAAAATTTGTTGATATAGCAGACAACAGAAGGTAATTTATCAAGATCATTTGTGAAACATTTCATATAAGTTTGCAAATTGCTGATTGTTTCATCCACATATAAGCCACATCAGTATATAAGCTGCACACCTGATTGCTGAGAAAAAAAAGCTGGGGCTTATAACCCAGAAAATATGGTAGTAGTATTTCCTGCAAATAAACATGTTGACAAGTTTTGAGTGTAATTAATATATTTTTCTTGTAGATCCCAATGGTAATATTGTAAGCATGCTTTGATTAAAATAATTATCATTGCACCTAAGATATGTCTGTCCCCAGATTTGAAGATGGGTGACCAGGGACGGTACACATGTGTGGTTCAGAACGAGTTTGGTATGAGGGACATATCTGCTTATCTGACTGTCACTGGAATAGGTAAGTTACCTTGGAAATAAGTAATGTTTCAGTTACTCAACAGCCTATTATTTATTGCCTTCAATCAATGAATCAACTATAAATTCTTGTTAGGGCTTTCCAAAAAGCTTTTTATATTGTGAAAGATACTTCAATAATCATAATATTGATATATATATTGACAAAACTGACAAATGATACCACATTCCCTTTTTGTTAACTATTAAAATCTGTTCATAACTGTTGTTAGCTGTCTTTCACTTGAAAGTAAGGTAGCTCTTATTATTCTGGTTTTTATCATTACAATCTTAAGAATTTTCATCAGCTAAGAAAAAGACCGCATACTACAGAAGATCAGATCTTGATTTCTGATAGAAAGTTTTAGTTAAAACTTCAACCAAGCATGGTATGATCTCCCACTGAGGTCCTTAAAATGTTTCATGGAGTTCATTGATGATGCAGATAATGATAAAAGTAATAAGTTAGCTTGGGGTTGAAGGCCTCAAGTGTTCAATTGGATAGAGTTCATGGTTTAAAATGTAAAAATGGAATTTCGTCAGACTTAATGAAAAAAAATGGTGTGTTATCCAGGGATATGAAATACATATAAGAATGAAATCATGGTCACTAATATGTGACTGGTTCTGTTGTAGTGCGTCCTGTGATTGCATTTACCAATCCATTCATTGAGGTAATAGAGGGCAGTGATGTCGAGTTGAACTGTATGCTGCTGAGAGGAAACCCCAAACCTATTCTCAACTGGATCAAGGATGGTATGGTGGTACAGCCCTCAGCACGTGTAACCCGACCTTTTAACAACACAGTTCTCATTGGGGACATCCAGCAGGACATGGAAGGAGATTACCAATGTGTGGCTAGCAATGTTGCAGGCAACTCTACATACACTGTCACTGTCGATGTCCTTGGTAGGATCTTGTTTGTAATCATGAATACTTTTTAGGCTTGTCCTGTATAATCTAGTTTCTGAGCTCCATCCTGACACTATTTGTCTCTTGAGTTTCTTATTTGGCATGTGGGATCATCTATCTGAAGTGGTGTGTAATGTATCAAAAGGACATGAGTGGGCATGAGTTCTCTTGTCGTATATTCTTGGCAGATAATTTCATATTCAGTAGGGAACTAATTTGCTACATTGTCTTGTTCCATTTATGATAATGATATCATGAAACACTTATTTGTTTGAAATATGTTTTCCCTGAAGATCTTCATATTCAAAGGTTTAGTATATATCTGTTTCTAGGTTTTAACATTTACAACCACATAAGATTTACTTTATTTTAGTCCCACCAACACTGCGTTCAGATGATGAAATGGACACCCAGGACCGATTTAGTGTAATAGAGGGAGACTCAATCATTCTGCCGTGTAATGTTGATGGGGATCCACCTCCAAGAGTTACATGGTTCAAAGATGGCAACGAGATCCTTCTCACAGACCCATCTTACTACTTCACAGAGGATAATGCTCTAGAGATATTTGGGGCAGAATCAAGTAGTACAGGGACTTACATGTGTGTAGCATCTAATGTAGCAGGGGAAGTGGAAAAAACTGTCACACTCTTTGTGGAGGGTGAGTAGTGTGGTTTAAGTTGGGCAGCAAATTTTCCACTGCTGTGAAAAACATTTGAAGTCATTTATGCTTGTTAGTGAACCTCACTTAAAATGTTGCAATTATTGTCTAAAACAATTGGTTACTTCCATAAATGGACATTGACACTTTACATAGGAATGACTTCAGATACAATTTGATTTGATTTTAAAATGTTCAGATTTTTTACTTGTGCTCATAGAGATTACTGAATTATACAATGTAGAAAATGTGGATGAAATATTTATACTGACAAAGAGCTAATATAGAAACTCTTTGTGTTCACTATCTTTCACTAAATGTTACAGTACCAGCTAGTATAGCAGGCCCCCTGAATGAGAAGTATGTGGTGGAAGCAGGAGAGACAATTCTGCTACCTTGTGTGGTCAGTGGTATACCTGAACCAGAAGTCAACTGGCGGCGTAACTTTATCCCTTTCTATGCTGACACTGAGAGGTTCTTAATCAGTGACCAAGGCTTGACTATCTCTCCAGCCTTGATCGTGGATAAGGCTATCTATGAATGTGTTGCAAGAAATGATGCAGGCCCTGCCACCAAAGTCATCACACTTATTGTACAGAGTAAGTGCTTATAATGTAAAATCTTATATAAATCTTTATAAGGAGAATGAAAGCATTTAGAGCTACATTGATTAAAGTAGGAGCTAGGCAACTAAGTCTTGTAAAATTCTCCTCTTCTTTATGTAGATTGTGGTGACTTTCAGGCCATTAACAAAGTGACAGTTGCAGGCTCTTTGATGGATTTTGGGAAACTAAAATGAAATCAATTATAAAAGTGAACAAGTGAACAGACTTATCTAATTGAGCTCCATTGTTGTTGCAGAGGGTGATTAAAAATATGTATAGAAGTTTAACTGTGATGATTCCATTTACGAGGCTTTCTTAATCACTTTCAGATATATAATTATTTACATTGGTATATGATGTTTTTGTCAGTTCCTCCTCAGATAAGTCCAGAGGGTGATGATGAGATTACTGTCCTCAGAAATGAGGGTATAACATTGAACTGTGAGGCTACTGGTAATCCCATGCCAGCCATTCGCTGGACCAAAAATGGAATCACTCTGGATACATCTGATGAAAGCCTTTATCAGATGATTGGCAATGGGTCATTACGCATATTGTCTGCAAATTTAGTGGATAGTGGTTCGTATGTGTGTGTAGTTACCAACACAGCAGGCACACAGACTAGAGAATTCACTGTCACAGTTAATGGTAAGTACATTGAGAAATGGCATATAGATAAAACTGCTTGGCCTAATTGATTTCTTTATATTGTTTTTGGGGAGTATTGATAAGATTTTCAACTGATTTTTACAGTTCTTAATACATCATTTTAGATTTCCACTGGTTAACCAGATATGGAAGTTGTCAGAAAAACAGCATACTTGAAAATCGAAGACCTCTAGAAAAGTCATAGACATTAGGAGAGGAACCAAGGTTTCAAATTGAAACCAATATTAAGTTAGTTGTAAAAATTTACATAAAGATTTGACATTTTATCAACTGAAAACTAAATTACATTTACACTGCTCCACTAAACATCTATAATTTTACCTCAGGACTTTTTAAGTGGAAACAACGATCAAATGTAATTCAATTTGATAATTTGCTTAGAAGTAATAAGCAGGAAACCAAACTATGGTCAATTTAATTTGGCCTCCTGAATCAAATAGCTGGAATGTCCCTTAGACAGACTTTAACATAATAATCTTATAGTTAGAAAAGTTTGTGAATTGAGTTTTGAAATTATTTAACTATTGTAACAAATTTGTTGTCGTTTCAAATTTTATTTCTCTCACCCTAGAAACTTTGACTCAGCAGTTTTTAGTTGTGTCGGATTTCAGGAAATTTACAAAGCAATATTTCATGTTTAGCTCTGCCTACCCTGCCCAGAAACCTTCCAACAAATACCTCGGCCATAGAGAACAGTGATGTGATCCTTGAATGTCCAGCCTCAGGCACCCCTTTCCCTGAGATCACTTGGTACAAGGATGATGTGTTACTGTCTCCCAATGACTTAGGCGTGAATTTCTTGTCTGATGGCTCCCTTGAGCTCAGAAGCATCTCTGCACAGGACTCCGGAGAGTACCGCTGCCTAGCAGTCAATGTTGCAGGAGAAGTTGATCATACAACAAAACTTAAAGTCCTTGGTAAGAATCTTTGGATAGGCGCAATGGCAACATAACTCTGAAGGTTACAAATTTTTTCCAATGATAATATTCTACAATTTTAGAAATATTAGATTAGTTAGTAGCTTTCAATACAATTTAGAATTTGATGTAATAGAGCCAATAAAATTATTGTGCATCATGATCTGTCTTCTACGACTTGTTAGTGCCTGAATTTTGAAAACTAAGAAGGGTTTAGAGAAATCAAAGTTGTTGGAAAATGTTGAATTTACTGAATTTGAAGAATTATTAAACCTTACAGTTACTAAATTTTGTCTTACACAACGACAGGCGAAATTGTAGTGTTAATTTTTGTGTTATACAGAATTTAAAGCTGGATAACTTTTAATTCAGATTGTGCTTTACCAATAGAGATTTAGGGAAATTTCAACTACATTTGAAAACAAATACTGCTTAATATTGATACACACTAAACATTATTTAAATTGTATATTGATAAATCACTTATTTTTGTCAGTGGCACCCAAAGTGATTGGTGGTGACCGTGGGGATATCCCTATCCCAGAGAGCCATACTGTGAGGGCAAATGAGACACTGACCATGCATTGTACTGTGGAGGCAGATCCGCCCCCAACCATTGAGTGGCTCAAGAATGGTGAACAGTTTACTGAAGAGGAACTATCTCATGTCCGTATCTCACTAGATGGCAAGAAGCTGGTCATTCCACAGGCTGCTGTTGAAGACACTGCACTCTATACTTGTGTGGCAACTAATATTGCTGGATCTTCACAGAAAGAATTTGATGTTGATGTCCATGGTAAGGATTGATGTCCATTTCCATTAGATCTCCTTAGGCTGGAACAGGGACACAGTGGGTGTATGATAATCTCAGTAACTATTCATCTCTTTGTGAGCACTTTTCTGTCTGTCTAAAATAACTGAAATTAACAAAGGTAAAAATCATGTTCCAAAAGTCTTAAATGGGGAAATATAATGTAAAATGCAGAGGATTTGTGTACTATCAAGTACCCATCAAGAGTCCAGGTTACCTGTCATGAGTGTTCTTAGTGAATCTAATATTCAGGATTTGATTCTTTTGAAAAAATAAAATATGAAAATCTGAAGAAGACAATCTTACAAGTAATTAGACTATTATAATACAAACTGCTGAGATTGAAAGTCTTGTGTGTTTGCTACTCAGGTATATTAATGTTTCCACTGTTAATATTGGTAGTGCCTCCAAGGATTGATCCAAATGCTGTGTCCAATGGTACCCTGTCTATAACGGTCAAGCAGACCCTGACCATCAACTGTCCAGTGAACGGTATCCCTCTTCCACAAATCAACTGGTTCAAGGATGGACAATACATCTCTCCCCTGCTTGACCCCAATATTAAGCTCTATGCTGGTGGTCGGAGGTTAGAGGTCACCAATGCTAGGGTCAGAGATGCCGGACGTTACAAGTGTGTTGGAGAAAACATTGCAGGAAGCACACAGCATGAGTTTAATGTCAAAGTCAATGGTGAGATTCATCACATATGGTCATCATCCATAATAATGAAAATTTGAATTTCAGGTAATTTAACATCTACTCAAAATGATAGTTACGACAAACTGATGTAAATTAATTGTATTATAATATTATTGTGAGGTGTGTAACCTTTCATCTATGATAAGTACAAACCATGTTGATGATTGTGTTATCCTGTTTGTCATTGAAACAGTACCGCCCCAGATAGAGCATTCAGATGTTGTTCAAATTCCGGAGGTTGTGGAGGATGGAGACCTTCGTCTGAATTGTCCTGCATCTGGAAAACCAACACCAAAAATCACATGGTTCAAGGAGAACCAGCCTATCAAGTTCAATTCCTCTCGTTATCTGTTACTTGATGATGGATTCACATTGCATATCCTAAATGCAAAGCAAGATGATGCAACAAGATTTATCTGTCGAGCAGAAAATGTAGCTGGTGGAAATGAAAAAGCCTTTGATGTGGATGTGTTAGGTAGGTTTATTGCTATATTTCTCTTGGATAGTAAGAATAAACCATTTATTGTTTATTCTATAATAAAGGAATTTTTAAAAATTTCAAAACATTTGTTAATATTGTTGGCAAATTCTAAAGAAACTTTTAAAAATAAGATTCAAGAATTAGTTGCCATGTTATAATTCTTAAAAAGCATATTACATGCTAATTAACAATCAATTATTATAGAATATACTCAGATTGTTATTTATATTCCCAGTACCTGCAAAGATATCTGAAGATGGCCTTGACCCTACACCTGATGTAGTCCTAAACAGGACACTGGTGTTGAACTGTCCTGCAGAAGGTAACCCAATACCGGAGATCACATGGTACAAAGATGGCTTTATACTGGACACCTCACTCAATCCCCGCTATGACATTTTGTCAGGAGGCCGCCAACTGCGCATTCAGGCTGTTAGGCTGTCTGACACTGCTATATATAGATGTGAGGCCACCAATAAAGCTGGAGAGTCTTCTTTTGAGTTCAACACCGACATATTTGGTAGGTGCATTATTGCAATAGGTGTGATCCCTTCTAATTGGATTTTGTTGCCCATGCGTAATATTTGCCATCAGATTGCAAAGTGAATATTGAACTGACACATTTGAATAGAGGGGGGTATCAATATATTACTTAGGTTCCTACGCACCAATGCTGTTTATACTACATCTGAAATCAGATATTCATATAATAACAATTATTCATTGAAAAGGTTGTCTGAATTGTTTTATAAATTGTTAAATCTAGCTGATTGATTTCATTTTAAGATATTATAATACAAAGTTTTTTCCTGTACAGTTCCATCAAAGATTCCTTTTACAAATATCAACATCAACCCTAAGGCTATCGTGAACAGTTCTTTGACGTTGGATTGCCCGGCAACAGGAACACCTGCACCAGAAATCACTTGGTTCAAGGATGGGAGGGAAATATCACCAGAACTTTACCCCAGCATCCGTATTAGAAATAATGGACGCCAGCTAGAGATTTTGAATGCCCAGGTGGCTGACACAGGCACATACAGATGTAGGGCAGTGAATCCAGCGGGTCAGAGCGAACTCGTTCTCAACGTTAACATACAAGGTAAAATGTCTGTTATTCTATAAGTCTTCCATTTACTTACTTGAAAAACATTTGTTAATAGTTGATTGATTTTATGTCTTACTAACATTAAAATGTAATGACTACATCATGATATTTCAGTTAGATTTGTGAACTGATGGATAAGAATTTGTATTGTAGTGCCTGCAAAAATAAGTACAGATGTGGATACAAACCCAAGAGTGGTAATTGGTGAACCATTCACAATCTACTGCCCTGCCAGTGGTACACCAGCACCAAACATCAGGTGGTTCAAAAATGGGTCGCCTATAATATTGTCTGAGGATCGTCAGGACATACGAGTGACTGCTGGTGGGCGTGAATTGTACATACTCTCAGCTGATGTGGAAGATGCAGGATCTTACACATGTGTGGCCACAAATGAAGCTGGAGAGGCGGAAGAAACATTTAACCTTGAAGTATATGGTATGTTTCCTACTTAAATACTTTGTCATTGATTCATATATATTTAGATAACCATTGTGTTTTGTCCGTCTTACGCCATGCAAAAACTTTCAATTCAAATGACTTCTTATCAATAACCAAAAGGCCTAGGGTGCTGATATAAAACCTGTAGCACACAGGGATGAAGACATACCAAGTTTGACCTTGACCCACTTTCAAAGTGACAAAGTCAAAGACCTAATGCGTTGCCATTTTGTTTGACGTCATGTGTTGTGAACTTTTAACATTTTCAACTTCAGGAAAACTCCTATACCAATTTCATTGAAGATTTATTAAAGCCTTACATGGCTTAAGGTGCACCAAAATTGTAAATTATCTTGTTCCCAACCGCCAGGGGTCTGAAGGGCGGGATCAAAAAGGGTCATTTGGTTTGATATTTCAAAAAATCTTCTTTTCAAATTGTAAATTTCATAACCTAGGTCTCACGTTTCCCTCTGGGGAGGGAATAAAGCTTACTATAGTTTATATAGGAAAATCACATTTTTGAACATTATTTGTTATATTCTTTTGGAAATAGTTCAAACCTGGTAAGAATTATTTATTTAAGATGACACTTTAATGAGATGCACATATTGACCCCATGGCTGAGCCCCAGGAGCTGATGGGCGGGTCAAATTGACTGAAATTTCAAAAATCTTCTCAACACCCACATAATGTATAACCAAATACTCTTCATTGATGGAAGTATCTTACAGTGCTATAAAAAAATTTCATGACCCAAAGGTCTCACATTTCCCCCTTGTGAGAGGTAAAATTCACTATATTTTATATGGGAAAATAACATTGTTGAGCATAATTTGTTTTTTTTCTTTTAAAATAGTTCAGACTTTGTTAGAATTTTATTTTTTATTGGTATAAGCTGACTGTTTGATGAGACCATATTGAACTTGACTGACACTCAGGGGCAGATGGGCATGGTGAGAAATGGGTCAAATTTACTGAAATTTCAAAGATGTTCTACTATTTCATGATGGAAGATTTTATATTGGAAAATTCAAATCTTGAGTGAAATTTCTTTTAATTCAAACTTGGTTAGAAGCCTTAGCATGGAACAGCAGTTAATATATACACAATTTACATTATTTTGTACAATATAGTTTAAGTGTTATTATTTTTTCTTTATCCCACTATCATCAGATGGTGGGCTATTCTGTGTCCGTGGTACATCGTCTGTCCATTGTCCGTCCATAAACAATTTTTTGTTATCCCTATTTCTTGAGAAGGATCTTCCTCCAATTTCCTTTCATTTAAGGTGTGATAAAAAAGGGAAAAAAAAGTGGCTGACAGGCAGCCATCTTGTATTTAACTTTGAAAGATTGTTATCTCGAGAAATACTGTATTTATCTTTTTCAATTTCATATATAGGTTTCGTTTGGTCCTTAGTTGTGCCCATCTAATTTGGGACTGATCAGAAATACGAAATGGCTGACAGACGACTATCTTTGATTTTGACTTTGAAAGTTTGTTCTCGCTTTTTTTTGTGAAGTACTGTATAGATCTTTCACAAATTTCACATATAGGTTCCTTTTGGTCTTTTATTGTGGCCATCTAATTTTGGTACTGATCAGAAATACAAAATGGCTGAAAGAAGATCATCATGGATTTTGACTTTGAAAGTGTGTTATCACTATTTCTTGAGAACCACTGCATGTACCTTTCTCAAATTTCATGTGTATGCTTTCCTTAATCCTTAGTTGTGCCTGTTTGATTTTGGTACTGATCAGAAAAAACAAAATGGCCCACAAGCGCCCATCTTAGATTTTGAAGTTGAAAATTTGTTATCACTATTTTTTGAGAACTACTCAATAGATCTTTCTCAAATTTATTGTATAGCTTCCTTTAGGTCCCTTGCTGTGTCTGGTTGAGTTTGGGACTGATCAGGAAAACAAAATGGCTGACAGGCAGCCATCTTGGATTTTGCTTAGTAAAGATTGTTATTACTGTTTCTTAAGAAGTACTGAATGGATATCTCTCAAATTTCATATGTATGTTCCCTTTGGTCTCTCCTTGGGCTCGTTCCATTTTGGGACTAATCAGAAGAAACAAAGTGGCTTCAAGGTGGCCATTTTGGATTTGGCAGGTAAAGATTATCATGACTATGTCTGCAAAGGAATGTTCAAATGTCTTATCAGTAAGAGCAAAAACAGGGAAGAGCAGAGAAAAGAAGGGAAAAGATCCAATTTTCAAAGTGCATATCAAGATCAAACAATGGTGAGCACCAAGATCCCTCTGGGATCTCTTGTTAAACAAAATAATTTCTATGACATGTCACAAGAACTTTTGTGACTCAAATGACCGTTAAAGCCCTTTGGCCTCTTGTTTCATTTAATTAATATATCAATATTATTTTTGTAGTTCCACCAATGATTGATGACTCTTACGACTTAATCACCAAGGTGATACGAGGTCGAACAACTGTCCTGAACTGTCCAGCCAATGGTATCCCCCAGCCAAACATAGAGTGGCAGAAGAATGGACGTGTGATGATCTTCACAGATCGAGTAGTGTTACTGGATGAAGGACGACAGCTGAAGATAAGCAATGCAACAGATAGTGATCGTGGCATGTACCGATGTATAGCAACAAACCGTGCAGGTCGAGATGCAGCAGACATGGAGTTGGTGGTACTGGGTAGGTACTGTACAGATATGGGCTTTGAGGTACTAAGTAAGTTCTCTACAGATGAGGAGCTGAAGGTACTGGGGAGGTACTATACAGATGTAGAGCTGGTGCTACTGGGTAGGTACTGTGCAGATGTTTATCTGGTAGTACTGGATGGATATTGTACAGGTACTGTACAGATATGGGCTTTGAGGTACTAAGTAGGTTCTGTACAGATGAGGAGCTGAAGGTACTGAGGAGGTACTATACAGATGTAGAGCTGGTGCTACTGGGTAGGTTCTGTATAGATGTGGAGCAGGTGGTACTAGATAGGTACTGTATAGATGTGGAGCTGGTGGTACTGGGTAGTTACTCTACAGATATGGAGATGGTTGTACTAGGTAGGTAATGTAAAGTATGTTATTTTTTGAGGGTTTTATTTATTTATTTTTAGTTTTAATGAAATAGGGAAAAAATAAGATACTTTTGTATCAACTGAATCCTGGTTCAAGATTTCCATACAAAAATACATTTTTCTATCTTCAAACTTTGGTAAAAACCATAAAAATTTTAACCATGAAAAATAACAACCTTTGCAGTTATCAAACTTTTTTGATGTGGATGTTCTTCGAAAAAATTTTAACTGAGCTCCTGTGTGTGATGAATTTGGCCTAAATGTTATACATTGTCTGATATCCTTACGTTTGCCTCCACAGTTCCCCCAGACATTGATGAATCCAACACTGTGTACACACCACGTGTCGTAGTCAACAGAACTGTTCTGTTGGAATGTGCTGTCTCAGGAGTGCCCACACCAACAGTCCAGTGGTTCCTCAATGACCAACCTGTTCGACAGACAGATAGGATCAGTCTCCTTGGCAACAACAAACAGCTACAGATTGAGAGGGCTCAGACTTCTGATAGTGACACCTATACTTGTCAAGCTACTAATGAAGCAGGGCAACTTCGCAAGAATTTCCAACTCATGATTCTAGGTATTGGCTCCAAGATATTTTCAGTGTAATCATTTATTTTGAGATAAATCATTGCAGACAAAACATTAGAAAAATGTAATTAAAGTGAAATAAGCACACAAAACTTACAAGTTTTGGAATAAGGAAAGCATATGTTATGTCTACCATGACAAATGGCCATCATGGATTGACTACAAGTTTTGGAATAAGGAAAGCATATGTTATGTCTACCATGACAAATGGCCATCATTGGATTGACTACAAGTTTTGGAATAAGGAAAGCATATGTTATGTCTACCATGACAAATGGCCATCATGGATTGACTACAAGTTTTGGAATAAGGAAAGCATATGTTATGTCTACCATGACAAATGGCCATCATGGATTGACTACAAGTTTTGGAATAAGGAAAGCATATGTTATGTCTACCATGACAAATGGCCATCATGGATTGACTACAAGTTTTGGAATAAGGAAAGCATATGTTATGTCTACCATGACAAATGGCCATCATGGATTGACTACAAGTTTTGGAATAAGGAAAGCATATGTTATGTCTACCATGACAAATGGCCATCATGGATTGACTACAAGTTTTGGAATAAGGAAAGCATATGTTATGTCTACCATGACAAATGGCCATCATGGATTGACTACAAGTTTTGGAATAAGGAAAGCATATGTTATGTCTACCATGACAAATGGCCATCATGGATTGACTACAAGTTTTGGAATAAGGAAAGCATATGTTATGTCTACCATGACAAATGGCCATCATGGATTGACTACAAGTTTTGGAATAAGGAAAGCATATGTTATGTCTACCATGACAAATGGCCATCATGGATTGACTACAAGTTTTGGAATAAGGAAAGCATATGTTATGTCTACCATGACAAATGGCCATCATGGATTGACTACAAGTTTTGGAATAAGGAAAGCATATGTTATGTCTACCATGACAAATGGCCATCATGGATTGACTATGAAAGTTCGTAATCAGTATTTCTTGAGAAGTACTGGCTGGATGTTTCTCAAATTTCATTTGCAGGTTTCCCTTGATCCCTATTTGTGCCTGTTTGATTTTTGGACTGATTAGCAAAAAATAGGTTGACAGGCACCATCTTGGATTTTAACAATGAAAGTTTGTTATCACTATTTCTTGAGGAGTACTTGATGGATCTTTCTCAAATTTCGTAGGTAGATTTCTCTTTGTCCCTAATTGGATCCGTTTGATTTCGGTACAGATAAGAAAGACAAAAATGGGACTTTGCAGTTAAAGACTATTATTACTATTTCTTAAAAATGATTTTTAGAGGAAAAAAGAGAAAAGAATGGAAAAGATCCTATTATTAAAGAACAAATTAAAAAATGGTAGGTGCCGAGATCCCTCTGAGGTCTCCTGTTTGACTTCCTGAACTGGTTCCCTTTGCAACTGAGCATAATTAAATTGAATCCCTTCTTTTGACAACAAAAAACAAAATGATCTCTTATATTTTAATGTGTGAAATGTCAATCTAGAATCTTATATGTCAATTATCATGAAATGCATCTATCATTTTACAGTACCGCCGCTGCTTGACAAGTCTGTGAACACCAATTTCACAGTGAAAGAGAAAGGAAACACTGTCATGGAGTGCCCAGTGATTGGAGGTATTCCTGAGCCGTCAGTCTTCTGGCTGAAGGACCGTGTTCCTCTGAATAACTTCCCTTACCAAAACCTCAATGTCACCAACCGTAACCGTAGGCTTCAGATCCGCAATGCCAAAGTGGTGGATGCTGTCCAGTATACTTGTCAAGCACGCAACTCTGCAGGAGAGGACTCCATGAATTTTTACCTTAGAGTTTTTGGTGTGTTTTTTATCAATTATAGTTATAATCAGATTAGAATACTTTATAGAAAGATTATAGCTCTAATGAGTGATCAAATCAGAAAATTGCAAACTCATCTGTAATAGCTCTGATGTCTTGTCTATTGATGCTGATAAGCAAAATGCCACTTGTCATGAAATAAATGAACTTAATAAGAATATAAACATGCATTAAACAGCCATCAGTTAGAAAGATTTTCTATATAATCACTTTAAATCTTACCAATAACTCAAATATTGTACTGTGTACTTTCAGTTATTACATGATTGAACAAAATTTTTTTCTTTTATATCACAGTGAGGCCTTCAATAACAGATGAATCTGAAAGACCAGTCATCACAGTGTTGGAAGGTGAGCAGATCACTTTGGAGTGCCCGGTCACTGGTATTCCTGACCCTGGAGTACAATGGCAGAAGGACGGACGTGTCATAGAGCTGGCCCAGAACTCCCACATCACCATCATAGCAGGGGGTCAGGTAAGTGGCTACAAAAATTCTGTTGGTCAGTGCCAAGAATCCTGATTAATATGTACAGTGTGTCTCATTTTTATTAAGAGATATGTTTGATTGAAAAATACATGCTACTTAAACAAATGGATGCACACAAGTTTCTTTGGTTATGTACAGAGGAAGTTGATTATCTACGATCTGAAAGATTATGCTAATACATAGAATTTTAACTTCACAATTGTACATTTTTGTACAAGAGCAATCCTCTTAAGGATTTTTTTTATATCACAGGTCCTAAGGATTCTCAGTGCCAGGGTAGGTGACACAGCCCAATACATGTGTCATGCTGAAAATGAAGCTGGATTTGCTGAGAAATTCTTTCAAGTCAATATCAATGGTGATAACTTTACTAGTTTATGTAAAAATTGATTTGTTGCATATGAAGTTTTTTGTTTTGTTTGGTTTTATTTTGATTAAGGTCCTACCAACAGCATAGTCATATAAGGATGGCTTATCAAATACTATAACACATCTAACGTTTCCAGAATTGTTAGTATGAAAACGGATATTCATTGAATTTGTACTGCAATACTAGTTCTCCTTTGCTTGCTGTGTTAACAAAAATTGACCTATGATTGGACAAAATCTTTTCCTTACTACTACTCCAAACCTTGTTTGTTCTGAACTGAATTCACAAAAACTACACATGAATATTGGGGACCATATGCAGATGAATATGCACATTAAATACCCCTGTATTGATGAGTTTTGTTGGAAATGTGCAAATGGATAATAGAAAAAACAATTGTTGTATAAAATCTTCTAATCTGTAGGGGTTGGGGGTATTAGTTATGCTCAGGATGACAGTTCTAGTTGGAAAATTCTGATGTTTTTAATTTTCATGTAAATAAAAATCCTGGATGTAGCAACCACTTTACATAAGTATACTTGTTAAAACAAAAACACATTGTTCCTAAATTCAAATAGAAGTTTCTAATTGAGCGTGTATGCTTGACTACTATATTTACTTATCATGATATTGTAAACTGTTACATTCTATCTGAATTTAAATTAATATATCATTTTAAATTATGATAGTAAATAGTAAGTATCAGTGATCAGTGTAATAAATGCACATGAACTCTTGGTCGAAGTCTGCTAATATATGTAAATGATTGTGTACATTAATGTACAGTTATGTGTGTAAATGTGTATGATATGAAGGACTTTTCCCTCATGAGTTTTATTTAGTCTGTGTTAATTTCAAAATTGTTATAAAAAAAACATGCCTTACTAATTAACCATTAATCTTTTCATGGTTTATTCCACTTTCGCCATTTGACAGAGGAATTAATATAGCATTTGCATGTTATTTCATCCAACTGGCTGTGTAATTTTGCCAATAAAAGTTTCAAATGAAATGAGCGTGCCCTTCCTCACTGGGGCAGATGCTCAACTAAAGGCCACAAAGGAGGCAGTGTTCAGAGAGACATTAATAAATAGATAGTTGTTTAGAGGGAAGAGAAAAGATGAAATTCCAAATTTAGTCATCTCTCACCATTATGTAATGAAGACAACAAATAATTCTTAGAATAAAAGTTCTTATAATACAACCAGTAGAAGATTTGAGTGTGATGTTTAGATGACTACACAGTCACCTTCATCAGAAAAATGACCAGTGCGAAGTGTACTAACACTGACATACATAGTGAACTGTCATGGGAAATGAAATTGAAATTCCTACCTTGTTTTCATATACTACGTTTACTAGGAATGAAAAACAAAATATCCTTCTATCCTTCTTATTAGGGTTGGGATACCCATGGGAACTTGCAAACCATTCTGAAAACATGCCTACTTACAATTTGTGGTTAAGGCTTAGGTCCTTGTCATCATAGTTGTAAAGGAAGAATAAGAGTCAAAGAAGAAAATGTGAAGAAAAAAGTGTTGTAATATTGTTTCAAAATACAAAATTAATGTATATTCTAAATTTGATATTTTCAGTACGCCCACGAATCAATGGTTCCCAGTCTCTACGGGAGAAGTCTGTTGTCTTGGGCAATGACCTTGCTCTGCATTGTCCCACACTTGGAATCCCACCCCCAGAAATTACATGGTACTGGCAGGGTGGCCTTGTGGCTCGGGACAGTCGCTTTTTCCAGATCTTGGACAGGGGAGAGACACTGCTGCTGAATGATGCTGATCGCCCTCAGGAAGGCTTTTATACATGTATTGCCACTAATTCTGCTGGCTCCACAAGCCTTAACTTTACTGTCACTGTGCTGGGTATGTGTTAAATCATAATCACTTTATCTTCATACAAGTAAGTTTATTTATTTGGAAGATTTAATATTGATAAACTCCTATCAGAATTGATGATAGCCAACCAAATTCCTCTAACTGTAGTCCTTTTTATTGTGTCATATTTTACTTTATTTCCTGCTGATGATCTCCATAATGTTTCCACCAGTGATTCTCCAAAAATGGCATGTTATTACTAAATAGGTGCCCCACCAATAACAGCTTGCCATATATATCCATTCCTTACCCATATTTACTATAATGACTTTTCAGATTCTCCACCAGAAATCAATTACTACAGCATGTATTGTTAAAGATATTATGACATATGTCTTTAATGTATAGTTAACATATTTTTACTCTGCACAGTGTGCTTTGTACTAGCTTGTTGTTTTGTTAATATTCCTGACATTGTATCAGTAATTTTCCTGCAAGTGACTCTACATTATAACATACCATTGTATTGTTGGTTGATGACATTGTAACTATCATTATCCAGCAGGTCACCCAACATTGTAGAGTAATATTTTGTGATGGTCCCTGACATTGTAACTATCATTATCCAGCAGGTCACCCAACATTGTAGAGTAATATTTTGTGATGGTCCCTGACATTGTAACTATCATTATCCAGCAGGTCACCCAGCATTGTAGAGTAATATTTTGTGATGGTCCCTGACATTGTAACAATCATCATCCAGCAGGTCACCCAACATTGTAGAGTAATATTTTGTGATGGTCCCTGACATGGTAACTATCATTATCCAGCAGGTCACCCAACATTGTAGAGTAATATTTTGTGATGGTCCCTGACATTGTAACTATCATTATCCAGCAGGTCACCCAACATTGTAGAGTAATATTTTGTGATGGTCCCTGACATTGTAACAATCATCATCCAGCAGGTCACCCAACATTGTAGAGTAATATTTTGTGATGGTCCCTGACATTGTAACTATCATTATCCAGCAGGTCACCCAACATTGTAGAGTAATATTTTGTGATGGTCCCTGACATTGTAACTATCATTATCCAGCAGGTCACCCAACATTGTAGAGTAATATTTTGTGATGGTCCCTGACATTGTAACAATCATTATCCAGCAGGTCACCCAACATTGTAGAGTAATATTTTGTGATGGTCCCTGACATTGTAACTATCATTATCCAGCAGGTCACCCAACATTGTAGAGTAATATTTTGTGATGGTCCCTGACATTGTAACAATCATTATCCAGCAGGTCACCCAACATTGTAGAGTAATGTTTTGTGATGGTCCCTGACATTGTAACAATCACTATCGAGCAGGCCATCCTATGTTGTAGTGTAATGTTTTGTTGACAGTATATATATATTTGATATTGATTGGTTGTTTCACTGGCAATACAGGCCATAGTATACCAATATGTTGTGTCCTGGACAATGAAGTGCCAAAAAAACATTGGCATCAGTATTTCCTCCATATCATAACATATTGTTTTCCTACATATGTACCAGTATAGTATTTGTTTACAGTACCCCCAAAGATCACAGACCTAGTAACGGAGGTGACAGGTGTTGTGGATACTTCAATTGTCCTGCCTTGTGAGTTTGGTGGTTACCCTGACCCTGAGGTTACCTGGAAAAAGGATGGCTACTTATTCCCTCGCAGTAGCTTACGTCATGATTTGTCATTCGGAGCCATCCAGTTTAGCCGTGTTCGTCTTGAAGACCAGGGCATGTATGAATGTGTTGTTACCAATCTGGTTGGCAGTGATACAAAACGCATCAACTTAACCTTACAAGGTAGCTACAACTTAACATTTTTGGCATTGTGAACTTTCTGCATTAAAAGTTTTCATGCCCCGCTTGGATGATCTGGGGCCTGTTATTTTATTCAGTCTGTTGGCACTTGTAATGTACATTAAGATAATCATAATACTTCAGGACAGGCCTTCAAATATACAGGCCCTATTTCACAAATAAATAACTCTGGTCATCAAATAAATGTGATAGAAATGATGTTTTTCATACCAACCTCTCTGACTGTTAAAGTTTTTTTGTTTTTTTTTTTAGTACAACAAAAACATATCATGCAGCTCATGATTTTAAATATATAAACTTTATTTATTTTACAACAATTGCGAAACAAGTTATGTCAACTTATACTAATCACTCTTGTTGGCCCGGATGTAAGCGCGCGAGGGGTCTTATTGTGGTCTGGAAACTTGTAATGTACCCGGGGAAAACCCACGTGGTCCGGCAGGTGGCCCCTTACCTTTTCACGTCCGTTCCGGGAATCGAACCCCGGTCGGCTTGGTGAAAGGCGAGTGCGTTAACACTGCGCCACCGGACCATGATTTTATCTTCAGTAATTTCATTTTAGCCAAAAAATATTTTATTAACAACATCTGCAAATGTGAAGTTGAAAGTTATCCATTTAAAGAACAGATGGCCTAAAATATTTCATTTTTCTTCCTCTTTTAAATTTTACTCTATTTGAAATACACCTTTATCAAATATTTATTGCATAAGTTATCAACCAAATCCAAATAAAGAGTGCATTCCTAATAACATTCAGATTGTGTAGTATTAACTAAAAAATAAATAAAATTTATGTAACCAAGTATGCTTTGATATTTCTTTAAGTGCCTCCTGGTATTGTTGGCCCAAGGGAATTACGCATGGAGGTTTTGGTGGGTGATGATGCTTACCTCCCCTGCGATGCAGTAGGTCAGCCCAAACCCACGATCTCATGGTCAAAGGGATTTTTCACGCAGCTGAAACGTAACCAAGGTCTGTAACTGTAAATGAACGTCTGGCATGATAGATCTATTCATTGTTGTAGTGTTTAATAATTTCAACTTGCACCATGTCTTACTTTGCTATAAGAGGCAAGGATGGGAACAAATTATGTTAATTACAGCATTTTGTCATTACAGTTATATTGGGCAATGGGACCTTGCTTGTGCGAAGAGTAACCAGGAAAGACAGTGGTGTTTACCGTTGTATTGCAGCAAACTCAGTTGATCTTGCATATCGCATTGTAAGACTCAGAACTCTAAGTAAGTAGTTTGTATTTATGGAGTGAGAAACACTTACATATTTTTATACCAATACTTACTTCTATTCCTAAGCTCACCCTTTCTTTCTTTCTCTCTCTCGTTACTTGCTCGGATTTAAAATGGCCAAAACTGTCATGAAAAATCATACACATACATATACTAGCATCTTTACAATATGTTTAGTTCACCATCATCAGATGATAGCCCTTCTTCTGTGGTAAGATTTTCCATCCGTTCTTAAACAATTCTTGTCATTGCTATTACCTGAGAAGTACTGGATGAATCTTTTTCAAATTTCATTTGAAGGCTCCCCTTTGTCCCTAATACATGTAGTACATGATTAATTTTTGGATATCAGAAAATAATAGCCCTCTTAGATTTAGATAGAAGAAGTTGCTAATGTGACTGGATGGATATTTTTCAATTTTCAAATATAGGTTTTGGACTGACCAGCAAAATGAAATGGCCATCAATGCAGTCTTGTAATAACCATTGCTTGAGATGTACAGGATGGATCTATCACAAATTTCTTATGTTGACTTTCTTGTTTCCTTAAGTTGTATATGATAGTTTTTGCTGCCAGGCTGTCAGGTCTGATATGAATGTTGAAGTTTGTGATAAATCTTTCATGAGAAATACAGGATGGATATTTCTCAAATATAATATTCAGACTCCCCTTGACTCCTACTTGTGCATGCTTATCACAAAAACAAAATGGCTTTTATGCAATCATCTTGGATTTAGAGTTTCAGTTTGTAATTGCTATTTCTTGAGGAGGACAGGACTAAATTTCAGGTCATCTGACCTTAAGGGTCAAGATGACGTATTGCTATTGTACATGGTCCGACGTCAAGTGTCAACTTTCATACCATGATGGATTTCAACCACCTTTGGTCTGATGCATGATTGGGTAAGAGTAATCATTTGATAAATTCAAAATTTTGATTCAACCCTGAGGGGTCAAGGAACAGGGCCCAAAAAAGGGGGAGGTGAGCTTTAAAACCCTACTCCTCCTGTCTGCCTTGGTAGATTTCAACAAGCTGTAGTCTGATTCATCAGTTAGGATAGGCAATTATTTCTGAAATTCAGAAAAATGATTTGAAACCTTTTTATTTTTTATTTTTTTTATTGACACCACAAAACAAACATACCTGTATACATAAACACCCAACAGGTCCAGGCTCCCTGCTAGGTTTTAGACAGAGACAAATATTACATTTAATGTATCAAAGTAACAAGTACCGAGTGGTATGCATGATCTGCAAAAAATCTTAAGCTCAATATCAGGTATCAATTCATGTTGAATATTATATTATTATAATTACTGGCAAATTACCTACTGATAGTCACATGAAATATTAAAAATAACTCATATGTAGGTGTGATTTACAAACATATAGTTATATATATATATATATATATATAAACTTTATTACTTTATACATACTATGCATATACCACCTAACATACATAGGTCTTCTTTTTCTACACTACATGTACATGTTTATACATGACACAGATAAATACATGACAAGAATAACAACAACAAAAAAAACTCAGTGTTATATATATGCATAAAGAAATCTTAGTAAGTTTGAAACAGGGTATACGTATAAGACTCATGAGACTATGAAAAGGTTGTCAGGAGGGATTATTCTGTATGGATATTAAAAGAAGATGACCCGACTTTAATGTCAAGGGGAGACCACTTAGCCTCAAAATTGATAAAAGATTTGTTTTCAGAGGCAATTTTCCGTTCAACTTCCTTCTGTACAGAGATTACAGATTTAAGCCCTGGGAAGGATGGTTTTACATTCCTAAAGCGACAAGTGTAGATATAATATTTTGTTATTAATATCAAGTGATTAATTAAAATAGAATCGTTATAATAAAATAAAATTTCCTTTATGTCCCATTCATTAATTATGATATCGTTTTGCATGTTGTTTAAACACTGTTTTAAATCTTCCCATAATGTATACACGTTTTCACAGTGATAAAAGAGGTGTGTTAAAGATTCTTGTTCTTTTTCACAGAAAGTACAATTTTCATCTCTTACAATTTTAATTCTGTATAGAAATTTATTTGTGGTTAAAATTCTGTGTAAGAGTTAAAGTTGAAAATTTTGTAGTTTTGTATTTGGACATGTTTTAAAACAAGCACTATATATTTTTTCCCAGTTTAAGGTATTTTCATTATTGATGCCCAGATTTCTATTCCATTTCTCTTGTTTAGATGCAGGGTAATGATGGAGATCTAGAGACACATCTACACAAACTACTAACTAGAACAGACCATAAATACATTTACCACTCCCTGTTACAAAAGCAAAAATATTACCCCAAAACCTTCAGTTAGACAATGTTTGGCTTCAAAACACCACTTCTTAATGCATGAGTAGATTTCAACCAAATTTGGCCTGAAACATTTTGAGGAAGTGGCAATGATATCAAAAGTGCATAAAGTGATCCTGAGATTGTCCTGACCAAATCTTATCTTTTATGCTTTGGTCCAAAATGCAACATATATCACATTGAATAAATAGTCTGAACTACTTATCAAGTTTCACTCACACCGTTGGCAAAAATTTGATTTTTTAAGGAAAAGAGAGAGATATATTATTTTTCATCCAGATCAAATCTTAAACCACAATAGCCATTTCATAACATGATTGTGCAACTGTTTTTCATGTATAGAAATTACCATTTTTGAGTTTCTGATACTTTTCAGTAATGTTCAAAATTTTAATTCATCAGATTTATCAGACCACCATCTGCAAATTCTGTAGTTTATCCATCCATTCATTGATCGTCAGATGGCCGTAAAGGGCCATGGACATCTTGTTTAAAAATTTCATGTTGAATCTTCTTTGTATATAATATGGCTTTACTAACGGGCAAGTAAGAGGAAAGATGGAAAAGATCCAGCTTCTATAGAACTGATAAAGGCCATATGATGGGTGGCAACATGATCTTTGTGGAATTTCTTGTTCATACTATTGGGCTGAGGAACTGCTTAGTTTTGCCTTGAAAACTATTTATTTATTCCAATATTTCAGTAAAACCCACCATTGTCGATGGACAAAGGGATTATAATGCCCAGCTTGGAGACAGAGTTGTTTTGACATGTCGTGTGACAGCAATTCCAAGAGCAGTGACCACCTGGAGGAAGGATGGCCAGCTCATAGACACCACACGGTCTCGCTACATCAAACATCAGAATCGACTTGTCATTGCCTCTGTTAGGTAAAGTTATATTTCTATAAGACACAGCAGTAAACTTGATGTTGCCACTGTTAGGTAGTTATATTACTATAAGTTACAGCATTGAAGGTGTCATTGCCTTCATAAGATTAAGTTGTCATTGTCTTCATAAGGTAAAGTTGTATTACTATAAGTCACAGCATTGAAGGTGTCATTGTCTTCATAAGGTAAAGTTATATTACTATGATACACAGCAGTTAAGTTGTCATTGTCTTCATATGGTAAAGTTGTATTACTATAAGACACAGCATTGAAGGTGTCATTGTCTTCATAAGGTAAAGTTATATTACTATGATACACAGCAGTTAAGTTGTCATTGTCTTCATATGGTAAAGTTGTATTACTATAAGACACAGCATTGAAGGTGTCATTGTCTTCATAAGGTAAAGTTATATTACTATGATACACAGCAGTTAAGTTGTCATTGTCTTCATATGGTAAAGTTGTATTACTATAAGTCACAGCATTGAAGGTGTCATTGTCTTCATATGGTAAAGTTGTATTACTATAAGTCACAGCATTGAAGGTGTCATTGTCTTCATAAGGTTAAGTTATATTACTTTAAGACACAGCATTGAAGGTGTCATTGTCTTCATATGGTAAAGTTGTATTACTATAAGTCACAGCATTGAAGGTGTCATTGTCTTCATATGGTAAAGTTATATTACTATATGACACATCATTGAGGTGTCATTGTCTTCATAAGGTAAAGTTATATTACTATAAGACACAGCATTGAAGGTGTCATTGTCTTCATAAGGTAAAGTTATATTACTTTAAGACAAGGCAGTAAACTTGTCACTGTCTTCATTTGATAAAGTTATACTGTGGATTGGGAAATTTTCGCCTATGTTCTTTTATGTCTTCTCATAAAAATGTAAATTTTTGTACAGTGTTTCAGGCTCACCAAAGAACATTAAAATCTGCTTGATCTGTTTGCCTTATGTTAAATCGATACAGGAGTGTTATTGATAGATTAACAGACTTTATTTTGCAAAAAAAATATTGGATCTCCTGTAGGTCTGTGGATGCTGGAAACTACACGTGTACAGCCGTTAACCAGGCGGGCATTGCTTCTGTCTACAGAAACTTATCAGTGTTTGGTAAATATATATCTCCTTTTGTCATGTCATTTAGTGAATTGAAGTCCTAAAATTCTTTACATATAGTGTTTCATGTGACCACCTTTTGTTCAGCATCATACATTGTCTGTCATGTGTTACTCATTGTGTTTGCAAAAACTTCTAAACCAATTTGGAAAAACTTTGATGAAAGTTTCCACAGCCAAAAGGAAACAAAATTGTCAACGGTACTGTCTCCCTACCACCAGGGATTGAAGGACTGAAGCTAAATGAGGTTAAAATTATTCAGTTTAGACCTACAGCTATGGTGATATCAAATAATTTTTCATGCATGGACCAATGTCTTAAGGTGATTTACTAAAATCATGATCACAAAATAACATCTTGTGGGTAAATTTGGTTTTGTACAAATTTTTGGAGATAATTCAAACTTAGATTGATTAGTATGGGATGACAATTTGATTAAGATATGAGCTGTCTACTCCAGTGCCACCTGTTATTGCGGAGAGCAGTCGATTTGTCACAGCATTCTTAGGTAACATATCGATCATTGTGCCATGTGAGGTGACAGGATACCCTACTCCAGTGATAACATGGCACAAAGATGGGCAAAGACTTCGGGACGACCGCAGCAAAATAATATTTCAGGAAGGCTCTATTATGATAAGGGGGATACAGGTAAGTCATGTACCTTCTTGATAAAACATGCCAGATGGTTTTTTTTGTTTACAAATGGTGGGGAGGTGATTTAAGGTTTGGAAGTTCAAAAACTTTCAATGATAGAACCATCGTCAGTTTGTAGAATATATGATGTACATAATTTATAATTTGTAACTTGATTTATTAGATTAATTAGAAAAAAAATGGAATGAAGTAATGTTGATATGACTACTTCTCATTTCCACTGTGTAATTGTTTGTTGCAGGAAAGTGATGCAGGTGTCTATAGATGTGATGCCATTAACTTTGTTGGAAACACGTCAAGGGAGACAACTGTCAGAGTTCAAGGTCAGTTCTCAGAATTTTGTGTCACTTCTTGAGGAATTCTATACAAGATTGTTTGGTCATGGTCACAGAGTTAAAGTAAATATTAGACCCCTATGCTACCCTTTCTACTGAGAGACCATACCTTTGTACTTTAGTCTCTCCCTTATATCAAGTCTTTCACTTCTTGATACTGAAGTTTGTCTGAAAGTCTGAATATACTGTGATAGTGAAAATTTTGTTTTGGAACACAGAGGCCCCTATAATTAATCTGCGACCACAGGGCCAGGAAGTAGCAGTAGGTGGCAGCATACAGCTGTTATGTGGGGCCAGTGGTGTGCCTTCACCTATTATACGCTGGGAGAAAAATGGACAACCTGTTGAAGGTAAGCCATTTTGAAGGCATTTTTTGTTCATTACAGAAATATATTTGGAAATGTATAATAGTTTACGCAATGAGAGTCATCTGTCACACCTGGACGTGTTAACATTATGTAAACAAAGTCAAAGCATTAAAGACCAATTTTCACACCTCACCAACTTCCAGAACAATAGTGCAATCCTAACGTTAAAAGGACTTTTATAACTTTGGAACTTAGAACGATTGTTAGGTTTGAGTGACGTCATGAAGTTTTCCAATGTGGTGCTGTAACATTCTGAAGATCAGTCTTTCGTATGCACATTGGAATTTTTTGAAAAGGCCAAAAATTAAGTCCAGGCTTAGATGCTATGTAATTTAGGATAAATTGTATTTGTTTTGTTTTTTCACAATGACCTTTTGGAGACCATGCTCCAAAGTGCAACAAACAGAATGCCATGTCATTATTATGAGTGTCACTATCAGTAATTTATATGAACATTCTGATATCAAACTAAAGTTGTTGAAATAAAATATTTGTAGTTAAGATAAAATATTTGCACTTACAGTGAAGTCTGCATTAATTGAATATAGAAAACTAACATGCCAGGACCAATTCCTTCACAGGATTGTTTACATCTTTGCTGATATAGTGATCAGTTTTCCGAAATAATTCTTTCTCGGCACATATAATTGATAGCGTGGTATCAACTTGGTCACAATCTTAGAATGCTTTTCAAAGATACCACCAGAATATAGCAGCCAGTGAAACATGGCATTTCAAAGATGAACAATTCATCACTTGGTAGCAATTTTGTTGGTAATAGTTAGAAGAAAAGGACACAAAACTTAGGTAATTTGAACCAGCTTACATCATATAGATTTATCAATGCTGCACAGATACACATATGTATCAATATCACAGGTGATAGGAATGATAAGTGTTAGCAATATATCAACAGATGACACCTACATATGGAGATGCAGCCATATTGGACCTATCACTAATTTGACCAGTGTGTTGTGAATATGGTAGGATCATTAACAATAACTTATATAAGTAGGTTGCCAAATGTGTGAAATAGGAAAATAAAGCATATTGCAAAATTTTGTCCTCAAACAATTTAAGAAACCTATCAGTTTGGTGCATCAGAAAGTAAAATTCTGCTTTCTATCATATTTTCTTCTGACAAATGACACATTTTATTAAGTGAATTTTGCTGCATGACTCTGACTAGGTTTGCAACTTTCCTTAACATCCTTTACAGGAACATACTTGTCATGATAATTATTGTGCTTTCAGACAAACAGAACATCGGTGGACGTAGTTTGTTGATAGTTAACAGTGCCAGGAGAGAAGATGGGGGTTTGTACACATGTATTGCTGAAAATCCTGCTGGTGTAGACACTGCCTCAGCTACAGTCATCATGTCTGGTAGGTTTATCTTACATCCTATAGGTCTGTCATGTCAGGTTGGTCTGTCTTAATCATACTATCAGATAAGTGAGTCTTAATCTTTATGTCTGGAAGATCTGACTTAATGATCGTGTCTGGTAAATCAGTGTTAATCATCATGTCAGGAAGGTCTGTCTTAATGATCCTGACAGGTAGGTCTGTCTTAATGATCCTGACAGGTAGGTCTATCTTCATGATCCTGACAGGCAGGTCTATCTTCATGATTATGACAGGTAGGTCTGTCTTCATGATCCTGACAGGTAGGTCTGTATTAATGATCCTGACAGGTAGGTCTATCTTCATGATCCTGACAGGTAGGTCTATCTTCATGATTATGACAGGTAGGTCTGTCTTCATGATTATGCCAGGCAGGTCTATCTTCATGATCCTGACAGGTAGGTCTATCTTCATGATTATGACAGGTAGGTCTATCTTCATGATCCTGACAGGTAGGTCTATCTTCATGATCCTGCCAGGTAGGTCTATCTTCATGAGCCTGACAGGTAGGTCTGTCTTCATGAGCCTGACAGGCAGGTCTGTATTAATGATCCTGACAGGCAGGTCTATCTTCATGATTATGACAGGTAGGTCTGTCTTAATGATCCTGACAGGTAGGTCTATCTTCATGATCCTGACAGGTAGGTCTGTCTTCATGAGCCTGACAGGCAGGTCTGTATTAATGATCCTGACAGGCCGGTCTATCTTCATGATTATGACAGGTAGGTCTATCTTAATGATCCTGACAGGTAGGTCTGTCTTCATGATCCTGACAGGTAGGTCTATCTTCATGATTATGACAGGTAGGTTTATCTTCATGATTATGACAGGTAGGTCTATCTTCATGATCCTGACAGGTAGGTCTGTCTTCATGATTATGACAGGTAGGTCTATCTTCATGATTATTACAGGTAGGTCTGTCTTCATGATCCTGACAGGTAGGTCTGTATTAATGATCCTGACAGGTAGGTCTATCTTCATGATCCTGACAGGTAGGTCTATCTTCATGATTATGCCAGGTAGGTCTATCTTCATGATTATGACAGGTAGGTCTGTCTTAATGATCCTGACAGGTAGGTCTATCTTCATGATTATGACAGGTAGGTCTATCTTCATGATCCTGACAGGTAGGTCTATCTTCATGATCCTGACAGGTAGGTCTGTCTTCATGAACCTGACAGGCAGGTCTGTATTAATGATCCTGACAGGCAGTTCTATATTCCTGATCCTGACAGGTAGGTCTATCTTCATGATCCTGACAGGTAGGTCTGTCTTCATGATTATGACAGGTAGGTCTATCTTCATGATTATTACAGGTAGGTCTGTCTTCATGATCCTGACAGGTAGGTCTGTATTAATGATCCTGACAGGTAGGTCTATCTTCATGATCCTGACAGGTAGGTCTATCTTCATGATTATGCCAGGTAGGTCTGTCTTCATGATTATGACAGGTAGGTCTGTCTTAATGATCCTGACAGGTAGGTCTATCTTCATGATCCTGACAGGTAGGTCTATCTTCATGATCCTGACAGGTAGGTCTATCTTCATGATCCTGACAGGTAGGTCTGTCTTCATGAACCTGACAGGCAGGTCTGTATTAATGATCCTGACAGGCAGGTCTATATTCCTGATCCTGACAGGTAGGTCTATCTTCATGATTATTACAGGTAGGTCTGTCTTCATGAGCCTGACAGGTAGGTCTGTCTTCATGAGCCTGACAGGTAGGTCTATCTTCATGATTATGACAGGTAGGTCTATCTTCATGATTATTACAGGTAGGTCTGTCTTCATGATCCTGACAGGTAGGTCTGTATTAATGATCCTGACAGGTAGGTCTATCTTCATGATCCTGACAGGTACATGCATCATTATCATCCTGACAGTTACCTTTACCTTAGTTTGAGTAGATCTTAGTTAGAAGTACGATCTGGTACATCAACCAGAATTGCTCTACCGGGTTACTGTATATACCTTACAATTATTAAGAAGGAATTACGTAGCAATCCCTTTGTGTCTATTCATACTGAGCAAGATATTATTGTACTGTAATAGTATTGAACCCCTCAGCAGGTTTAGTTCATATTTACACTATTGTATATTCAATCATATCTGCACGTCTGGAAAGTGTTGTGGTCATCAGTTAGAATTAAACCTGTGGAAGAACAGGTTTTACACTGAAGAAAAGCTTGTGTACATAAACCCATGAAAGATTAATTCCATATCAAAATTTGGTAATGACTTAACTTGATTTGAATATATTTTCTGAATTCAGTTCCATATGTACTTAATAGATTCATAAGTCTTTGTTTCAATCCATGAAATGAAGAAGTCAGTAAAATGTACTCCACTGGTTACACACTTGACTAGGGAAAGAAATAAAAGCCATATCTGTTGACTTTTGGAAAGATTGATGTTTACTATCACCTGATAAAAATCTTATTCTATATATGTTTGTCTTCTTAATTTTGCTGTGGCAGTGCCGCCCAGAGTAACAGTTCCTGATGGTAATGCAGTGGTCAGTATAGCTGAGAAGGTGATGTTGACCTGTTCGGTGGGAGGAGATCCTCAACCAGAGATACTCTGGACAAAAAATGGACGTCCTGTTTTGTACAGTGACCGAATCGTTGTGCTTAACAATGGCTCACTTGTAATTTACGATGCTACGGTAAGTTGTAGAAATATTGGTAATGCATGTTCATTTCAATCATTTTTTAAACCTTACATGTATAGATAATTTTATCATGTGCAAATGGGGAAAAAAATCTGAGGTTAGTTTTAATTCAAAATGTTATGTCTCCACTTATTTTCTCCTCACTTTATTTTTCTTATATGGAAAATATTTTATTGAAGAAATTTGGTTTGTGGAGTGATAAATTGATGAACATTCATAGCAAGAAAGGACGATAGGCTAATCAACTATAGCATTAATTGTCTAGATTAGCATATGGAAAGAAATGGAGGTTCTGGTATGAAAAGATGCTGAGAAGAACTGGAATTAAATCGAAAGATTTCACTAGTTTTACTTACTTATCACCTATAAAAATGATCAAGTTATTTTACTATCGTTTGTTAAAAGAGTTCTGATGCTGGAGAATACAAGTGTGTGGCAACAAATTATGCAGGAACTTCTACAGGTGTTGCTATGTTGATTGTCAATGGTGAGTACATTTCAAGAGCCTTGACTGATCAATATCCAGAAATAATTTGATAATGCAACATTATATTACTAACTTAATTGTTCTAAGTTGAGAAAATAGCGTCCCTTAGTTTCTGGGTGATTTTCTACGCTCCTTGAAAATATTCAATGGAGCATATAGTTGATTTGTCTTAGCTTTCAATCTGTCTTTCCGTCTGTCCTTTTCATGTCTTGAGTATATATTCACTACAGTTAAGCAAGGACCATGTATCTTTGTGAAACTTGTTGTGAACATCAGTTACACTAAGGCAATATGCAGTATTTCAAAGTCTAGGCTCACAACCCCTTCTTTACATTGTTATTGCTCTTTGTTAAGATTTTGTGTCTGAAGCATTATTTGCTTTTAAACTAGGCTAATGAAATTTGTCCTGTGCATCAGTTACATTAAGACAATGTACAGTGTACCATAGTCACCCATTTTCATTTTATAGTAAGGAAGTTATGTATGAATGTAATTACAAGCATTGAATGGGGTGACATTCCATTTATTTGTCACCAAAATTGTATTCATATCATCGGTATACTACCATCATAGAATGTAAAAAATATTGCAGTGTGTTATTCCTAGATATTGGAGATTTGAGCAAGATCTGGTCATAGTTAGACATGAGATATGCAAGGGCTGAGAAGTAGCCAAAGTATGAATAAGAAAAAGATATGTATGTTAAGTGATTAACTTGTGTGTTATAGAACCTCCACAGTTTAAGATTGAGCCAAAGAACACAACAGTTAGTATGGGGGACACTATCCTGATGAACTGTGTGGCAGAAGGGGAACCAGAGCCTCTCATTGAGTGGCAGAGGTCATGGCAGGAAAATATTGAACCAAATGAGCGACTTTCTATATTACCTAACAATTCCCTCAGGTATGAACCAAATGAGTGACTTTCTATGCTACCTAACAATTCCCTCAGGTATGAACCAAATGAGCGACTTTCTATATTACCTAACAATTCCCTCAGGTATGAACCAAATAAGTGACTTTCTATATTACCTAACAATTCCCTCAGGTATGAACCAAATAAGTGACTTTCTATATTACCTAACAATTCCCTCAGGTATGAACCAAATAAGTGACTTTCTATATTACCTAACAATTCCCTCAGGTATGAACCAAATAAGTGACTTTCTATATTACCTAACAATTCCCTCAGGTATGAACCAAATAAGTGACTTTCTATATTACCTAACAATTCCCTCAGGTATGAACCAAATAAGTGACTTTCTATATTACCTAACAATTCCCTCAGGTATGAACCAAATAAGTGACTTTCTATACTACCTAACAATTCTCTCAAATATGAACCAGATGAGTGACTTTCTCTCTTACCTAACAATTCTCTCAAATATGAACCAGATGAGTGACTTTCTCTCTTACCTAACAATTCTCTCAAATATGAACCAGATGAGTGACTTTCTCTATAACCTAGCAATTCTCTCAAATATGAACCAGATGAGTGACTTTCTCTATAACCTAGCAATTCTCTCAAATATGAACCAGATGAGTGACTTTATATATTACTTAAGGATTCCCTCAGGTAAGGAACAAATATTACTGAAGTATCTAAAAACTATTTGACCTGCTGCAACAATGTAGCAGTGATACAATATATTCTAGCATATGAAACATATAATTATGCAGTCAGTTGGATTCATAAATATGAAATGACAAGTTGTTTTCATTTGCTACTTTATTTTGTGTAACCTTCGAAAATTTTGTGAGTATATTTTCTTTCTTTCCAAACATGATTACACTTAAACCAGGAGGTTACCCTGCAAGTAGCTGTGACAGCCCTACAGTATTGTACTACCCCTTATCTTTCTGAAAGATTCATGTTTTATGATGACCTGTTACAGAATTATTGCTGCCCAGGTATCAGATTCAGGAAAGGTGCAGTGTAAGGCTAGTAACCGTGAAGGAATTACTGTTGTCGAAGCATATATTACTGTTGTTGGTGAGTAGCACACAGGATAAATATGTTTCAAATGCTCTTTCATTTATGTTGCCTCTATGATTAGTATCTAAAATTTAGGTTTGAGGTTGATTACTAAGTATTATTTTTACTTCCTATTCAAAGTGTTTTTACCCCAGCTGGTGTGAAGAATCAATGCAAGCTTATATTATTAATGAATTTAAGGATTTCTTGAAAACCACCCAATGCAATATTACTAAAATTTACAAATAACATTCTCTGACGACAGGCATTCAAAATTGTACAAAAGGAAACTAACCCCAAAAACAGAATCTTTTCTTTATAACATGCTTTATGCAAGTTTTCTTTGAAACAAGTGATATCAACTAATTTGAAGAGATATTAGGGGTTCAAAATTTACAACTGGAACAACCCCTGGTGCAACTGTGACCAGCTACAGAAGTTACTGATTTTCCAATATGGAGCAGAAGGGTCACTGAAACTATGCATTCAATTGTGAAATTGTTGATCAGCTAATAACAAAAGGTTTAGGCCCTAACTGATTCATTTGAGTTCACTCATTTGTTAGATTCACTATGCTGCTGATTAGCTAAGTATTTTCAAAATAATTAATGAATGTGTGAGGAATGTCTGTCAAATTGATTTCAGTACATGGCCGTTACTCAGAGTGGTCAGAATGGGGTATGTGCAGCTCTACCTGTGGAATAGGAATACAGTTTCGTGCTCGCACCTGCACTGACCCTGAACCTGTCAATGGTGGTAGGAAGTGTATTGGTTCCTCCCTTGACTCCAGGACCTGCATAATGGCTAGCTGTCCAGGTAAATCTTTCAACAGAATTTTCATATGATGTATACAAGACATACTTCCTGCTCCAAAATGTGAAAACTGTCTGCTTCCAAAAATGTAAAATATCAGCATTGCTCTTTTTATACTGTATGTTCTACTCAAGAACAGTGTATTGATTTTATACTATTTAACATACTAAAAGAAAGAAGATACAACCATTTTTACACACATTATTACAAGTTTAGCTCTTATTTTCAACTTACCGTGTATTTTACACTTGTAGTAAATGGCCAGTGGGGTAACTGGCAGGGCTGGACTGAGTGTAGTGCTACCTGTGGTGAAGGGGAGAGATTCAGGTCAAGGTTCTGTGACAATCCTTCCCCAAGAGATGGTGGACTTAATTGTCAGGACGATGATATTCAATATGACGTGTGTGTGTCCCGTCCCTGTCCATGTATGTCATCACATTGTACATACTAGCATTGTGTGTGGATATTATCAAGAATTATATTCCCATATAATTGGAATTACAATTTTCTAACTAATACTTCCAGAGGTGAAATATTTGTTTAGACAACTTAGTTTCTTTAATTTGAATTGGATACTGATTACCATGAAACTGTAATCAGGATCATCATTCCCATATTTCCATATTATTCCCATTCAAATAATAACAAAGAGTCAATTAGTTGTACACTACAATTTTGTAATTAGATTTAATTTGAAATCAATATCTCTCTTTTTTTCACCGGGTCATATCTTGTATACTCTTGTCCACACACAAGTTTTTACATACCTCTTGTCACATTCTATTTGCAGAGTTATGGCCATTTGTTCAATGTACTTTCTTTTGTCTAGGACATAACTTTGATATCATATGGAACCAGTAACTGAAAATATTTTTCTAGTGAATATTTTGACAGATAAAGAAGCATTGATTCTGGAATTTCAAGAACATATATGGTTTTTTTTGGTAATTTAGTGGATGGTGGATGGGGAGAGTGGTCAGGGTGGCGCCCATGCTCTGTTACATGTGGTGTTGGTTCTCAGGAGAGGACAAGAAGGTGTGATAGTCCAAGTCCTGCTTACAGAGGACAACCCTGCTCTGGTGAGGCACTTGACAGGCGGCCCTGTACTGCTCGCACATGTGAAGGTAGGTACAGTGAGTCTCTGTTATAGAAAGGAATTGAGAAATGCCATTGCCATAGATCCTAGACTTTGTAGCCTGATGTTTTTTATCATTGAACAAAAGGTTAATTCTTTCTGACCAAAGATAGTCAGGTGACTTTGAATGAATCTATGACCTTACTGTTCCTGTATACTATCTGAAAGGGAGATATACTATGGTTATCCCACTGACTTGTCTGCAGCATAACAAACACAGCAATGAATAGATTTTGATGATGTTTTATATCATTTGTCTCATACATCAAGTTCTTCAAGTCAGCTTGTCTACAGCATTCATAGCCAAGTATTTTGTCAACTGGAATGAAACACAGTTGTTCCTTGCACTGTTATCTGGAGTCAATTTTAATTTCAAGGTCATGAGGAAGTACGGATGGTTGGATGGTACAGTGGTAACACACTTGCCTTTCACCTAAGGTGCTCACTGTTCACTTCCCTGATTGCACATAGAAAAAATGTATGGGGGTCGCCTGCCAACCATTTTGGTTTTCCCAGGGTTCTTTGGTTTCCTTCAACAGTAAGACTCCCTTTTGTGCCAACAAGAGTGATTGTTTCAAAATGGTTGTTAATTAGTTTACATATTAAATGACCAAGTGAATTCAAAATATATGGTTACCAAGTTCAATGTCAAGGTCAAATTCTCTGTTGCTTAGTTAGGGTTCTGTTATGAAGCAAAATTGTCATAATCAAATTAGTTTGGAATTGAGAGGTCAAAGTCAGGTCAAATATCAATAGAGCATGGTTACTAGTAAACATTTTATAATGAAATTGCTAAGCAAAGTTTTGTGGAATAAAGTAGGAAGTCATCTTACTGTACTCTTGCATAATACAAATGTAGTTGCATGAATAATTTTAGATATTTTCATTTGAACCAGGTATATTTTGTTTTATAAATCATAATTATGTTTCCATTTTTGCTTGTTGGCCAATCCCCTTTGTAGAGGAGCATTATTGATAGATTTCTAATCAAAATGTCACCACTCTATAAATTTCATTCAATTATCACGTCATGAAATTTTACATTTTCAAAAGAATGTCTCTAGTAAGAGTGCAGGTTTGATCTTCTGGGGTTAAAAACTGATAACATTTCTACAATAAGAATATTTTGATAATTTCCTGTTTTGATAGTATGAGCATCATCTGCAGTGTCTTTTACAAATATCATAAATATATGAACATGGTATTTTTATTACAGTGGATGGTAACTGGGGTTTATGGACTGTGTGGTCAGGATGTTCCCAGTCATGTGGGGGTGGGACCCGTACACGACAGCGTGCTTGTGATAGCCCTGCACCACAGTATGGAGGAATGTACTGCTGGGGAAGAGATCGCCAGACAGACTATTGTAATCCAGAAAAATGTCCAAGTTAGTTCGCTTCTGCACAGTGAAGCTTTTAATCTGCATATGATTACTCTTTTGCACAACATTACACATAATATATTTTCATAATAAGGCTGAATCATTTTAAGTAATAAACATATTTGATATTTTCAAGCAAATTCAATTTCTTTTCTGAAAATGATACAACAGTTTGGAAAACCCTATTTTTTCTTGTAATATGAGATTTGAAACATTTCAGTTAAATGTGTTTGAAATTATACAGTTCTGATGAAATCAGAAATTCAAACTTGAAATACACACGTCAAGAAAATTAAACGTTGAATCCTATGTTTTAGGGCATGGGAACTGGAACCAGTGGGAGAGTTGGGGGGCTTGTTCTGCCAGTTGTGGAACTGGCTTGATGAAGAGGTTCAGAACCTGTACTAACCCTCCACCAAGTCGAAATGGCCGACCATGTCTTGGATCAGGGGAGACAACTAAAACTTGCAACACAATTCCCTGTCCTGGTAATTGAGGCTAAAGACCACTTTGAGTTAACTTTTTGTTACTCAATTTTCTTGTTGATAATTGAAGCAAATTGATCAATAATGATAAAACAGTCATAATCATGGACAAGAAAATGTAGCAGAGTCTATTTTTACTACATGTTCGTCTGTTGATTGACCACTGAATGTCATCTGATTTTCTTTTTGTTTGTGACAGTAAATGGTAAGTGGAGAGACTGGTCTAATTGGTCACCATGTTCTGTGACATGTGGAGAGGGATATAGGGAAAGACAGCGACAATGTAGCAGCCCTCGTCATGGCGGTAGCTCCTGTCCGGGCAACACAATACAAAGGGATGACTGTGTTCTGCCTGTATGCTCAAGTACGTGTTAATAAAATCTGAATCACTTTGTCCATTCTATACTGCCCAGTTCTTACCTCCATTTTAGCTCTCTTACCACAGATGTTCAGTTGTTGAAAATGGACTTCACCTGTAGTCTGTCCATGTATAATTCTTCTTTTCACTGATGAAATGTTTTTCTCTAACAGTATTAGAAGAGGAAAAAAATCAAACTAAGATAGAAGCAGTAAATATCATACAATGGTGGATGCCAGAATTCTGCTGATATCTCTTCTGTAAGGACAGTATACAAACAAGCACACTATATCTTGTTACCAGTACTTTGTTCAAAACTACATCTAGCAAAATTAGTTTAGAAAATAGGAAATCCTTTTATTGTTTGCATTCTTGATTATAAATTGCCCAATTGTTGAAAGCAAGAGAAACAAATCCTGGGTTGTGTTTGCTTCAGACTTTCCATTTCGTGCGGAGGGTAACCTAGTGGGTTACATAAACAACATTGACCTGCCTGATGCCACCTTGAGCGCCACCATCACTCCCACTGACAGTGGTACCACCTTGGTGGAGGCCACACTGCACAATGTACCTCAATCTATTGGTAAGCAGAGTCATTTGTCGTGTGTTTTTATATCTAAATTTGGTACATTGTAATGTAACACAACGTTCTCTGAAAAGTGCACTATATCTTACTGATTGGCTAGGTTCATTTATACTGAAAGCCACAACTTATTCGTAATCATTGAAAAGTGTTAAAACTTTGAGTTAGATTAGGTTCCCAGTACCATAAATGACAGCCCATTAAAAAACCAGGTTTACTGAAATGTATATCAAAGATTACTGGTAGATTATGTTCATATTACAATAAATCACATCCCAATGGTCAGCAGTAAGTTCTCTGTACCATGACCTCATGCAACCGTTTTGGAAGCATGGTTAACCGTAGAGTATACTTAAGTCTTTTGGTACTTAAATAGATTCTTTATGAAGTGGTCTACAACCCATTTGTAAGCTGGGAATCCTGTACAATGTGCCTCAACTTCTACAGAGAAGCAATGTGCACTAACTGAAATCTGTTGATGAAAGGAATTAACTATACTTTACCACATCAATGAGAAGCTGAGTTCACTGTACAATTTGCAACATCTCATAGATAAGGAGTATCAAAATATGAAAATAGGAACTGTGCAACCAAGATTTAAAACTTTTGAGCATCTCCATCAAAATAAGTTAAGAAAGGCTTGAATACTCTTATCCAGTGCCATTGTACAGAATTTTTTGATGGTTTATTCGTTTCAGCTGGTCACTTGCGTCATCTGGTTGATATCTTAAATCCTGTGTTCTGGACCACTGCATTAGAAGTAGATGGAGCAAAGAATGGGCTTTCACTGGCTGATGGTCACTTTGTACGTGAGGTACAAGTGCAATATGTAACAGGTAAACTTTATGGTTAGAATTAATATGGGCTGCATGACAAACACAGTGAATCTTGAAAACATAATGTGTGATATGTTGTCTCTAAGATTCTTTTTCTCTTTAGACTTACCAATATACTAGTGCTAATTACATGTTTAATGAGAGAGTTCTAGTTTTATTATATCATTATCACTTTCATGAACCAGACAGTATTTCATTGTTAGCTTGATATCTATTGATACCGAATATATCTCCTGACTATAAAATCAAATTGATACTGGTTCTAAAACATCTTTGACATGTTGTAGTCATTTGATGTTATTTTGTTTACAGTTGAAATTCAAAATAATTTTTAAAATTTTATGCTTTATTGTGTTTCTCCAAATATTTTCCGGGGAGCATATTGTTTCCACTTCGTTGATCTGTCCTTTATTGTCTGGAGCGTAACTTTATGCAGAGTTAGGCAAGCACAGTAACAAGATTAATTACCTTTACAATATTTATGAAATTTAATATTTTTTTCTTAATTTGAATTGAAAGGATAAGAAAATCCATTACATGATACACATGTACTGTAGCTTCATTTTCTGCATTGTATGCCAGGTGAGACATTAACAATGTCACAATTTGGACGAGGTGTAGACAACAATGGGATTCTACAAGTGGATGTAATGGTGAGAGGTAATGCTCCAAATCTGACCTCAGTGGGAGATGTGTTTCTTCTACCCTACCATGAACAATACATTCAGACTGGATATGGTAAGGCTTCCTTCTGCAAGTCGATTTAATCTTTTCTCTTTGTCATTATTTTTTTATTTGCTTTTCCTCAAATATGGAAATGTTAGAAATTGAATGCCTTGAAAATTCTATACTTTAAAGAAGTTCATGAATATTCTATGAAACAATAATCATTTCAATTACATAATCTATTGACACCATTGAAAATGAATATAATCAGATCGCATCAAATGAATTAAATTAGATCTGTTCTGGACAAAAGTTTGCTTACAATCTAGCTGTCTCACAATCCAGTCACTTTTCTTAGAAATAAAGGTTGCAAGGAACTATGTACCATGACCAAAGGTGATTTCATTAAGTACTGTGAATGAGGGTGGCATTTAGTGTTGGGAATCAATTTAATATTCAAGATTGATATTTTGAGCCCCATAATCTATTGATGATTGATTGTCTTCAAATGTTGCTCTGAATGAAGAAAGGTTAAAAAAATTTAACATTTATAGTTTCATAACTTACATAGTACAATTATTAAAACAAAATGGTAAAATCAGGGCTAATGAGTTTGTATAGTATGTGTCATCGGTAAATTAATTTGATCTACAGTCATAACATCATCAGCAGATTACTGTTGCACAAGACATATCCACCTTTTATAAGCTATTAATCTAGCTGTGTCTAAAACACTTCACTGACTGCTATGATGCAACATGACATTGACTAGGTGACACTTGAATGTTGACATGGTTTTAAGTGGGAATTTACATAACATTTGACATAGAATTATATACAATAATTATGTATGTTTTCAAATTTTAACCTTTCTGATAAATTTACAAGTCAATCTTGCTTGAGCGAAATCAATTATTGGATCAGATACATGTCAAAATTAATTAATTGATTTTTCTTATTTTTGGAACATCATTAGTAGTTTGGCTCTCTTAGGAATGAGGGTGGGTTGTGTTCTAGGAATGAAGGCAAATTGCCATTGTACTGTGAAAAAAGCGGATGGACTGGGAAGGAAGGTAGCTTCATTATTGAGGTGTATGGTAAAGAGGTTTACTCTGATTTGTTTACAGATTCCATGTATGCACACTCTACCCGGGTATTTCGTGTGGATGGATTAACATTGCCGTATGCCTGGAATCACACCATCACCTACAGTGAAGACTTGGGCACCATGCCCTTCTTAGTACAAGACATGTATGTCCGTGATATTTCCACCTTCTTGCCAACTCCTACTGAGGTTGAATTCCGTATTGCCACTAGCATCAGTCCAGGTAATTATGTGATTAATGTCAGCTCACTTGTTTCAAAGAACTTGGTTCTTCTTTTGTCTTTTATCTGTTTTCCCTGGTTTGTTCATCTTCCTAAAATGAGTTTGATGTAATGCTCAAAAGGCCACAGGTGCCAAATTTGTAAAATAGGATAACAGTCTTGAGACCTGGACTATACATGTGTTAAAAAATTCAAATGAATTTATTTGACTTATACAGATAAGTTTACATGACCCTTAAATCAATTGTTCAAATAGCTTCTTCTTGTAAGCATTTGAATAGATAGAGTATTAGTATTGCATTTGGTTGTCGTGGTAGGTGGATGGTTTGAATATCAACTTTGTGACTTTTGCCCAGATTCCATTTCTCAAGAGTCATAGTGTAATGTATTAGCAAATGATGAGGCACAACATAAGAATAACTTTGATAAGTTTAGCCATTGTTATGTTCATGGCCTTAGTGTCCTCAATGTCTAGGGTCGATGTGTTAATGTTGTAAAATTACTGCTAAATAAACCATAGGCTTTTAATTAATGCTATTTGGTCTTTAGCATCTTGGTGTACAAGGCTATCATAATGTCTATATCAAATAATCTTTACTCACATTTTTACCTCTTTTTATTTCAGGCACTCCAAGTAACCAGTGTCCAGATGGGTTCTATTTAGATACAGATGGCCAGTTTTGTAGGGGTAAGTAACGACCAGAAGCTTAAAGATCATCTAGATTGTATATGCATCACGTTAGTGTAAGTTAATGTTACCATTCATCAGAATGGAGTTTAATACTCAGGTATCTTGACCGTATGAAAAATGTTTGTATACTGTGGATTCATTTTATTTCGTGGGGGTCCAATTTTCGTTGTTTTCGTGGATGAGCAAATCCACGAATTTAAAAACACAACGAAATATGAACTACTTACTAAAGTAATTTTGAAATTTGACCAAGTAATCTTTGCCGACACCGGAAACGTCCACCGGTAATGACAGAAGCCCCGTAATTAGTCGGGAGTCGGGTAGTCTGAGGCTCGACATGGATACGCTAAATTGGTGTCAACGATATATAATTATATATTATTAAACATAACAAAGGGTAAGTACACATTGTGATGCTAAGTATGATGGGATCGCAGTCGTTAGCGACACTGTGGACACTAGGCTTGATCGGACCATCCTGTCGATTGAAGATTGGATCCGTATTTCTATCCGACTACAGGTTCACAATAATTATTAATAATGCAGATCTTGTTTACACACCTGTTTACACACATGGTCCCATCGATACGCGTGGTGTTTTCATATGACTGCGGTACACCGACTGATCAGCACACAATGTTTATCCACTGAAAACAATTGTTTCTGATAATTACCGATTGATTACACGCCAGGATATATACTGATTTGTGGTTTGATATTAATGCGAGACTGTTGTAAACAGCGTTATAAAAACACAGGACGCCATCTTGAAAAAAAAACGTTCTTTTATTCTTGTCATTAGTGTTAATTCCTGTGAACATAGCCTTAATACAAACAGAAAAAAATTCGACTGGAAGCAAAAAGAGAAAATTCTAACGTTTTTATTTTTTTCCCACAGAATCAAAAATCCACGAATTTATGAGTCCACGAAACTGTCTAATTTGTAGAAACAACGAAAATTGAACCCAACGAAAATAAATGAATCCACAGTATTAGGCATATGCCTTTAAAGTTGTAGGGATTTGTACAAGGATTTTTTTCAAAAAGTTTCAAGGTTTTATGATCAGAAGTGGAAGGTCACCAGCACTTAAGAATTATTACCTTCGGTAACATGATCAATTTTCACCAAGACTATTAACATTTGTTATAGACATTTGAAAGATGAAGTTACTACTGTGAATATTATTTTTGAAACATTTCAAAGTCACAGTGTCTGAATGTCATTATTTCTTCTTTTTGAATTTTCAGGTGACTGATAAGGCCCCGATGGCCACTTGTCTGTTTGTAAATCTCTTTATAGCAAACGCAAATATGTCTGTAATATAAGCATATGTTTTTGATTTGTTTCTTTGGAAAGCTGGTATGACATGCTAAATGCTTGACACAAATTGCTCTATGCTAAATGCAATATGCCAACAACTTGTAATTTAACATTTGTTACCCTCAAAAAAGCATTAGGAGATATTTTCCAATGACTTTGCAGTCATCTTGAAATTGAAAATACATGTATCTTTAAACAAATGAAGAGAAAGCATTTGACATAAAGCATTTTACATAAAGGAATTGCTGCTGTAATGTAAGCATTCACATTGGCATCAATTAGTTTTCCTATCAATCAATTTTCCTGCCACAAAACCTACATGGACAAATTTCCACCAAGCTGTATGACAAACATGATGATTTCAATCTCACTAATGTAAAATTTTTATTTCTGAATAACAACATCCTTGCATCCCCAACCTATGGTGTTAACATGTGGCAGTTTATTCTACATTTTAGGGTCTAGTCCCATTATCATGATTTTGTGCAAGAAGTCGTCAACTGACAGACAAACACAGGGTTTCAAAAGATGCAAGTTGATGATAATCATGGGAAAATTTTATGGTCGTCATAATGACTTTAAATATTCTATTTCTTTGTATGATAGAAGCTGGACATGTTTGATGCTTGTTAATTTGCCTATTGGTTCCTTAGTTTTATACCTTGTTCTCATCTGAGGAGAACACCTGGTCTTATTCTTCTTGTACTTTTGCAGGAGTTTCCATGTAAATCTTTCTTTTGTCCATATTTTGCCCTAGTTTTATTGAGTTTGAGTATGGATTATGATTATGTTGGCATATTGGTATTTTCTTATTGTTTTTCAATTATGTTGCAACTGGACTGAGTTAACTTGTCTTTGAAATTTATTAGATATTGATGAGTGTACTACTACCAGACCATGCTCCAGCACCTGTCACAACTCCCCAGGGACCTATGCCTGCTCCTGTCCATTTGGATATGTACTTGATAGGGATGGATCAAATTGTCAAGGTCAGTAGAAAAAAAGATGAAATTTGTGTTTAGGTACCAGCATATTAAAGAAAAAAACAAGTTGAGGAACTGTAAAACTGTTTTCAACGATATTTAGTTCAAATTGTGTTTTGTCTGTGGCCCTTATATTTAAATTTATCAGCCTTTTGCTTTCTTTTTTTTTCTTTCAAAGGAAGTATATCAATCTGCATTGTTATGTTACTTTCAGATGAAAATAAATAGATTGGCATAAGGATGGTGTATTCAACCCACTATCATTAGATAGTGGGCTGTTCAAATCATGTTGCATCCACAGTCCATCATTCGTCCACTGTCATGTAGTTCTTATAACAATTTTTGTTATAGTAACTTTCTTGGGAAGTAGCAGATGGATCTTTCTAAAATTTCATATGTAGGTTTTCCTTGGTCCCAAGTTTGACTCAAAACAAAATGGCTGACAGCTGCAAGTAGCCATCTTGGGTTTTGACTCTTGAAATTTGTTATTGCTTTTTCTTGAGACGCATTGGATGGATCTTTTTCAAGTTTCAAATGAACATTCCTTATTGTCATTAGTTGTGCCCTTCTGATTTCAGGACTGATCAGAAGAAATATCAGGTTATAGATTATCAATATTTCTTAAGAGAAATTTCCTTATGCAAAAGCAGAGGAAAGAAGATGAAAGAAGGGAAAAAATTCAACTTTTAAAGAACAAATAAAATCAATCACTGACAGTCAATCAGTCAGCTTCATTTTGAAGCAGAGACTCCCTGTAGTAGCTGGTGGCTTTCACTGAACAACAAACATCTGTCAACTAGATCACCTTTGACCACTTCTAAAATAAAAAGCATGTATGCAAGATATCTTATGAATCCCTCATTAGATTGAGTTACAAATAACGGAGTCAGAAATGGGGGTATATGTAAAAATTATGAACACCTCCTTACTTTCTTTTCTTTTTTTTCAGACATTAATGAATGTGCGAATAACAATGGAGACTGTTCTGTAGATCAGGAATGCATTAATACACTTGGGTCGTTTCACTGTGCCGTGTACTGCAAGAATGGTTTCCGACGTTCACTTAATGACCAGTCCTGTGATGGTATGCATGCTTTACCTTGTAAATCATGTCTTAGGAAAATATTAATTGCAGATATCCTGACTACTCTTTGTGTCCAGTATGAATTTTTTATTATCATATTGCTTCAGAAGGAGTAAAACATTCCTTGAATTGTTTAGATAACTTATTTGTTGAAAGGTTTTAGGAAGCAATGAATTGACAGACAAAGGAAATTTAGGGTAATTTGGTAAAATTTCTGTGCATCTGTGATGATTATCATAATTATACCATGCTTGGTTATGTAGATATTGATGAGTGCCATGAGACCCCTGAGGTGTGTGGGCATGAATGTAATAACATTCTTGGCGGCTACCAGTGTTCTTGTTCCCGTGGCTTCATGTTGGTGGAAAATGGAAGATGTACAGGTAAACCAATGTATTACATGACTGTCATGTTTCTTCAGACTGAAGGGGCAAGATATTTCATAAAGGTCTAAGAATATTGTGATATTACACCAAAACATGTAGAATTCTGTAACAAGAATATAACAGTCCACAACCCCATAGGGAATCTCACAAGCAAATAAAACAATCAAGTATCCTGGACTGATTTTTACCGAATAGAAGTTTGAATATTTCTGTTTTGAGTTTAATGATTGTATAATATTGCACATTTGTATGAACAGGTGTGTAATGATGGTGAGCAGAAACAGTCTTAGCTTGTTAGAGTAAGATCAAAAGTAATATCTTGGCAAATCTTGTGACCTACTTAACAAGAGTTTCTGCCTTTTAGGTTGTATATTCATTTTGCTTGTTCTGTTTGTGTAGATTCTATCTGATATAATGTAAGTTAGTCAACATGGCACTTTACATATTACTTAAAATTGTTGTTAATCAGTTAGAAGTCTGTTTGAAGCTTTACATTTATAGTGGATGCTTTTTGTTGTGAAATACAAAGTGACTCTAAAGGTCCTCCTCCTGCTGAAAGGTTGACCAGGCCAATCTGAAGATTCTAATGCACAATAATTATTACCATGTTATCATATATAAGTATTTATGTACAGAGTTAGAATTATCATGTTTAAAGTAGAACATTTCATTTTAAAAAGTGTTCAAAAACATCAATAGCAAAATTCTCTACACTGATGTTGTATTGCTAAAATTACAACATGTAAATTCCATTTTGAAGAATGCAGAAATTTTATGTAACATGATCAACTCTATATATCTCATACAGGTCTTTAAAGACTGTAAATTACATTATCATACCTTATACAGGTCTTTAAAGACTTTGCATTACATCATCATACCTTATACAGGTCTTTAAAGACTGTGCATTACATCATCATACCTTATACAGGTCTTTTAAAGACTGTGCGTTACATCATCATACCTTATACAGGTCTTTTAAAGACTGTGCGTTACATCATCATACCTTATACAGGTCTTTTAAAGACTGTACATTACATTGTTATACCTTATACAGGTCTTTAAAGACTTACATTACATTATCATACCATATACAGGTCTTTAAAGGCACAGTGTATTGCATTATAGTGTTGTTATCATGAGCTCACAAAACAGAAAAAAAATCGTAGTGAGACCTTAGTTTATGTCGTTTTGTTTTCAATTTTTAAGTGTGTTGAGATATTTCTGTACAACAGATATCAACGAGTGCATACAGGGGATATCTGGCTGTTCCCACGACTGTAAAAATTCAATTGGAAGCTACAAGTGTGCATGTCCTCCAGGGTTTAGACTACAAGATCTTCTCACCTGTATAGGTAAGTTACTGATCCAAGGTCTGTGGAGAACATTACACACATTGAGATATATTAATACCAACTTGTTAAGGATGAATGAGACTTGGGCTCACACAATTTCTAAGATTTAATTTTTGTTCTGGGTATGGTTTTGTTGAAAAGTTAGATGACAGAAGGTTTGTTTGGAGCAAAAAAAAAACTCCCCAAAAAACAATATTTTGCTGCGCTTCTTTTACAGTTACATGCATTTTTTCTCTTGTCATTTTTCTTATTGTTCTTATTCATTTTCAGGCAATCCTGATTCCTGACAAATTTCTTTTCTAATTGAAATGCAGTAAAATGATACTGTGATAATAAGCAATTACATTATCTCTAAATGCTAATTTTCAATATGATTTGACAGCTGCAAATTTCCATAGCAACCAAAAAAATTGTATTTGATAGTGTTCTTCAATGTTTTTCAGGAGTTTATGCCTTGATAGAAAAATGTTTGAGAATTCTTTTCATAATAAAACAAAAAGAAGGAATTGTTGTGCTGAATATTTGAGCTAAATGTAATGCAGGTTTCAGCCTAATGTCACAGCCTTAAGAACTAGCATGTACTACCAATCCTAGTTTGTAATTGTCATGAGATCTGTGATAATTCAAGCACAATTTAGTTGAATTCTTCCCAAAACTTTTAGATTTATACTATAGAGAAATACCCTAGCAATGGAAAATAATGAAATTGTTGACTCGAAAACTGAATAATGACATCACCTATGCTGTCACAAAATCTAGTTAACACGGGAAAAAATTTACATAACATCACTTTAAGTGCTCCACTTTTTAGGTCACCTGTGTCATAATCTCGATTACCTTGACCTGCTTTCAACATTGCAGGGATAGAAACTTTTGAGTATTTTAATTAATTTTCAATTGGAAGTTCATTGTCAAGGATGTGCAATGTTTTGAAAACTTCAGTGAAGGGCCCTAAGAGTTGGATTTGTTTAAATTTTTTGCAATATCCTTTAAATCAACACTTGATACAATATTTCAAAAGGATACAACTATTGGAAACAAAGCCTATCAACATTCAAAAGTCTATGATATTACATTCAAATTGTTGTTATTATATGCCCCACTTTTGGTCAATCATGAGTTTAATACATCCATAAACAAATCCAATTTGCCTTTTATTCAAAAACTTTCATTCCACATAGTTTGGATTAGATCAGCTTATGATATTGAAAATTATATTTACTACCAACCTTGATGAATGTCTCAAATTACAAATCATATTTTAAATGGTAAACATAAATCAATTGTCATGGTTTTAATGTTGTCTGTAATGGTTAAAGCCATGTTTGATGTGTTGTAGATATTAATGAATGTAGTGAGCATAGCAGTGTATGTAGAAGTGATGAGAAGTGCATTAACTCGGAGGGCAGCTTCAAATGTGTAATGCTTTGTGCTGACGGCTATGAACCTTTTGCTCCTGGACAGTGTCGTGGTAGGAAGTATAACCTATTATGAAATTAAGCTCCTGTCTGTTGCCAAAAATGCTGTCATATATATTAGTCTGTACATTCGGAAATAGCCAGCTTTATTACAATAAAGTACAGTAATTTTTGTACAGCACATGCAAAATTTTAATATATGAATATTTTTCCTTCAGAGTAGGGAACATAGTATTGGGTCAATCAATCTGTTCCTGTGATAACTTCTGTAGCGATCATTCAATTTATGCCAAAGTTTATCTGCAATTGTATTGTAATGGTACTGATAGGTAGAGTTTTATACTTGTCTACATGTTGTGAAGTAGAGCACATTAAATAATTTTGATTATCTTATTAATGTATCTTTTGTAATAAATATTACACCAACAGATATTAATGAGTGTACAAGAGATTTACACCAGTGTTATGCCAACCAGAGATGTGTAAACACAGAGGGAAGCTACCAGTGTACCTGTGATCCAGGCTTCACATCCAGGGGACAAGGTTATCCTTGTATAGGTAGGTTATGTAATGGTGTCAAGGTGACAAGGATAGCACCTCTTGGGGACAAGGTTATCCTTGTATAGGTAGGTCATGGAATGTTGTCAACGTGACAAGGATAGCATCTCTTGGGGACAAGGTTGTCCTTGTATAGTTAGGTCGTGTAATGTTGTCAAGGTGACAAGGATAGCACCTTTTGTGGACAAGATTGTCCTTGTATAGGAAGGTCATGTAATGGTGTCAAGGTGACAAGGATAGCACCTCTTGGGGACAAGGTTGTCCTTGTATAGTTAGGTCATGTAATGTTGTCAAGGTGACAAGGATAGCACCTTTTGTGGACAAGATTGTCCTTGTATAGGTAGGTCATGGAATGTTGTCAAGGTGACAAGGATAGCATCTCTTGGGGACAAGGTTGTCCTTGTATAGTTAGGTCATGTAATGTTGTCAAGGTGACAAGGATAGCACCTCTTGGGGACAAGGTTATCCTTGTATAGATAGGTCATGTAATGGTGTCAAGGTGACCAGGATAGCACCTCTTGTGGACAAGATTGTCCTTGTATAGGTAGGTCATGTAATGGTGTCAAGGTGACAAGGATAGCACCTCTTGGGGACAAGGTTATCCTTGTATAGGTAGGTCATGTAATGGTGTCAAGGTGACAAGGATAGCACCTCTTGGGGACAAGGTTATCCAGGTATAGGTAGGTCATGGAATGGTGTCAAGGTGACCAGGATAGCACCTCTTGGGGACAAGGTTGTCCTTGTATAGGTAGGTCATGTACTGGTGTCAAGGTGACCAGGATAGCACCTCTTGTGGACAAGGTTGTCCTTGTATAGTTAGGTCATGTAATGTTGTCAAGGTGACAAGGATAGAACCTCTTGGGGACAAGGTTGTCCTTGTATAGTTAGGTCATGTAATGTTGTCAAGGTGACAAGGATAGCACCTTTTGTGGACAAGATTGTCCTTGTATAGGTAGGTCATGTAATGGTGTCAAGGTGACAAGGATAGCACCTCTTGGGGACAAGGTTATCCTTGTATAGGTAGGTCATGTAATGGTGTCAAGGTGACAAGGATAGCACCTCTTGGGGACAAGGTTATCCTTGTATAGGTAGGTCATGTAATGGTGTCAAGGTGACAAGGATAGCACCTTTTGGGGACAAGGTTATCCAGGTATAGGTAGGTCATGGAATGGTGTCAAGGTGACCAGGATAGCACCTTTTGGGGACAAGGTTATCCTGGTATAGGTAGGTCATGTACTGGTATCACTGTAACCTAGATTACATATCCAAGAATTGAGGTAATTTCACTATAGGTAGGTCATGTGATAGTGTCATGTGACCCAGATTACACAACCAGAAGTAGTTCCAATTCAGGTAGGTCATGGTCAAAATTCCATGTGACCCAGATTAAACAGATCCAAGAGATATACATGAGGTATTTATATGTACATGTCTTGTTTTGGGCTATTGATAATTTGCTTTTGCATACATCAAGACTTTGAATCAGTCATGGTGGACTAAATCAACGTTTTCATGTTCATGACTAGTTGATGACACAACATTTCTACCTGAATGAACATGACAAATGCCAAAATGCAAGTTTAAGTGGAAAGAGGCATTTTTAGCTTTCAACAAATCATTCCATTCATGAAAAATAAAAACATAACTTTAGATAAAAATCATTGAGAAATCAACAATGCCATAGTTCTTACATTTACATTCATGCCTTCATGTCACACAGTTTGGATTTCAAGGATCAATTTTCAATGAAAAGACACTTAGCATTGAAGTGGACTTCACATGGTACAGTGATTATTTCAATGAATTTTTTTAAAAAAAGCAAATTAATATCATAATGTATTCTGTCTAGAAACAACAGCACTAACATAACACATCTTAGGTCATAAAAATTACAAGGTTCTATACCATTGTTTTCACAACGGCTAATATGAAACAATAGGAGAATGCAGGATTGACATATAAATCAGCATGTTTCTCATGCTTTTATACTTAAAACTGTCAGAAAAGTGATGCTTTGGGAATGAGTTAAATCATCCTATAAGTGATAGGATTTCCTCCGGTTGTTTTCACAATTCTTTAAATTAGATCTAACTATGAAACTTAAACTTTAATCGGTGTCCAGTCATTAATTAACCTCATAATACAGAGCCATTAACACTGCGATATCATAATATCATTGTCAGGTAGCACTCATTGAAATGCACAAAATTTTGCCGCAGTGCAATTTCCTGTACAGTATACGTAAATGTTTTGTTCAAATCATGAGGTGTCAGTGACTGTGTTATCATAGCTAATGGTCCATGAAAAAAACTTTGATACATCGGAAATTTCAATTTGGAAAACTTCACTTCATAAAGGGATGAGTTAGAAGTTATTTAAGTTCCATTTATAGAAGTTTGACAGTGCGTATGAAATGACTATCTGGGGCATGTATTGTTAGAATTTCACACTTTGTAACCAAAATTTGTTTGCTGGTTCATTTTTTAGCTCACTTGGTCCAGATTTTGGCCAGAATTTTCCGACATTCTTTGGGAAGGGGAACAAATTTTGTAGAAATAGTGATTCTCTGTCTGAAGGGACTTGAGGGGAGGAGTCCAAAAGGGGCTTTAAAAGCCTTCTCCTGTAGAAATGTTTCAATTTTGTCTGAAATATACTTGAATGAAGGGAATCAATTTGGTAAAAACATTGGGTTTCTGCCCAATAGCGGAGGGCTCGATAGGGAAAATAGAGCAAATTCTTTCCTTCTCCTGTAAAAGACCAGATTTCTGTCTCAATTTGGTCAGGACTGTCCTTGGGTGAATGGTTAGTGTTGGTCCCCCTTATGCTGTCGAAATGTTAATATTTTGCCCTAATTTGGTAGGGGTGAAGCTTAAAAAGGAAAAACTGGCAAATCTTTAGAATCTCATTGCTTTACTTTTAGATAGCAAAACAAGGTGAATGATACAGGCCCTATGGGCCTCTTGTATTTGAGTGTATTGCACCAAAGTAGGCTCTGTGACCTATATTTTGACATTTGACTTCAGGCTTTGGAATTGATTTTCCTTGGTATAATTTGTATGCTATTTCGGATTTCACTCAGAGTTTTAATTATCAAAAATTGTCTACTATTTCTCCCCGAGTTGTAAGCTTCAACACATAGGTTACAGATTGCATTGCATTACATGTTTTTATTAAAGTGTTTAAATCTTGATGTAGATATACTTTGTGCTAAATGAAGAAGACATTCAATTGGATATGAGAGCATGACATATATGACTTGAATTAAATATTACTCAGAATATATGATGATCAAAAACAATTTTCATGAAAAAATAATGAAAATCTGATTAAATGAAAGACTGTTGAAGGCAATATTCAAGTAGTAGAGTTGTAGATAGAAATATTTGTTTCAGATGTGAATGAGTGTATTGATCAACCTGGGGTGTGTACGTTCAGATGTCACAATACTTTTGGTGGATTTGAGTGCATCTGTCCTCCAGGACAAATCCGATTGGCCGACAGAAAATCATGTGCTGGTACATACCTTTGCTTTAGCTAAAGCTTCCCACCCTCCCAATAGATATAAAACATCCTACTAACTGCAGAGCACCTCAGTCTAATTTTTAAAAAAGTATCAATGCCTTATGCTTCTAACAAAATTGATATGAACATTAACATGCACTAATGCAGTAAATTTATTTCTCTATTTATACATACTGACATACTGACTGGTAAAATATCCAGTTGCTTTTTATAAAAAAATAGCTTGAATTTCATTTCAGTCTACACATTGGTAAAATGTTCAATTATGCTTCTTATAAAAACTTTAAGTGTATTAAAGTATAAAGATTTGATATGTTACTTTGAAAAAATTTTTGAGGCAAAATGAAAGCTTTCAAACATGAAGAGCTATTTCTTTTTGTATTTTAGGCTTAGAGTTCATAGAACCAATCCAGGTGCTCTCAGTCAATACTCCCACCAATCAAAGGTGGCAGCCTCAAAGTGATGGGGTGGCACCAAGGTCAGGGGTCACACCCTGTCACCATGGTTACCACTGTTCCACCTTGTATAGACATGCCCTGCGACTGCGTCACAAACGTGGAGCGTGCCCGTTAGGGATGCATTATATCCCCTCTCAACACACCTGTTTAGGTAAGCACCAGCACATGTCTGAAGGTCAGCAGAGTTATAGAAGTTTTCAAATAAGAAATAATCAACTTATTTAAGCAGCAAAGAACAACCTCATGCAGTTAAGGGATATACCCCATATAGTCAATGAATAGCTGTAAAGGCAGTTATTAGTTCCCAACCTGGAAACAGAGGAGACCATAGTTTTGTGTTGTGCCCATCTGCCCTTCAACTATCTTCTGCACAAACTAATCACAGGAACTTCATACTTGAGATATGGGTTCACCTTTGTGAGATTGTGTATTGCGTTTATCAAAAGTCACTCTAACCTACATTTGGGCCTACGAACAAAAAGCTTGCTTGTGCTCTATTTTCTACACATCTAATCACAGGAACTTTATAACTGTAATTGTGTTCACCTTGGTGACACAGTGAAGTCACATATAACAAGTTTGTCCCTTTTTTTTCATCTTTGACCTACATCAAAGAAAAAGCTTCTGGGCCCTTTCTTCCACACTGCTAATCACTGGAACTTTATACTTGGGATATGGGTTCACTTTGGTGAGGCTGTGTGTCAGTGGATGACTGTAATTCATTGAATTATATTGTTTTGAGGAGTTCTATTCTTCACTGTGTTTGAGGAATCAAATGGTACCATTGAAGAAAATGGATATTAAACCATAGTCCTTTCAGGACTTCATTGAAAAGACATACCCATTCTACTTCAACATTTTGGTAAAGATTAACATTTCAGGGTAGGGATAGGATAATATAAATTCTCTTAATGACAATTCTTGTTTGAATCATTCTGTCAGTTGTCAAACCTCTCTGGCAACTTCATTCCTTAAGGGGTTCTCATCAAACTTCACACATTTGTTAAATATCGAAATATTTTTGACACGTTAGAGTTTCAGGTTCGTTAGGTCAAGGTCACTGATACTTTCCATGATTTTCAGCACTTTAGCGGCTTCATTCCTTGAGGGATACTCATTGAACCACACTCACTTTAAAAGTATTTAAAACAAGGTTGAGTTTCAGAATTGAGAGGTCAAGGTCACTTACTCCTTTTTTTAAAAATCATTGTCAGTGCTCTAACTTGTGGGGGCAGTAGGGGACATGTATTGCTTCAGCAATACTCAGTATGCTTGTTTGGATGGGAGAAGAGTGGTTCCCCCTATTACAATAAATTTACATTAGGAGAGAGAATATTTGTAAATGTAGTTTTGAGATAGCTGATATAAATTCTTTTCCATTGCAGATGTTGACGAGTGTGCAGAGGATCCTGGCATATGTCAACACAAGTGTATAAATACAGAAGGCAGCTTCAAATGTGCATGTCCTAAAGGCTACAAAGTGTCTCGTAACGCACGCAAATGTATAGGTAAAATTTTGTTGATTTAGTCATTTCAATCAACATGCTTAAATGCTAAAAGGAAAAAATTTTGGGTCAGGTGCATGTTTTATCATGTGTGCAAAGATTCATTATAGCATTTTGTGGGATTTTGCTGCTATGCTTTCTTTTTTTGTAACCCCTTTCATAATATTTGATATGCACACCGGATGTAGACTTTTTCTTGGTCTTTATCCTATCGAGTTGTGTAGGGCTTGAGTATCCAATCAAGATATCCCCTTGGTATCATTTTCCCAGATATAGGCGTGATTCTGCTCATACTATTCTGTGTTTTCATGCTGTTCTTTGACATTCTTTCAGCAGCTGTTCATATTCTTAACTCTTCGTTGGAAGTCATGTTTGCTTTTTTTTTTTTTTTTTTTTAATTTCTGTGTTGGAGAGGTGCATAAACTAACCTTCAAGCATAAGAAAAGTTTATTCATAAACCTTCCTTTGACAAACACTCATTTAATGATGATCTGGAGGCAAGTTGTAGGTTTAAAATTTTATAAACTTTGGAAAAGTTTATCTCAACCTCAGTCTGAAATTTGGGACAAAAATTAGGAACTCGATTAGGGAGTAGGTAACTTTAAATCATATCAATGCAAGTAGATATTGATGATAATTAGTAATATCAATATTAATCTTGAATATCATATGTTTCTTGGTTTAGATATAAACGAGTGTTCTGAATTGAGAATTAACTGTGGACCTGACCAGATGTGCTTCAATACCCGTGGCAGTCATCATTGTATTGAGACACCCTGTCCCCCCAACTACAAACGTAATCCACGTTCAGGGTAAGTAGCTAACCCAGGGAACTCTCAACACTGTGTTATTACAAAATTAATCAGACATCAAAATGTATGACAGCTGATTGAAAGGTCAGAGTTACAATAAAATTGCTGCACAAACTATCAAATTAAAAGCAAATTGAATATCATAACACTGGTTTACTTGCCAAAAAAATATGCTACATCAAAATAAAAACAAAAATAATGTTACATCATTGACCAGTCTGAACAGCTGTTAGATACCAATAAAATTAAGGTGTGTTTTATCTTTATTCTGTTTATTGCACATACTTTTGAAAATTGAAATTATAAACCTTAATATTTCACATTCTTCTAAAGCTATCAAAGCTGGATAACTTTACCAACGTTTAAAAGAATTGTGGGGTCAGTTTTATAACCCACCTTCAAAATATGTATTTTACAAGTCTGACTGAAATACTGAACATTTTGTGTGATTTTTCATAATTTTAAAATTGAAATTCTTTTTCACTTGCAGCTATTGTGTGTTAGAATGCTCCCTGTCTGATATCCCATGTCCCTCAGGAGCACGATACGCCGATGTGATTGAGTTTAGAACAGTAGCTCTTCCAAGTGGAATTCTAGCTTACCAAGATTTGATTCGACTGATTGCATTTGACCAAAATGATGTAAAACTTCCCAAGACAGACTTTACAATTCTAAGAAATGATGTTAACGTAAACTTTGAAATAAGACTCGAAGATGGAACAGGTATTGTGTATCCATTATCTCGCCTGGAGGAGACAGAACTTTACAAAATCACTGTACGAGCCAAATCATACGACAACGAACGAGAAAATATTCAATATCAGACTACATTCATCATACATATATCAGTGTCAGCTTTTCCATATTGATATGTCAAAATCACTAGATATCATGATTTATATAATTTTATACTGGTAATTAGATTATATAATGTACATCTATCTGTCCTGTAAGGTATAACATGACTTGTAAATCACTTGGTGCCTCCATATAACCAGGGAGTGAGCTTCAAAAGTGTACTTAATGTATATTTAATCACACAATTACCAAGGTCAATTAAATTACTTTTCATTCTATTGTTTTTAGTAAAATAAGTATCATTGGATGTATTTTTTGTAACAATTTTTTAATCAACAACGAAGCTTGAATTAAGCGTATTTTTGTTTATTATTTGCACAGAATGATATTGGCAGATTTTATAGACATGCACATGTAAATGTATCATAAAGAGTATGTAGATTATGTACTGCTATTTGATAACAATGTTGGGATTTTGCAAGAAATCATCAAAAAATTTATCAATGTAAGTATATTATGCCAATACAACATTTCATATCACAGCAATGTTACCATGATCAACTGCTTTTAAAACATACTTTGTTGAAAATAAACATAATTTTATTTTGTAAGAGTTCCACTTATTAATAAAAAAAAAAAAAGATTATCAATCACAAATTCATTGTATTCAGGATGGAAATTTTGTCATTTGATTCAGTAATAAAACATTGGTTTGATCCACTATGATGAATAATTTCATTGTTGTATATATCCTTTCATGTGTGAGAAGCCGGAGGTTGTAAGAATGTGTGAAAGATTCATGTACGATTACCATATGATCATCTGACAAATGGTAGTGTAGTTTTTACTCAAGTCACATCAGAGAAAATAAGTTTCAGAAACAAATATTTGATCAATGATTTCCTGTCATAATAATAACCCTTCAAGCTCAAACTATTGCTTAATATCCCCATTATATGTAGGCGACAGATCATCCCAAAGATTACAGAGGATATATCATCTTATTGTACAAAATACATTTATATGAAGATAATACATCATTAATGTTTTGTCAAAATGTTTGAAATGTTAAATACACTTGAGAGGGTTAACCTGGTCTGAATTTTCATGTGTGAAGAAAGGAAAATAAAACACGATTATGAACCAACCTATACTAGTTACTTGTTATTTATTATCCTACAGCTTGGAAACATGTTTAAACATAACATTAAATTGGTCTTCCGTCCATCCACAGAGCTTTTTTGGGACACAATTCAAAAACTGTCTAACAAATAATAAAAGAAAATTGTCTACAAAATATCATACACACATAGGGCCAATATCCTGATTATCAGTGGATTGCCAGATCAATTATATCTATTTGTAAGCTCTGGAGTACCAATGATAGCTTTAACTCGAGCAAAGCTTGGCAAGGCTTCAGGATGGAAACATCAAAATGACCATACACATGCTGTTGCAGCAGCTCAAAGGAAGAATAGTCATGAGATTTTTACACTGAGTGAACTGAAGCTCCGGGTCGAACAATTGACACATCAGGTGGGACAGTGTATGTCTACTGCCTCACCATCCCCTGGGTGCCAGTCAAGATAGCCAGCACCTCGATTTCAAGATCATGTAGCTGAACTGTTCAATTCTGGACGTCATGCTTGAATTTTAATAACAGTCATATATTGTGATGTAATGTAAATTTCATAATCTTTTATATGTGTAATTGCTTACTTTAAACCTTTATATGTTTGCATTTGAATAGTTTTGTCATTGAAAAGATTTTTTTAACTGCTGGATGTAAATTAAATGCAAATTTTGTCTAGAATTGGACCAGTGTTATTCCTATAAATACTATTTGACAGATAGGTTTTGGTCTATATATTGTTATGTTGACACAATAAAAATGTATGTAGACTGTTGCTTCATTTCCCTTTTAGTTCCATAACACTAGATTATAGATGTTCATTAAAGTCAAATGGAATTAATTTAGAAGTCATGTGGGTATAAGACATTCAAGCTACTCTCAGTTCCCAGATTAATATGCCACATTTGATATATACTGAATTGTGGAGGTGTTGACATCAGAAAAGTGTGAGTTTGGGACTTTTAGAGCAGCACAACAAAATTGTGTAAATGATGTAAGGATGATTTTCATTCTTGTCAGTGTAGTTTTCTCATACTTCACTATTTTTGATACATCGTCTCATTTTCCTGCAAAGCCCCTATTAAACACGGAACAAATTCCCATATTCTGCTATGGCTTGAAAAACCATTCGACAATGAATTATCTAGTGTTTCAAGTCTCAATTAACATGGCAGATAAGCAATGTATAATGATGGATAGCATGAATTTAAGTTTCAATGTTAACAACAGGTGATTTTTTGCACTCAGCGATATGAATTCGACGTGACATTTGTGCACTCCGGAACTTGTGGCTTTTTGTGCACTTCTACAACATAACATCTAGAAATATGAAAAACATTAAAATATATATGGACACAAAGTTACAATGTTTTTTAACCTCAAATAACTGCCCACCTAAAATTACTACCTATGGGCATCTTATCAACTGAGCCGCTTTCTGGTTGATCCGGGTAGATGCAAAATTTCAATTTTAGGTCATCTGACTCACAGGGTCCCTTAGGGACTTCGGGACAGGGAAGAAGAAGCTATGCAATTCAAAATGGGAAGTATGACAATGTTTTGCTTTAAAATGCTACTCCTCATTAATGCTTGAATGAATTTCAACCAAATTTTGTTTGGAACATTATTAAGGAGTGGCAATGATATCAAACATGAATGAAGTTGTCCTGAGATTGTCCTGACCAAATCTTGTTTTTCGGATTGGTCCAAAATCCAACGCGCCTCTCTTCTATGGTCTGTCCATCCATCAACTGATTGCCAGATGACTATTAAGGACCACAGCCCTCTTGTTGATATTTTTTAACAAATAGCCATAAACTTAACTTGATTTGTCCAATGAAGTTTTTTAACATCAAAATTTTGATTAAGGAATTTTTCTTTTTCATTTTTTACATACTTTTTTGCACGATGATGTTTATCTCTTTGACATGAGATGCTTCTTGGTACTGTACTCTTGTAAAATACTTCATGCTTACAATAATTGATTTTGAAATTTCATTAAGTATGTTATCTCTGGCAATCCACATTCTGGATCACCTTGGAAATTTCATTTCAAATGTTCCCATAATTATGAAAACTCAAATGGATGTCAATGAAAAACCAGATTTGTCAAGATCCTTTCAGGCCTTCTAGAGCAATAGTGTTTTAAAAGAAAAGTTACAGAACAAACAATGAATGCCAAATTGACAAGAGCTCACCATTCCCTTGGACCAGGTAGCTTAATATGTACTTCACAAATCCAATGCTGTATTTAGTGTATTCACATCATTATCCAAACTTATTGCAAAACATAAAAGGAAGACAAATGTAATTTTTTCTTGCATCTATGTTACATAGATATTTTTATTTTAGATAAATAAAGCATTATTTCACAAATATAACCCTTTTGAATTCCCAGAAACTTTCCATTTACGCGTCCGAACTACTAAGTACATCAGAGCAAGAACATACCTAAAAAGAAACAAAATTAAATTAAATTGAGAGAACTACAACAGATTGTTTATGAAAATGATTTCTTTTCCAAATGATAACTTTATTCAATGTAGTTTTATCAAAGAGCTTAACTAGCTAATTTGTATCATTAATGATTCTTTGAATTTCAAAAATAAAAAAAAAAAAAAAAATCAGGAATTTACTGAAAGGTTTCAGGACACTACAACTCAGAATCAGTAATTGACAAATTTGATCATTTCCTAAAAACTGAAATGACACCTGTTAATGTTGACATTATTCTGTCCAATTCCTATGTCTTTATAGCCTTTAACACTACAGGTCAAATTCAGTTCACTTAATATCACAACATTTGAGTTTAAGTTTCTGGTGCATTTATACTTACAATGAGGCAAGATAATAGCCATTATTTTGTTTAAATTCAGGACTGATCTGACCGCCAATTGGCCCCCCTTCCACTGTGCTATCTACAAAATTAGAATGTTAAAACAAACTAGAAATCTAAGCAATGTTCCAATTAACTTTAGACCATGATGGTCATTTCAGATTTATCATTTTGCCAACACAAACAAAGTAACAAAAACATATGACCATGTAAGGTTTTTTAGCCCACCATCATCAGATTGAAGGAGGGGAGGTTAGAGGGGTAGGGGTGAGGTGGGAAAGTGGTTGTCCAAATTGCCCTGCATTGGAGTACGGCATCTGTCTGTCCTTCCACCATTCTTGTTATTGCTATTTTCAATACGAGTGCATTGGGAGACAAGGCCAGTACCTGTGGCAACCACTCAGAAACAAATCAACTAATTATAATGAAAATTTTACCAACCACAACCTCAGTTTTTCAAGGAAACATCTGCAAACAAAAACTGGTATATGTTGATTAACAGTTCTAAACAGAATGCTTAGTTAAACCATATTGAGATGAACAGACAACATTTATTGCAAAGCTTTAGACTTAAGAAACACCAGAAGTGACAGGCTGGTGAAACAACAGTTAACAGTTCTAAACAGAATGCTTAGTTAAACCATATTGAGATGAACAGACAACATTTATTGCAAAGCTTTAGACTTAAGAAACACCAGAAGTGACAGGCTGGTGAAACAACAGTTAACAGTTCTAAACAGAATGCTTAGTTAAACCATATTGAGATGAACAGACAACATTTATTGCAAAGCTTTAGACTTAAGAAACACCAGAAGTGACAGGCTGGTGAAACAACAGTTAACAGTTCTAAACAGAATGCGGAGTTAAACCATATTGAGATGAACAGACAACATTTATTGCAAAGCTTTAGACTTAAGAAACACCAGAAGTGACAGGCTGGTGAAACAACAGTTAACAGTTCTAAACAGAATGCTTAGTTAAACCATATTGAGATGAACAGACAACATTTATTGCAAAGCTTTAGACTTAAGAAACACCAGAAGTGACAGGCTGGTGAAACAACAGTTAACAGTTCTAAACAGAATGCTTAGTTAAACCATATTGAGATGAACAGACAACATTTATTGCAAAGCTTTAGACTTAAGAAACACCAGAAGTGACAGGCTGGTGAAACAACAGTTAACAGTTCTAAACAGAATGCTTAGTTAAACCATATTGAGATGAACAGACAACATTTATTGCAAAGCTTTAGACTTAAGAAACACCAGAAGTGACAGGCTGGTGAAACAACAGTTAACAGTTCTAAACAGAATGCAGTTCTAAACAGAATGCTTAGTTAAACCATATTGAGATGAACAGACAACATTTATTGCAAAGCTTTAGACTTAAGAAACACCAGAAGTGACAGGCTGGTGAAACAACAGTTAACAGTTCTAAACAGAATGCTTAGTTAAACCATATTGAGATGAACAGACAACATTTATTGCAAAGCTTTAGACTTAAGAAACACCAGAAGTGACAGGCTGGTGAAACAACAGTTAACAGTTCTAAACAGAATGCGGAGTTAAACCATATTGAGATGAACAGACAACATTTATTGCAAAGCTTTAGACTTAAGAAACACCAGAAGTGACAGGCTGGTGAAACAACAGTTAACAGTTCTAAACAGAATGCTTAGTTAAACCATATTGAGATGAACAGACAACATTTATTGCAAAGCTTTAGACTTAAGAAACACCAGAAGTGACAGGCTGGTGAAACAACAGTTAACAGTTCTAAACAGAATGCTTAGTTAAACCATATTGAGATGAACAGACAACATTTATTGCAAAGCTTTAGACTTAAGAAACACCAGAAGTGACAGGCTGGTGAAACAACAGTTAACAGTTCTAAACGGAATGCGGAGTTAAACCATATTGAGATGAACAGACAACATTTATTGCAAAGCTTTAGACTTAAGAAACACCAGAAGTGACAGGCTGGTGAAACAACAAAATTTGGATATCTCAAATGATTTTAAAATATCCTAAAAAATTCACTCAATGCTGCAGATTCGGACAGCTCTTTGGCATTTGGTGGAATGACCAAATCATAGAATGAAATACTTCAGTGTCCTTAAGTCTTATAATGCCGAGTTTAAGGCTAGAAACAGAATATGGAATCACATTAATCTGCAAATTGTATTAAAACCAATGTTTCCCACATACAGACAACAACAGCATTGATAATTCTCTAAGAAGATTCATTAAGTGTTTCAATTATTAACGTATATTTCTATTTATGAATTTTGAAAGTATTCATCACAATATACTTTACCTGATGAAGCATCCAGGTAGACAGGTAGGCTATTTGTAGATCTAGCTAGGCCTTCCACATTTCGTCCACGAAATGTTTTAGGATCATTTCTTTGAGTATAACTGGCGAAACTCTCCTAAAACAACATGAAGTTGATATGATTCATAACACTTTAGAAATTAAGACACAATCTCTCATATCACTGTGAACCTAATTCAATGAAGATTTATCCACATGTAATGAGATATACACTTGTAGTACATATACATGTAAACTACATTATTATTCTGTGTTTCTCGTCTAAATGGGAAAAGAGTAAATTTTGTATAAATGGCAGGTTTCAGGGGATACTGGGGTGTGCAGCTAAATGACAAAGGAGTACACACCTACAGTCCCCTATGGTAGTGCTGGTGGGGTCTAATGATAGACAGGAGTTCACACCTAAGGTCCCCTATGGTAGTGCTGGTGGGGCCTAATGATAGACAGGAGTACACACCTACAGTCCCCTATGGGGTAATATCTTACTCACCTGTTCAGTATGTTGAACATGACCCACTATTTTCACTTCGCCTGTAACCTGTGAACAGTAAGTGTTTCATCAATATTGATATCACATCTGTGTAAGAATTAATTTTGGAAATGAAGCTATTTATTTAAGTTAATTTGTCCTCGTGAGGGAACACCTACAGCAAGCTACAGAACAAGGATCAGAGCAACTCCTCCAGAGCTTTCCGAGAGGAGTGGAGAGAAGGGGGCATGAGAGACTCAATAAGACTGAGCGACAGGAAATGACAGTGATTAGTATAAGTTGAAATAACTTGTTTCGCAATTGTTGTAAAATAAATAAAATTTATAGTGAACAGGAAACGACCAGGTCATACACAAAAAAGACAATGGTACAAACTAGTCAACACTGAGTTGGAGAACAAGTCCAAGCAAGGTGCCAGTGGAGGAAATTAAAGGGCTGAAGATTCACCAAGCATGATTCAATTGCACCATAGGAAAACAATGGGGGCTGAGAGACTTGGGGAGGTGATTCAAGGAAGCAACCAACGAGCAGAATTTTGGGGCACAGCAGCTCGGATATGACCTCCAAGAGACACTTCGCTGTCTAAAGAACGCAGAAAGACTTATGAAGGGAAGGAAGGAGAGAGCAAAGAAAAAAGCAAACTTTGTGAAAGATTTCATTTCACAAAGTCCCGTTTGGGAGATGAAAGATAAGGCCATCTTGAAAGTTCCAAGGAGGAAGTTGAGGATCATCTAAGCAGTGTATATTCTGATTACAAGAGAGCAGGACATCTGAATGTGGCAAGTGGCATACCGAATAAGGTGTATAAGAAATGCCCATTACTGTTAAGGAAATTGTCGAGACTCGTCTGTACGGTGTGGAAGAAAGGGATTATACTGACATGCTGGGAAAGAGCTGAGGGAGACTTTACCCCAAAGTAGAAAGACTCAGAGACAATGAACCAGTCTATGACTATCTTATTGCTGAGCGTAGAGGGAAAAGATCTTCTCTGCACTGGCTAAGTGGATGACATCCTACATGATGGAGAAAAGCTACATCGACACCTCAGTTCATAGAAGGGAGGTATTCCAAGTTTCTCTGGATGCATAGAGCATGCAAGTGCAATTAGTGAACTGATCAGGTAAGTCAAGAATAGCAGAGATAACTTTTCAGTAGCCTGTAAGCATGGTGCATGGACCAGGCGGAACCTCCCAGAGAAAAAGCTTACATGGACAGAATTGCGGAGGAAAGAACCCTTTAGTATCTCATTCATGCTAAGATCAGTATATGACAATCTTTCATCACCCGTCAATCTACACCAGTGGGGAGTGACGGAGGACCCGAATTACAGACTATGCAACCAGAAAGGTCAACATCCCACATCCTGTCTGTATTCAAGAAGGCACTTCAGCATGGGAGATACCGATGGAGGCATAACAATGTACTGTGAGTATTGGCTGATATCCTGGAGACGGAAGAAGAGCAGAGTCTGCTATTCAGTTTGTCAGGCAGGGAGAAAGAGGGAAAGGAAAGACGAGAAGCAGCTCTTCTATCTTGGACAGGGCTCAAGCTTAGAACATGAAAGCTTGTCTTCCCAGATGTCGAGGACAATACTGACAATGCTAACAGTACCACAGAAAAAAAGGAGGCTCATGAAAGAAAGAAAACCTGTATGATGAGCTGATTATGAAGTACAGAGAGAGGGGATGGACTGTATGGCTATTCCCAGTGGATGTGGGCTGCAGAGTGTTTTCCACTCAATCCTAATGGAGGATGCTGCAGACTACGGATCACAGCAAAAGTATAGCCATCAGATGTTTGGCAGAAACTGCAGAGAAAGCATTGTAATGAATATGGCACTGACAAGACGTGCCAATGTGGAAGCCAACATAGACAAGCAGTGGTCTGGCCACCACTGTTGACACATCAGCCAGAGGATGTTGTGGTTTAGGTTCACAACATCTAAAGAGGGCTGGATACCACCTGATGACGTCGACAGATGTTTCACAGCAGAAAGACACCAGTGACATGCTACACACAAGGGATGTCACAGACAGCAGAAGAACATCATCTTTAATTTATGATATGATCATATCTATGAAATATGAAATTAGTTTGGTTATGATGACTTAGTATTCTGTTTATGAAATGTTTATGATAAGTACACTAGAAAGTATGTTAAAGCCTACCCAATATGGTCATGTTTTGAAAAACCGAATGAAAATATATTCTCCTAAAAAATTATCGATATCACTCAAATCATTATTGGTGAGTAGTCTTACTTTTGATAAGCTTAAAATTTCAAACTGGATTTAACTTTAGTATCATACATTTTCTGGAATGATCATTCCATCAGTTGCTACCTCACTAGATTTGCAAAAGGACGAAAACAATAGCACAAACATTGCTCAACTACCCGAGAAACGTTGATCTTCACCTGAGGTTAAATTTGGCAATGCACTACTAAATGAGCTATACTGAACCGTTGTTGGTATCAAAGATAATATGAAGTGTAATATATAGTGAATTAAGTAAGAACATCACCTACTACTTCAATGTCTTCTTCAATACTTGTAGGCATAAAAGTATTGTAATGAAAAAAATATTTGTCTAGAGGTGATACAGAACCATGTTTTTACAAAATTCAATATAATTAAAGCCATTAAAATAAAAACACAAAAAAATAAAGTCATATCTGTTTTCTTTAGGGTAAAAAAATTACTATAGTGCTAATGTTATAGGAAAAGTTGACACACAGTTTTTTTTTTTTTTTTAAATAACCTTGAATCTCTTAAATCTCCGTTCTCATCCCATTCTCAACACATCAAGATTGTATATACAATATACCTGTCCTTCCAATCGTGACTCTGGATCCTTTTTGTCTGTTGGTATCCAGCCTCTGTTTACAAGTATTCGTTGCCTGAAAATATAAATATCAAATTTTCTGTTCTGTATCCTTATAAGGAAATGAGGGTTACTTTCATTTTGGTTGCAAAGAAAGTACAGGCTGGTTGGTATTACATTATCAAGGCAAGACTAAATCAATGTTGGTGCATTACAGGCCCCTTTACAAGAGGCTCATAGGGCCTGTATAGCTAATATGACTTTAATTTGCTAAAATTGCATCTATTAAAACTAAGAGAAAATGAATTATATTGGAACGTGCCCTCTGCACCGTGGGGGTCAGCCAAAACTTTGCTTCATTCAAGGATGCTTCAGACCAAATTGGAACAGAATGTATGCATTGCCACAGAGAAAGGATTTTAAAGACATTGCTTTATTTCCCCTTTTGGGCCCTGCCCCTGTGGCTCCAAGGAGCAAAGACCAAGTGTTTTACAAAACTGCGCCCTCTTCCCCATGGATACTAATAAAAATAAATTCCTCTCATCAGTTCATCTCTAGTAGTGATTTGTAGAAAAAGGTTGAAGCTCATTTGATGCTATACCAAGGCATAATATTGCTGACCTTGACTTTGACCCAACAACTCTGAAATTCAATATTGTACAAGATATTATGGTTGTTTGTAAGTGTGCAAGACTTGACCAAAGTCCTATAAGAAATGAACTGAAAAAAAAAGACCTTGACTCAACAACTCTGAAACTCAGATATTTTATGCTTTTCTAAGTGTGTGACAATTCTTCAATGAATAAATCTGCTATATGACTGACAAATTTTGGCACAGCAGGTCAGATGGATGGAGAAAAAACTATTCAGTGAAATGAGAGGTTTTTCCACTTAATTAACTATGAATACACCTTTCTACCCTATCAGAACATAAATATTTACTTTTCCAATGAGGATAAGATATTTCTATCTCGCTAGGGTAAGACAGTCTGTATGCACAGAACATAAATATGTGCTAAATCAGAAGTCCCTAATTTGAGACGTGAGATGTGAATGATGGATGTTGACTGACTGATTGATATTGAAAGTTTAAGATCTGTTTAATATTACTGTTAGAGAGTATCTGATCATTTTTGTTTATATAAATCAATTTTAAATGTGTCATGGCAATGATTTATCATTATGATTGTCTTTGTACAAGGTATAGTGTAGATTACAAATCAGTCAAATTAAAACCATAAGTCATTATTTGCCCGACTTTGTGTCCATATTGGTCAGGATATATTAGTCTTAATATTCTATTAAATGTATGTTGGAAATAAGGGGTAGGAAAAGGATCATTCCCTTGTTGAAGGGTAGGATATCGCAGGAGATTCTCGACAATCTTACTTTGGCAAAGCCTCAAAATAGACAGAGGTGAATCTCCTCCTCTGGTAGAGATTTCTCTGTCCTACCCTCAAGCTAGGGAAACATCTTATCAAACCCTGGGTTTACACTATAAATACAACTTACCCTGTTTCTTTAATAGTAAATGGTGTGACGACAAACATTCCTATGTTTTCGGCTTTACTAAATAAGAGTACTCCACTACCTTTCTGTGATGTTACACATCTTCTTGGTTGGATGTACCTTTCCATTCTGTGATCAAACTCCCCTATTACTTGTATAGGTCTGTATTTCATTTCTTTGTTTGCAAGATTATTTACACTGAAATGTAAAACGATAATAACTGGCAAACACCTCTGAACTGTTTCAGCTAACAAAAGTACAGTGAACTATGGAGATTTAGAATATTGACAATTTGCTGAAATATAAAGGTCCACAAAAATACAAAGATGCTAAATAATCTTGGATGTTATTATTGATAGATTTAAATGTTCACCACAGATTCCCATACTGGGTTCTGCCTCCTGTCCTCCAGTGAGTGAGACCAATAATTTTAAAAACCAGATGTCCATAGGCCTGTATCGCTTATCCAGATATGTAAGATTTTACAAAAAATATTCTTATTCATAACCATATTGTTAAGTTTTACTCAAAACATTAATAGTTTTAAGCCTCAACCAAAATTTCATCAAAATACCATCATCCAATTAGAAAAAGAATTATTTTAAACAATTTTGGGCAAGATTCATGCCTGAAATAACACCAGACCCACAAAAAAATGCTTCAGACCATTTGAAGTACCTTCATACCAACAGGAGATTGAAACAAGTGACCCATAGCACCTGTATCACTACCCTACTTTGGTTTGCTGAAATTAATGAAAATAGGACAGGGATAAACTTTTAACACAAAGTTGATTTCCCTTCACCCAAGCCTGCTTCAAGTCAAATTGGGACAACTTAAAGATTATAAAGACATTGCTCTATCTCTCCTATTGGGCCCTGCCCAAAAGAGCCAAAATCCTAAGTATATACAAAATTGACTTCTCTTTACCAAATGATGCTTCAATTCAAATACAGGCAAAATCCAATAATTGCTACAAAAGTATTAGGATATTAAACAATTGCCTACATTTCCCCTAGTAGGCTCAATCCCTTTCTCCCTAAAGAGCCTAAACCGAACGTTTATACAAAATTGATTCCTCTTTACCAAACCAACTTTGGGTAAAATTTTTTAAAATTCCAACAGTAGGAGCAGGATATTTAAGAATTTGCTCTACTCCACCTCCTACCCAAAAGAGCTGTTACCCATAATTTATACAAAACTAATTCTGCTTTACCAAAGGATGTTTCAGACCAAATATAGGCACAATCTAACCATTCCTACAGAAAATAAGTATTTAAAAAATTGCTCTATTGTCCAAGAGAGCCAAACCAACCATTAATACAAGATTGATTCACCCTTAATCAAAATTTGAGTAAAATTCAATTATTCCTACAGGAAGAGAAGGATACTAAAGAATTTGCTCCATTTCCCCTGTTGTGCCCCATCCCTCCCCACCAAAGGGGTCAACTTCTAAAGGACATACAAAACTAATTTTTCCTTAAGGATGCTTCTGACTAAATATGGGCATAATCCAATAATTCCTACAGAAGCATAAGGATTTTACAGAATGTGCTCCTTTTCCCCTATTTGGCCTTGCTGATTTCGCCCCAGGGGGCAGACCAAGCATTTATACAAAACTGATTCCCCTTCATCCAAGCATGCTTTACAAAATTTGGACACTATACTGCAATTTGTGATTTTAAAGAAACTGATCGATTTTCACAGGAGGCCAAGGCAAGCTGTTTATACAAAGTGATTTTCCTTCACCCAGGCATGCTTCAGACCAAATTTGGACTGTATGCTGTAATTCCTGAAGAACAAGATTGATTTTCAAGGGACATCACAGAGAGTGCAAACAATGTCTTTGCACAAGCAATTTTATATTCAGATTAATTGAAATTCATTTATTTTGCTCTAACATCCATAAAGACTGAAACATGAGGTCATTTTACTAAGTAAGAATTGAAACATGGCTGGCAAATTAAGTTTTGGCTAATTACATAATTACACATAGTAGGAACTCATAAAAATGTTAGGTTAAAATGAGTCTCAAACAGGTCACATGATGAACTCAGCTATCTCAGATCAAAACAGCAATGGATGGTATACACAACAGTGAGTGTCGACAAGAGCAAGTTTGAAGCTGATAATCTTTATCAATTTCTCTCAGAGAGTGTTATAATTCTGTGAAGAGTCAAATTTCAAGTATTACAATGCTTGCCCAAAATCAAATACATGGGAAAAAATAAAGAAATCTAACCATTTCGTCCCTTTAATGAGGTTAATACATTAAAACCAAAGAAAAATACTGATGAAAGATAAAAGGTGAAAGATTATGAAATAATTTCTGATAGCCTTGAAATCTGGATAACTAGTGATTTGTATACTGATTACTTTATAAAGTGAGACAGTAACCAGGAAAATCTAAGTCTGGGCTGTTTGTTTCAATAGCATTCAAGCATTAATGTGTTCATATTACTGGATAGCACTTCTTCTTGATTCATTAGCTCTTTAAATACCTAAAAATTTGAAAATTATCTGAGGGCTATTCAGCCTTCCAAATCACTGCAAATGCATACTGTATGTTTCATAAAGCAGGGTATATAATTTATAAATTCTGTGATTAGCAAAATTATAAAAAAAAAAAATTGGTCAGTCACATTGCTAGATTAATTAGAGTGAGTAAGTCATAATAATTTTTCGAGAGTTTACTTACTTATTAGGTAATGGAATAACTTCCTGTTTACACTGTTTCTTGAATAATGATTGTTCCTTTTCTTGATCCCAAATAAACAGTAACGTTGCCACACCTGCTATGGCAGGAACAGCCTAAATACAAACAAGTATATTTTGAATTAGATTGTAGATTTTTTTTTTAATTTCAAACTCTATCCCATTATATACTTTTTGGATGTCTATACAAAAAGTAATATATTTCTATAAGTGCAAATAAAACTTTTTATCCCCAATTCCAATGTGTTAATAGTTCACTACAATATCATGTACCTTTATGCTAGCAAAAAGATGGAGTTTGTTTGTCACCATGTGAACAGCCAGGTTGATATTCAAGTGGAGTCTCCTTGTAGTAGCAATTTTATCAAACAACATTCAAGAGGCCCATCACATACTATCCAGAGCAATTTGTGTAAATGTCTCCCAAAAGGACACAACCAAAATAGCACAAACTGGTTTGTTTAAATTTCCTAGCTTCCTAAGAACCACAAAGCACCATGACATCTCAGGTTATGATGGTCAAAGCCACAACCAACTGAGAGGAAGACAAGACATAAATTTGTATTATATGTATGTACATATGATACTTGTAGGCCTGTGAAATATATCTCATACTTACTACATATGTTGAGTCCGTAAGGAAAAACTGGAATCTGGTGTATATGTTCGATGGTGTCTTTCTTGGACCAGTTTGTAAAGTTCTCATATCAGCAATTTTGGGTCGATGCTGCAGATTCCTCCACTTAAAAGGAAACGTCATGTTTTCAGATTTTATACCACTTCTATGTACATGTAATATCTATCATAATATTTCAGTGAGTTTCAATTGTTCAATTGAACTTCTGACATCTATTATGCTGGATACATCTACCACAATAAGGCTACATCAATATATAATGTTGAAAGTTTGATTATAAAAACATTTGTTTTTCAGTGCAGTGATCAAGCATCAGTAGCCTTATGTTCTTGTTTTTCATGACCTTAATAAAAAAAAATCTGAAAGGGCTCTTTGCATCCACCACTGTTTATTTTTTCCTCTTCTCTCCTATGTTTTTGCGGAACATGTCACAACTGATGTGAGGCCATTTTTGTTTCCTGGCGACTGGTGTTTTGTGTATATATGATGCAAAAATTTACACACCCATACTTTGATACAAACAGATAAGGATTTCCTTTTTATGATTATTAAATAACCTCGTTATGTGCATATTTCATTGAAAACCAAATGTCATTGTTCATAAGGAGATACCCTTGATATATGTATACAATAACAGCAAAATCAATAAAAAGAATGTTTACTGTGATGTTGTTTTCATAAACAGAAATTACTTGCCACAAAAACTTGAAGGTTCAATTTGAAAATTATTCAGCTTTCTGGGTTTCTACTTCTGTTAGCTATGTTGTATGGATAAAATAGTTTGTTTACTAATTACTTTTATTTGTTGTAAATTTACTTGTGGTATCTTAAGAAAGAGATATAGATAGTCTACTATCACTTTATTATCCCTCCCTGCTTTGCATGTAAGTGATACTGGTCAAGAGTTCTTATCTAACGATGGTTTTGTGTAATATGTACAATCAAGCCATATCACTAAAAAACAGAAAACTGAAATGAAGTTACCTTTCAAAAACACATCTTACCAGCACTTTGGTAGTCCAAGCCCCCACTCATAACACTTTTTAACAGGTTTTATGTCCACTATTATGGCTTTTCAACAGATGACTCTTAAGTCTACTTAAGTCCGTTAAAGGTCGTTTAAATTGGCACTACAGCAAACCGTTGCAGTTTTACCGCAGTTTTTATACTGCACAACCAACATTAGATGACTATCAATGTCTGAGAAGTAACAAGTCAGCGAGTAAAGGTATGTACATATATCTATTACTAGATCTAGAATCTTTATATATATATATTGATACTGTATTGAACTGTTGAATGGTTTATTGAGCTCTTGTAGTATGAACAAACATCAATACATTTATGTGATTTTTAGGTTGTAATTTATGGATGTACACTGAAACATGCCCTAGCTACCTATATATATGATGCTGACAGGGTCCGAAACTGACCGGTTAGTGCTGTAGATAGCCCGGCTGATGGTTTTGTTTTACGGTTTTGAGCTTTTAATGAACGTTGTGGTTGCTCCATTAATTGACTTGGCATGAGTTTTGGATTCAAGATTTTGTTTGCATGTGGCAAAGGAGTAGGAGAACAAATGGGTTATGGACATGAACTGTGTTCGGGACAACTTACCAGTTGTCGAAGTATGGTTAGTTTTCTCATCGCTGTACTGGGTCGAAATTTGGAGTTCTTCAAAATTGAGTTACGTTTGGTATAGTAAGAGTCATAGAAATTCAACGATCTATTTCATTGGCGTATAGTACTTGGATTGGCCAATCAGATGTCATTACACAGTACGACAGATACGGTTTCAAGATGGCAGACATACAGAAGAAACTCCAAGCTGACATAGAAAAGTATCAACAATTACAGAAAGGTAACATTCATATGGTTCTTTTTTTTACATTTTAACAATAAAGATTAAACATGGTTGAATATTTGAATTGCTGTTAAAATGTCTGCGCCAACGTTATTTCTTACAAATCTCTCTTGTTATGGTGAATTCCAGCACGTGGTGTATTACTGATCATGTCAAATCAAGTAAATTTTATTTAAAGATGGATTTCTAGGTGCTGTCGATACCATTTTATGAAGTAACTCGGGATGTAAGTAATAATATTAATAAGGCAGGGACTGGAAAGAGTGAAGCTTATATGACCCAGTGACATTCTCGCTTGAGAGTATCTAGAAAATTAAACAACTAATTTTTGTGAACTGGTTAGAGTGCCTCAAGAAATTAGGAAATTATGCGCGCTACAGTGAGTGACCGATCGCTTAATTATGGTGTTGTTGACGTTTTTGTACTTGTGTATATGCTGTGACGTCACGATGTTAGATTGCATTTTTTGTCGGGTACTTGAAGGACTTTTGATTCGTGCCGTGCCAATTCCATTTGTGTAAAATCACCCTTGTTTATTAAAAATTAAAAGTAAGTCCAAAAAATCAAGAAAATGAAAATTCTGTATTACTATTTTTTATTAACATTGGGCTATGGGTAAAGTGCACGGCACCTATGCTTCTTGTCTTTCACTTCTCACTTTTCTCAGATTGTTCAAATTCTGAGAACTTTCGTCCTAGATATGAACAAAACATGGTCATAAACATGATATCAATATAGAGTTTTGATCTTATTGATTTTGATATTTAACTTTTACATGGAATGAATTCCTACCATCATATTAACACCTACCGTGGCGGTATCAGCTGGAGTAGATATGGGCATGCACATAATGTCATAAAAAGAAACATTTTGACACTCCTAAGAATATTTGTGGAATTTTCTGACACAATCCATTGATTTGATTACCACCAATTAAAATCAGTTTCCTTATTAAATAGTAAAGCTGTGTCAATATTTATATGGGATGTGTACAGAAATGTAGATTAACAAATCACTCAACACGTTCAACAATGAATGAGGAGCTATATATGCATACTCTACTTTAGGTTAACAGAAGTGCCAAATTATTTAATTTATCCAAGTTTAACTCACAAAAACAATTCTGTCAGCTCTTATTGATAGTAAACACAAATGAGTTAAATATGACTGCTGTAACAATTTCTGAAGAATTTTGTCAGTCTGTTTTATGTTTCTTTTATCTAAATACAAAGTACAGTGCATATCCATAACTGTGGTAGACAGGGATAGATATTGATATTGTGACAGAAAAAATGTGTGAAAATACATGAAAACCTATTTAGGCAGGACTCACCTTGGACCTAAAATTGCAGTAGCCAAAAATAATAGCCAATGGTGCTTTTTAGTAGCCAATTTTTTCAAACAGTAGTCTTGGTATATTGGTGATCAATGGACACAATTACATCTCGAAATGGTATTTTGCAAGAAGTAATGGAGTACTCTTACAAATCAAATTATTTCGCAATATGTAATGTAATTCAATTACCTTATACATATATATATAGTAGGTTGAGAAAAGGAGATTTAATTTTAAATTTCATTTTTTGACAGATTATCAGAAGGTTGTAAGTCAAAGACAGCAGCTTGATGGTCAACTAAATGAGAATACTTTAGTGAAAGAGGTAGGTTCACTTATACCTTAGTGAAGATGATGATTTAATGTATAGGAAGAGTCTTGGTTCTGGGCAAATCACACAAATATCCTGAATTTAGTGTGTCCTTTAATTCAACATCACCTGGTGTTGTCAACCCAGATTCAATATGTTACAACAAATGAAAGCTTTTAGCGAGAGAAATTATGATTGACTCAATATAAATGATTAAACAAAATTTATTGATGAGATGATGTTGACATATTTACTAACAGGATGTTGCTTTCACTCAACCTGCATGTTCCAGTCATCTTCAAACATGCCCCTGGGTTTACGTCCTACACAAGCTTTACATTAGTCTATGGCCCTCCTCCAAGTTATGCCCCACACCTTAGTCTACCTGGCAAGGAGAAAATTGTGACAATGCTCTAGAAATAAATCAATTTGGCTGCCCAATATATGATATGGAATACCCATATTTATACCCTGATCATGGTTACACACCACACTTCAGATACACCTGAAGTACAAGTGCTTGTGCAAAGCTAGTTTCATTCACAACCCATGACGACTGACTAAATAATAAACTGTGATAGGGTCATACCCAGTCACCCAATATTGACCTGACAACGTCACAGTTCAATCCACTCATTACAGGTATGTAATTTGTGTTTGCATGAGATACTGGGCACACATGCCATAGTTTAACACAAGTCACTGAGCTGACAGATGCTGTATCATGCGAAGAGGGTGATTTTTTGATATAGTGACATTTAAGCAGATGAGATTTGACTAGACAACTGTGCTGGTGTTGGCTGACCAAAAGCTTCAGAATAGTGAACACAAAAACTAAGTCTATGGTTTATTATCATGTTCCTGATTATTAAAATGATATTTTCACACAATAGGAAGGAGTAATGGAAAATATTTTGCTTGCAATGGGGCTCCAGTTCATGAATCTTGATGTCTAGCAGCTGGACACTTTACCTCTTGACTGAAGGACAATTCACAAAAAAGTGACCTATTCTGTACTCTCAACTTTTACCTTCTCTCTTCTTCATAAATATTCAACCTTGAAGACAACTTCAATCTATGTCACAACACTAAATATGTAAAAGGAAGGAGTTATGAAAAATGATCACCCACTGGCGCTTGACCAGTGACCTCTCAATCTCTATCTGAACAGTCTACCGCCTGACTTTTTAGTTAAGGCACCAGATCAGTGAAAGGACGTTCCTCAGTATGTGAGACTTTTAGTGTAACCTGTTCTTTCATCATTTACTACATTTGTATCGTAGTTTAAATATATCTCAATATGTTTGTTCCAGATAAAATTCAGGCTTTGTGCATGTGTGTATCTCATCATTCCAGTTTCCAGCAAAAATCAACATATTGATATCTCAGTATTTTTTTTTTCATATCAACTGATTTCGTGTAGTCAGTAAGGAGTTTGTAAACCTGTACAATGTAATTATAAAAGGTCTGTGTCATTGTACTATGTACACCATCATCAGGACTTCTTTTGACCTATTGATCATCTTGAAGTCATGTGTTTCTGGACCACAGTTTGGTTGCTCATTGGTGCGATCAAAATGGTATATGGACACCTGCAACGAAGATATACTTTAAAACTGAGTATGCAATAATTGCAATATTTATTTGAATTTCACAAAAGCCAGAAATATTTAATTTCATCTATTATCCTTGCAATGTCCAAATCATTCTGATTATTAATCACTCAAAATGCTGCACTTATCTTCTACCAATGTAGGTATTCTTTAGTCAATAAAGCTTCAAGCAGTGTATGTGTAATAAAAAGAGCAGGCAGTCAGAGGATGACTGACAGATGTCCATTAACACATAATTGAGTAAAAAAGATCAAATTTGCATAGTTAATAATTGAAATCTTAAAGTGGTGGTCACCAAAATAAGATATTGTTAGGTGTCCTGTTAAAACAACAAAGAAAATATTTATATGTCAGCAGAATCTTAATTCAAACTCAAAATTGATGAAACTAGGGTAAAACGTGAACAAAAGAAAAGTTTACACAGAGACTCCTGAAAAGGTGAATATGACCAGGTGATACGGATGGGTAAATGTTTTCTGCTTCATTGATAACACCGACCATAAAATGTTGGTCAGTCCAATTAAGTAACCTTGTGTTCCCAAATGAGAACACTGTAAACAACATTGGAACCACCAACCATACCAACAATCATCAAACACATCCAGCTTATGTTATTACACAAGGAAATAGAGTATTATCTGATGAGACCATTAGGAGTTTTGACAGCTGTATCTCACACTACCCTGAATTGCTGGTCAAGTCTGAGTCACAACGCTTCCATTTTTCCTTTTGTCTCTCTCTCTCTCTCATTTTAGATACTATTTTAACAGAGCTTTTTCTCAGTTCTTAAGTCATGCACTTGTCAATGTTTTGTGATGGGTATAACTTTCCCAGTCTATTATATGTCTAGGTTTTACAGTGGATATCATTATACAACTCACTCTTACCCAATTTTCATTTGATTTATGGATAGTTTGTCCCTTTGATGTTTAGTATTTCTGACATCATTCAAAAGAGGCATGAGTTTCCATGTACAGTTTAATTTATTTTCAGGAATTTGCGCGTTTAGAAGAGGGAGCCAATGTTTATAAGATGATTGGTCCTGTCCTTGTTAAGCAGTCAATACCAGAAGCAAAACAAAATGTACAGAAACGTATTGACTACATAACTGGAGAATTGTAAGTCCAAATGAACAAAAGACTATTTTTCAATCTCTATCAACACTTTGACGCAGACGTTTTTATGAAATCTTAGATTTGGTTGGTTTTTAGAGAGTTTGATATTGTTGAACGTAGTCAGTATTATAATGTTATTGTCCAGACTGAAGTTTTGGTAGGTTAAGCAAAAAAGTTGGATTTGACTGAGAGTCCAGTAGAGAAAGTTGCATTCATCTGTCTGGTAAGTCCCGTTAGATATAGCCTAACAAAGTTTGCAAAGTGTAAAGACCTTGACAAAATCAAAGGCCATGAGTTATATTTGTTAAAATACTGATGACTTGTTTTGAAAAATAAAAGGCTTATAGAAATGAATAATTTACTGGTAGTTTTCTGGGATCTAGGCCTAGAATCATGATACTTAAGCAGTAGGTTCCATGATTGAAGCTCAACAAAGTTTATAAAAAAGAAAAATGACCTTGACTTATACAATGTCACAGGGGTCCAGTTTGTCTTCCAGCCAAAATACAGCTTATTGATTGTAGATATATTAAATCTAGTCTTAATCGTTAAATGCTGGTTAGTTTTTGAAGTTGGTTTGAATTCATTGGATATAGACTCACTTTGAAGATCATTGATTGTGAAAAGTATTGAATACTAGGTGAGCAATACAGGCCAAATATATCTCTATTTATAGAAGATTTTAGATTCTCTCATTAAAAATAATTTTATTATTATTTTCAGAAAACGACATGAAGTTTCTATTAAAGATTTTGAGAAAAAACAGGAAACATGTCGTGAAAGTTTAGCAAAATATCAACAGCAACTCCAGCAAGCCCAAGTGAAAGCTGCTGCCCGTAGCTAAGAGACGGGTGTGGAAGGGAAAATAAAGACACAGAGAGGGTTGTTACATCAACTCAAAATCAAATCTAGTGTAAACATTTTTATTTGGAGAAAAGTACATTGCACCAGACTTTTTAAAATATATTTGATGGTTAACTGACGGATACTAGATCAGTCTAATATTGACAGAGTGGAAACATACTGATGTCATTTAATTTTATACCATGCATCTGTGTTATCTGGCAAGTAATGAAAAGAGATAAGTGACAGTTTGAAAATCTAGCTATAATTTATAGTAAAATAAATATTGTATCGACACATTGGTATTGTTTTATTGAATGAGAGGAAATGTTCTGTAATGAGTTGTTTATGTGAAGGATCTTGATGGAGAAGAACTGTTTCAAGTGTAATGTTCTAATTAATCAGTGGAGTTTATATCAGGCTTTTTTATTCCATTTCCATATTGGCATTCATCACAGCTCATGTCCAATAAGGCATTTCTTTTATAATGTATAACATATCTCTTGTATAATTGTTCTGCCCTGCAGTATGCTTGTTATAATTACCACTTTGGATTAATTTTACATATTTTATATAGATAAAGCTGACGTCCGTTTAAAAACTATCAGCCAAGTCTGAATTACCTTTGCTATTCAATTGATGATAAGCAAAGTATTCCCAAAAGTAATGCATTAAAAGTATGTGTTATTTCTCATCAAAATGTTTATCCTCCAATGGTAAATTGGAGATCTGCTGTAACTTCTGAAACACCTAAAGACTTTTCTATTCAAAAAGAAAAAGAGATTCTATCATATCTGAACCAGGTATATAAAATATTGTTTAAAAATGACATTTTGTATTCTTACGGAGGAAGACCAAACATGTTAATGACTTAAGGTATTCAATATGTCTTTGCTCTGAAAGGGACATTCAAAATTTTAGTGAAATTAGTAAAGAGGTATTCAAGACTTTTCTATCTTTAGAGGCACAAGGATCATGTCCAGTCACATTAGGAGTATTTATGGTGATATTGAAATACTAAATAGTATGTTCTCAGATGTCTACTCAGAAACAGAGTATTCTAGATGACAATAGCAAGCACAGTAAGAGAGTACTCAATATGTCATAGCTGTGGTAGGGGCTTATTACCCTAAAATGTTTTAAAACACTTGGTATGTCAGCTTATATACTTACTTTTAAGTCCACCATCATTAGAACTAAATGAAAATGATGAAATTCCAATCTTCACTCAAACAGGTGGTCTCGGCATCGCAGCTGTGGTAAAAAGATGCCAATTATACACAAGAAGACAAAATAAATGCATATTAATTAGCAACCTTAATTTTCTTATTTTTCAGGTTTAGTAAAACCGATACATAATTAATTCTCAGGTTCTCAGGGCAAAGTAATAAAAAGACCCAAATAGACAAAAATGAAGTTCACTTAGTAGCATGCATTTATTTCGTATTTTCACACGATTTGTTGTTTTTTCATCTTTTTGTCCTGAAAGAAAAAAAATTGAATTCTCGCCTGGTGTAGTGAGAAGACAAAATAACGAAATAGCACAAATCAGCTAATGTACATAACCACTGATGGATGTAGGTGTTACGTATATGTTATCCTGTTCTGTGAGATATCTACAAGTAATTATATCATGTTGTACAGTTAAAGGGAAATAACTCTATTATGCAATTAAGTTGGGGTTTTTTTATGAGTTTTTACACAAATCGGAGTAAGTTGATCACGACCTATTATGCAATTAAGTTGGGTTTTTTATCAGTTTTTACACAAATCCGAGTAGGTTGACCGGGACAGGATTTTAAATGATAATCCAGATTGAAGCTAAATAAAATGGCGTCTTCTGTGTTTAAAAGGGAATGAATGTTTAGATATTCACTTCATAACTAATAAAAAACATTACACAAAACTTTTTAAAAATCGTGTAATTTATGGTTATTATAATATTTCAAAGTTTGCATAACGGTTCTATTAACAATGTAAAAAAATGCATATCATTGTCGTTCGGAAACTGTAAGCAATGTCTTTACGCGTGCAATTTTATATTCCGATTAATTGAAATCAATTTATTTTGCTCTCTCATCCATATTGCGTGAACCAAGAGGTTGTTTTACTAAGTAAGAATTGAAACATGGCTGGCAAATTAAGTTTTGGCAAATGATATAATTATGCATAGTTAGAAATCATATCAAAACAGCGCGTTAAAACGAGGATCCGAAAGGTCATATGCTGAACTCGGCTATCTCGCATCAAAACAGCGCTGGATGGTAGACACAACAGTAAGTATAGACTATCATTAGTATGAAGCTGATAATGTGTATCAATTTCGCTCAGAGAGTGTCATAATTTTGTGAAGAATCTAATTTTAACTATTACAATGGTTACCGGAAATTAAACGCATGGGAAAAAATAAGCAAATCTTAACATTTAGTCCCTTTATAAAGATTGCACTTAACATTTTATTTTGAGCAAGGATATAACTTTACATCCGAAGTACGCTATTGTAGGACGACAGTAAGTCTGCTTACCGTATGCTATATGTGTATTAACTCTGATAAACACAACTTTATGGATATTTCCGTGACTAGATGTCTGTGTACTTGTTGGACCTGTTGTCCGCGATCGTGTAGGGTTAATGAAGTTTGTTATCCATTAACTTGTTAGGTTGTTCCATCTTGATTGACAACATGTTGGGTTGCCGTCCACTAAAGTATGGAGTTTGTTGGCTCTAAACTTTAAGGGTCAGATGTACATGATCGTGTGGGGGTTGACTTAAAAATTATATTAACTAAATAGATAACTTGTGGGGTCTTTTGTAAATGAAATGAGGTTTGTTGTCCATGATCGTGTGCGTTTGATTCTTTTTATATTTGCGACTATATGTAGTCACTTTGTGGGATTGGATTTGTCCGTAAATTTGTGGGGTTTGGTGTTCATAATCGTTTATGGTTGAAACCCAATAGACAACGATGCATCCTTAAAAGAATCCTCACAACCACTATTTGAGTAAGTAAACTCCCTTGGGGGTTTTGGACATCGAACCCCACGATGTCTCGAGTGTACTTCTCTCAGAGTCTGTTCGTCCTTAACATCAAAAGCCGAAAATGACCAAGATATAGTACATACTTTGGTTGTCTGAATGATAAACTGATGGTAACAATAATGATTTTTTCACACAACACTCTGTTGCTCTCGGTTACATCGAACATTGAATATTGAATATATACTTGGGGATACCGACTTCATCTTATTCCGCTGACTCATTCTGCAAACAAACTTCGGAAAATATGAAAGTCATTATATACAATATATTTTGTAGCTATTTCTATTATTGCAGTATACTTTTGTTTCCATCTACGTATCGCAAGGGCAAGCATTCAAGAGTCGTAATGCGATATGAAAATAGCAGTTTATATTTTTTTTTAGACTTTAAGATATTTTATACTATAAATGAATGAAGGTTATATTTGAAATACTTGTACACTGCCTTAAATGAATTTGAGGGAGAAAAAAACCGAGAACAAGAAAGAATAAGTTGTGCATTGTTCGTTTTGGGACTGATTGGAAAAATATCCGATAGGAAACAATCTTTGAAACTGACAATAATTGTTTGTTTCCACTATCTAAGGAGAAGCACTCTTCTTAAATTCTTAAAGTTCATAGATAGGCTTTTCCTTTGTCACTTGTGCATTGTTAACTTTGAGATAACAGATATTGCTAATTCTGGAGAAGTGCTAAAAAGGTTCCCTTGGTCCCTAGTGGTTTTTTTTTCTTAGCCATTGTCTGCGAAAGACTACAAAAACCACACCACACAAGTGAATAGCACCTTTTCATAAATAGTGAGATACAGTAGAGCCAAACAATGAAGTAAACTGCATCATACAGCCGTTTCGTTCTTCTGATGCTGAAATTTTGAAGCCTAGAAGGTGACTGAGGAAATTCAAAGTGATCAAAAGAAAAGTCAAAATCAAGATGGGCATGTAAGGCAGCCCAATAGTTAGACAAATTTCGTAATTCAGTTCATTTTAACTCACAAAATGACACGTATTGCATATGAGAGTAAAGACACATATAGCTGCATTCATGGATACTTAACGTATGGAGATGGAACAAATGTAAATTGCATTTGAAGAGACGTTATCCAAATAAAACATATATTTTTACTGTGTACGTGCCGAACTATAACATAAAGAAAACCCAGGTTTGTGTAGCCCTGACTTGTATTTGTTCAGTTACGTATGATTTTACCACTATAAGTTCCTCAGTTGTGTTTAGTGGATATCTAATTTCATCTCCATGACCTCTTATTCATGTTTGTGAAAAGGTCATTACAATATACACAATTTTGTTTCAAGATCTCAGTCCAATGTCCATTCAATTGGTCTTGCATGGGATTTATTTTATATGTAATAAGACTTATGAAAAGACAAGTCTTAAGCCTGGTAGATAAGGACGTTTTTTACACCAGTAACAACAACACTTAAAACATTGACCACAGTAAGAAGTGTGAAGTGATAGGGTTCACCAGCGGAAATGACTACATCCTCAAATGGGATTATGCTTGCCATACACATAAAATAGAATACTATATAAGGAATATGAAATATTTCTCATAATAGTGGCGAGGTTTCCCATAGCCTTGTATAAAGGGAGTTCCGAGGAAGGCCATAATAATTAGATAGAGCAAGTCTCAAAACTATCATATGTAGACTATATATGAAGGGAAGATGAATATTAGATAACAAGTCAAATGGTAACTTCATCACATACAAAAAGCAGAATGGTGAATCGATTGAAAATTACACATGCTCAATTTATTTTCAAGCGAATACATTTATAGACGTTTCAATATGACTTTATTGCTTTAAATACATATATTAAATACGAGCTGTCACATACTTTACCTGAACATTGATTTTATGTAAGGAAAAAAGTCGATAGCACAGAGTAGTATCAACACTTTTACAGTTTCCATGGCTATACCATAATGTAGACCATTACTAGCTATCGTAATAGGATACAACAAACAAAGAAATAATAATATTAATTTTGTACAACAAAAACACATGAACGACCCATCCTTTGAAAACGACAAGTTTTTTGGCGTGAAACAGAATGCATTACACTCTGTCTCAGACGTAATGTGAGGATGGATGAACTTTGTGGTGCATGTTGTCACTTGTACTGGAATACCCTGAACTCGAGTCGGTCAAGGGGCTCTTTTTCTCACCGCTTATTGTGACCACTATGCTAAGCCTACAATTGCAACATATTTTTCGCAAGAACTGTTTGTAGCCTTCACGAAAGTTTCTGTTGGTAGCACCGTAAAGAATACTGTTTAACGAGCTGTTAAAATGACCGATCTGAAGAAATACTGTGTAAAGCCAGGATGGCCAACGATCACTGCGATCGAAAAACAAAGTCAGATCATAAGGAGTCCAACAGATGAGGAACGTCAGAAATACGATGAAAAATGTTCGAGCTAAATTTACATTATCTCGTTGTCGTTTGCTTTTCTTCTTATCTTTTTTCGTCTGTATTTTCATCTGCTTCTCCATCTGTTCTCGCGACTTCTTTACATAAAAGTAAATTTTCGTATAGCAAAACATAATGACCATAAGTGGCAACCAAAGCGCCATCACACTAAGGAATATTGTGTAAGACAGGGAGATAAGTCTGTCGAAGGAACATCCGAGCGTTTTTAGATCGAAGGTATGGCCTCCCCATCCAACCAGATTAGGCAGCTCAATAAGAAAGGCGGCAAACCAAACGAGAATACACAGGAGGACAGTCTTGCCTTTGGTGAATATCTGGTTGTAGTAATGGTTCTTATTGATCATGATATACCTGGAAAAAAGATAAAACATGGTAAAAACAAGCAGCAAATGATCGACAGAAATCTGACCATTTGTAATCCCTGACATACAAGGATATTACAAGGAATAAAGAATTACTGTGAATTCATTCATTTTCATGGGGGTTATTTTTGTTCACTTCGTGTGAACTCTTAATCAATGAATTCATATGTCTGCGAACTGTTGAGGTTAGTTTAAATAGATTTATTGTGTTATCATGATCTATCTACGAAATCTTTTTTAAAAAACCCGAAAATTGACCCCACGAAAATGTTGGATTTTACATTAGGTAAGTGGAAGGGAACATACTTGTACATAGGTTTATAAGCCTTCAAGTGCCGGTGTGGAGTATCTATGAAGCATACGGGTATGTCTAACACTACAGACATTATTTCATAATTTTGATATGATTATTTTCCGTTTTCAACCATCAAAATATCGGAATATAGTGATGCCAACAGTTATTTGGAGTACATATAAACATTTGGAAATAAGTTATGACCAATCTAAATTAAAATACATGAACCACAGAGCCAGCCTACAAGGAAGAGCTAGCCGATTTTTATAAAGGTGTGGGTTGGGAGATGACCTGACATTCCCTGTCCTATATCGTTTTACACAGCACGTCAACATGCGTCATGATAATTTAACAAGAAAGATCTTTATAGTGTCTTGTGCGCCATAGGAAGAAGACACTTGGCAAGAGACACTCGACAGTTAACAAGAGTAGCTGATGGTCATGTGTGAACTTCGTATCGTTTGAACGGAAACACATTGTCGTTATGAATAAACTTCGAAAATGTGGCGATTTGTCATCACAAAGTCACATCACTAAAGCAGTTTCACACGCTCAGAAAATACGGTACAATTAAATACCCTTTTGTTCCCTACCGTTAATACGGTGATTGTACGTTTGATTTGTAAAAGAATGATCACCATGAGAATACTATTATACATAAGGACCTTAATACTGAAACTGCCACTTGCTTGAGATATGTCGAAAGAAAATGAGCTGTCACAACCACGCAAACAACTAAAAAATCCTAAAAAAAAACTTAACTTGGTGAACTTAAGCCGAAAATAGCAAAAGAAAATTTTAAGCGTATATCATTGAAAAACAAAAACAATAAGACTGGGTGTTCATTGATGGCACCATGATGTTTTTTTTCAGTCTGTGCTGTCACAATCCCAAATTTACTCACAAATAACTGTAAACATTATACAATAATTCATTTGATAAACTAAGACCTACAAAAGAGATATTTAGAAAATTTTAGTTTATATGGCGACATACTTTCGGTATCCAACTAAAGTGTCGCACGACACGAAGCCAACAAAAAGGTGATGTTTAATCACCGGGACCATTATATCTAAAATAAGTCGATTATCGTTCAGTCAGAATTTTTACATAATCGTTTTTTTTTTTGTTATAATTGATAACCTTAATGCTTATACAAGTCACATAGGAAAGACACCATATCTTAGAAAAACACCTGTTTTAATACAGTTGACGCTCGTTATAGTATGCCCGGTGTTTTCGTTGTTGTTAACAGTGCTCTCACTTTAGGAACGTGACATTTCCTACTTCGATTGAACAAGCAACAGAAGAAACGTACTCTTCAAAACCATATGGTCTTATTCTTGACGGTCTTTTTTCGTAAATATTTCATTTGCTCATATTTACCAATGTTTCATTGATTTTGAATTGACTAAGTATTTGGACTAAACGGAATTTTAGCTAGTTATAGTAAATGTTTTTAGGAAGTAGTCACCCTATAATATTAAAATCATGGTCAGACATTGTAAGGTGCTTATGTATATCTGATGCTTGTCATATTACAACAACGTTGAACCGCTGAAACTAATTTTATCGATTCTCAATTTAAAAACACGTGCGTAACTTAATGCTAAAAAAAGGACCCCCTTTCAACATAGATACTGTACACTTACAAATAACATTACGGCAAACATCTATGGTTATATCCGCTATCTAGAGATAAGACACACGAGCCAATTTACCGTGTAGAATTCTTGAAACACATCATGCCGCTCTATTATAAAATCAATTATCGCGGGCGCTGCGTACGCACGTGAAATGGGCTAGGTTCAAATGAACGTAATCAGGTAAGACGTGACAAAGGCATCTAATCCACCATGACAACGTCTGGGGCTACGTATTGGCGTCTAAAGGCGGGCACAAACATGTATCTAATATAAACTTTTCACGCCCAGATACGTTTTTATTTTGTTTATAAGAAGCTATTTTTAAAAAAAATAAGGAGGATTTAAGCACTATGATGAGCAAAGTCACGATAAAAAGTGATTGAAGATTACAATGTTGTCACTTCATTGGCAGTAAGTGTCTAACACAAAGGCATATTACGTCACCAGAAATGAGTGTGTAAAACAGACAAAAATAGTCGTTAATGCTGTGAAAATTGTTGATTATATACGCTTACCTGTTCACAGCGATGGCGGCTAAATTCATCATGGACGATGAACAAGACATGACACATATAACAGATAATGTATGACACCACCAGACATTCCTTACGAAGAAAATGGGCCCATCAACAACACCTGTAACATTTTAACACAGAATTGGTTTATATTGGACAACACAACTAAAGAAATACATCGAATGCGCTGATCCCTTTATCCTAACCTTATGTACACTGAAATGAAGAGATCCGTCATTTTCGAATTCACATCTTGCTCGCCATTCTGCTATAGAAAGTCGCGTTACTTGATGTATTTTGAGCATAATATATATTTACATAGATTATATGAAATTTAGCCGATTCAACATTAAAACTGTTGTCAACTAGAAATACATGAGCATATATTAGGCGGAAGATTGTATATAGATAAAAGGATAGAAAAATTTTCAGCTGTGGAAAAATTGGGGGGAAAGATAGGTACGTGTAATACAACCAGGAAGTGAAATAACGATTACAACGAGATGCTTTACCTAATATGTTGAAAGGTTCCACAATGGCGACAATGATAAGATCTGCCACTGCTAGGTTCACAATAAACATGTTCCCTGTCGTTCTCAGGCGTTTACTTATAACTACAGCGCCTATCACCTGAAACACAACATATTAATGGATGTTATCATTATTTATTGACAAAAAATAAAACTAGTTAAGAACAAACAGCAATTTGACAAGGGATATCAAAGATTTTCATCAATGGCGAGTATATTAGTCAGTAGGTCACTGAACATTCAGGAAGTTGATCTCGCTTCAGTCTTCTCTGAAGTAAATTTGACGTTTTTTTTCCGGAGACGGACAATTTCTGTTAAAAGATAAAACAGGAAGTATATGTTCTACGTACTCTACCACGTTGTTCTACACATCACCACCACTTGACACTTTGTGGGCTATGGAAATACAACACCGGCATTTAACATTCTTCATCGTCATATTCCATGTATGTCCAATAATAATGGAAATACGTCATTTATCCTAATACAGGTTGATACTTTGGATAGTTACACACTGACGAAAGACACATTAATTGGTTTGTTGCAAACACTTGACTGGGCAAATCCTTTGTTAATTCTTTCTTATGCTTTATTTGTCTCGTGTTTTCAATTTGCACTATATTTTATGTTTTTTTCTTATTTATATTATGATAGTCATTTTGAGCTAATATCATAACATCGAATTGTCATTAAACACAGCAGTTCCTTTTTTTTTTTTTCTTCTTTTTTTTTCTTTTTCTCTTTAAAACACTTCAGAAGTGAAAAAATATACGTTTAGTATGTACAATTCATGAAATAATTTGAAGGACACAACACACTTTTCTACATTAGCAGTATACCTCTATCTTTCCCTACAACGAATCAACAGCAAGGGGACGTTTTCCACCAAGCTGTAGTATGATAAGCGTAATAATTTTAATTTCCCTATTGTCAATTTTCCATATCTGGATAGCAACATCCCTGCATCCCCAGTCTATGGTGTTTACATATTGCAGATGACTTGACTTTCCATGGCTTGTTCGAAATAACACAATTTTCGTGCGAGATGTTGACAACTGCTAGATAAACTCACAACACATTGTTTCGAGAGATACAAGTAGGAGTTTATAGGGAAGTTTTACGTACGTTCCTATGTAATTAACGTGTACGGTAGTCAATATATCGTAATGATATGTCCTAATGATATACCGTTGTTCTTTTCTTACATAATATAACAGATTCATACATAATTTCATTGACATGGATTGGAATAACCACGACAAAATCAGCAAATTCAAAGCTGTTGTTTTTTGCGTGTTGTGTGTGTCCACTTTCACGTCATATTGAAACAACAATAAAAGGAAAGTGCCCAGGGGTTACTTTGTATTTCATAGAAGTTGCTACTCCGTCTTGTAGGTGTTGACCTTTTCCGTGCCGTCAATAAATATTAATTAAGTTGTAATTATGTATTATTGCACCACCGTATATCAATATAACAACAACAACCCCATCCCACCCCTCCTTCTCTCCCCCCCCCCCCCCCCCCCCCCCAAAAAAAAAAATTTATATGTATATTGTATTTAAAACGGTGCTTTTCGTTCCTGCAGATTAAAATAATTAAATAGTTGTCTTAAATACAAATAATGAAGTTATTCAAGCAGTCATACGCACCAAAATATTTCCGATGAAGCCAATGAGACATGACAAAGAAAGCGCCACCAGGAACAGTATGGACTGTGCAGGATAATGTTCCAGTGGACTCCTCAACAGATGATCAACGGTGTAGTTCACGTAGCCCTTTTCCACTTCCCTTTGGATGATCAGTTCAAAAATGGGATCCAGGTTTTCCTCCGTCATCTTCAACTGATTTCTATTTAGCTGAGGTTTCACTCGTCAGAATTCATCAACTGATGTCCGCTTCAGTAAAACAAACTACAAGGTTAAACGTTAATTTTACATGACCTGCTTTCTATACTTCACATGTTCCCCGCACAGAGTACTTGAAATAGTCTCCAACATCCAAAGTTTTCCTCTAATTTTTGTGAAATAATTTATGTTATGTCCTCGTAATAATACACTGGATCGTCACTAAACAGAAATTTTGATTCCTTACAAAAGTCGCGTCGGATTAGTAAAACGATTAATTCGAACTGCCTGTATGCTCCAACAGATAGAAATGTACTATAGGGACCACATCGCTGAAGTACACGTATTTAAACAAAATATCAGGCGTATGTATGGATACACAATTACACCACGCAGTAATGAAAACTGTACACGGACACGCAAGTCAGTTCGCTTCAATTCCGAAATAAATAAAAATGTAAACGAGAATATAACAGGAGTTTCCATTCCAGATGAAATTAATTAAGCAAGTCACTGTTTCAATTACCATATGCAATTAAAACAAATGTAGATAATTTACAAGCAGTCGTGAAAATAAAAAAAAAATATTTTTTTTGTTACTGAAACATTATAGGATCTATCAATTTGATAAAAAACTAACATCATTGCTGTATTTATATAAATCTTATATCCTCACAATAATTACCATCGACGATAACCTACGTCCTGACGCTCACCTCACGCTCACGCTTAAGAGAGCGGATTACCGATGATAAGTAATCACGTGTTCAGTTAAAGCATTTGTAGTTTTGACCGATCAGAACGGTGTTTCCAGTCGCAAGTTTGAAATTCGCCTATATTCCTGTTCGGACGCAAATGACGCGAAGGTTGAATAAGTTGGGTTCCCATCAATATTTCTTGTAGAGTTTCGAGTTTTCTCAAATGTTCTCTAAATCTGTATCTAAGAACAGCTTTGTTGGTGATTCTTACCAGATATAACTACATCAAATGATAGAATACCATATGAAGTGGCCCATTCAAAATGGCGGTTTTATTGTCAAGCGTAACGTCAAACCGTCCGGCGTCAAAGAACGTTTTATATTTCCAGAACTTTCTTGAAAGCGGATTTATTCTGTTTGGTTTGTTTTACTTTTAAAATGTCAATAAAAAAAACTTCATGGTTTTCGTTAAATATGATATATATATATATCGTTCGTAAGACGAATACATTTCTGTGTGATTCTATTCGTGCTTTGCACCGATAAAAAATAAGGGTATTATGTCGTCGCTCCGTACTTCTTTCATGTGTGACGTCACAATGTACATGACGATATCACGTCTTAATTGAAACAATGGGAATCTTCAGCCCACCACAATTCCACTAGGTGATTTTTTTTACATGTGTGGTCATGTAGTCATATCGAAATATCTGTCACTGGTGCCTATTACGCCGATAGCAAGCTAGTTATATGATAAACAGAGGATCTGGCATGAGCAAGTTGATACAAGTTGATAATTTTACCGAGCCTCTGGTAAGGTCAAATGAGACATTCGTGACGATTTTCACGATTCTCATAAACTCGAACGAATGTAAGTAACTGTTTGTGACATAATTCAAATTATAACCTTCATTGGATGTGATATACAGAGTCCCTATCATCACACCAAATTGCAAAACCGCAAAATTGATACCGCATGATCATATTTCCATAGAATACGTACCGGTCTTCCCACGAGTGGATGATACTGCAATCACTTTAGAATGTTGCCGTGTGGTGGCGTCATTGTCTACAGGACAAGACCCATACAGTCAAGGATGTAGTCAAGTGAAATATAAGTATTTATCAAATGGCATGACATTTGAATTGTTCTATCAAGCTTGAAATTAGAATTGAGATTTGGTGTGGTTATGCATAAGTCAGCATATTACTAAGGAAATCCAAACACGTTGTGTTGGAACTGAACCCGGATATTGGCAATTTTGAATAAGCGTAACACAATGCTATGTGGCTCAAAATTCGACATTCAATGCTCAACATTCGTGAAAAAAAACCTGAATGATGTCAAGTCAATTTCACACACTAAATGATAATTTTTTTTAAATTTAATTAATCTCACCTTCTAATTAGGCTTATTTCTAGATTGTATTGTTACATGTCTTTTTAACCTACCATCATCAGATGGTGGGCTATTCAAATCGCCCTGCGCCCGTGGTCCGTCCGTCCGTAAACCATTCTTGTTACCGCTATTTCTGGAAAAGTACTGGATGGATCATTCTCAAATTTCATATGCAGTTTTCCCTTGGTCCCTATAGTTGTGCATTGTACCTTTTATGAACTGATTCGAATTCAAGATGGCCGACAGGCGGCCATCTTGGATTTTGGAAGTAAAAGTTTGTTACCGCTATTTCTTGGAAAGTACTGGATGGATCTTCCTCAAATTTCATATGCAGTTTCCCCTTGGACCCTAGTTGTGCATTGTACCTTTTTTGGACTGATTCGAATTCAAGATGGCCCACAGACGGCCATCTTGGAATTTGAAAAGTAAAAGATTGTTATCGCTATTTCTGGGGAAATACTTGATGGATCTTTCTAAAATTTCATATGCATGTTCCCCTTGTTACTATTTCTGAGGAAGTACTGGATGGATCCTTCTGATATTTCATAGGTATTGGTTTCCCTTGCATTTTACCTTTTTTGGACTAAAATTTCATATGCATGTTCCCCTTGGACTCCGAAATCAAGATGACTGACAGGCAGCCATCTAGGATTTTGAAAGTAAAATCTTGTTACCGCTATTTCTGAGGAAGTACTGGATGGATCCTTCTGATATTTCATAGGTATTGGTTTCCCTTGGTCCCTAGTTGTGCATTGTACCTTTTTGGACTGATTTGAAATCAAGGTTGCCCACAGGCAGTCATCTTGGATGTCGACAATAATACAACACAAGCATATTTTCTTCGATATTCTATCATATTGATTCAAGACCATGTCCATTATCCACCTGTAACTGACTGCTATCTAATAATACTTTGGGATCTTTTTCAAATGATATTTGCTTATAGGTGCTTAATAAAAATATCTTGTGCCATCATTGAGTACATTCAATGAAGACCAGTTCATGAACATTTAAAACACCTGTAACAAAAAAAAAAAAAATAAATAAATAAGTAAACAAATCTTCAAGAACTGAAATCAGATCTCTGGAATCTCTTGTTGTGATACTTCCTGAGCTGTCACAAACAAGTCGAGACAGGACGGATATGGTATCCGCAGTATAGAGATGTTGCGTGTCAGGATGTTGATTCTTAACTAGTTTAAGTACATGATAGATACAAAAAATAAACAATAATGCTTCGGTGAATTAAAATAGACATGTTGATCTTGTATCATTAACGTTCAGTAAACAATCGTCGAAATAATCAAAAAGCTGTATTCTCAGTGCTATTTTGACCTTCTTGTCTTGATCTTGTCTCAAGTGCAAATGTCGCAAGGACGATTAAAATGAAGTCGAAATCCAATCAAGAAACTGTTCAGGTATTTATGTTATTGTATAGAGTTTTTCTTTTTATATCATAATAAAAGTGCGATCGTGTGGTCAGGTGGCGCAATGGTAACGCACTAGTCTTTCACCCAGACGTCCAGCATTCAATTCCCGTTTCCCGGGTTTAATTCCTCGAATGGACGTGAAAAGACAAGAGGGTCACTTGTCTGACCACGTGGGTTCCCCCCGGGTCCTCCAGTTTCCTCTTACAGTAAGACCAAGATTGATTAATATTAGTTGGAATAACTTGTTTTTGTATTTATTGTAAACTTAATAAATCTGAATTCTATAAGTTTTATCAACAAAAACTAATATGATATTCACTTCTTGATGAAGCCGTAAGGAAATGCTGTCAAAAAGATATCAAAGTGTTGCAATGGTTAAACATGGCCTTTCATACACCGACATTGATTACTAAAGGAACATCATGATAGGTCAGTTTCAAAGCATTTACTGTATAACACCACAAGACATACACTAAAGTATGTTACAATTACACGTTATAAATGAGTAATGTCGGAATAGTTTTACCTCCAGGTCCAAAGAGTTCTACCAATGTTTACGCCATAACGACAGCCCCAACTGTTACCAATATATCTAATCTATTTCAAATGGTAATAGCCCGAGGGCAATATAGCACTGTTAATTTTGAACAATACATATTTGAGATCAACACGGTTTTTTTTTAAAATTCGGAATGGTAGATTTATGAAATGTACTGACCAAACCCGTAAAACTTAAACTAAAACTTTGTCATATCCTGGATCTGTTTGTTTAAAACAATCTGGGGACAGTTAAAAATTGTTTGTAAGCGTCGGGGGTTTTTCTGGCAAAACCAACAGTCAAGGTGATATGAGGGCGGGTGTTTATATGAATATAAAGGAAAACGTACTAATTCACCGCGTAACATATATAATGGTGTATTTCTTTTACCACTCAAGAGGAGAAACAAAAATACAGAGTAGAAATTAAAATAAGTAAAAGAAAGGTCCCAAATAGGGACAGTAGTTCAATTTTGGATTCTCTTATTTCCTTAAGAAGAACGCAAAGAAGAAATCTCCCGATTCTGCTGGAGGTCTCATAATTAGTCCTCTCTTACAATATGAAATGTGGCACGGTAGATATATGTTTCCTTGTTCCTGTGTGTAATATCCGGTATCCTGTAGATAATTTAGCCGTGGTCTTTGTTAAATACGTCACATAAAATTACGTGGAGCTCTCTGTTAACGTAGGACGAGCGACGGTTGGTGATCCGGGAAAAGTAAGCTGAGAGAACCGATCACAGTATAACAATGATGTTTATTTACAATGAAACAAATAAACTATATATTTAAAGATGTCACACTCGCTAACTCACACACTCACAAATCAAATAATGATAAGTGTCCCTGTAGCTTCTAGCTCACGAAACAGAACAGTGTTCCTGTCAAACCCAATAGAGTTCCATACTCTGAATCACCGTGACTCAATCCAGAGTCACCGTCCTCAAGCAGTTCCACGCTTGTATCACCATAATAGGCAACGCACTTATGTCAATGACATGACAGCTGATTAAGTGTTGAATTCAAGTCGCCGACCCTGGCAGTGTAACTTCTAAGTATGCTCCCTCGCTGACCTTGACCCTGAATGAAAGTCGTTACTTCTGGTCGGTCCTGACGCTTGGGTCGCAATGTAAAGGAGAGGCCTGCCTGGTCCTGACTCAATCAATGTTCCAACCCGTCATGTGAAGCTATAATGATTAACACAAATAGTTATAATTTCCGCTCACACTTCCATACTATACTAACAAAACACATGGTACAAAATACTTATTATTTACCATAATTATTCAACTTTAGAATGAACCATAATTAGAAAATACTGAAATACGTTCATATTAGCGTCGAAATAATGTGCGGCTCCAAATTACAAACAAAATGATACAAAATTACGAAATACACCAACTGACACCTCAAGGCTTCCATACTTTTCCCACTCGTTCGCGTACGCACTACGCTCGGCACTAATAAATGGATCAGGGCTTCCATAGATTTTAAAATCGACCCGAAACTTGATATAGACTATGCAGTTTCATGTACAACACTCCAACATGTTTATATCACGTGCATATTTAGGAAAACAGACATAACATATTCAATTATAGCACGAAAACAACAAAAATGAAAGTTATCAACATACAAACAATAAAACAATGGTCACGGCTGACTGGAGCGCACAGATACTTAGATTGTTTGACCCGATATATGGACTGGTACAAAACAACAATACCAACTAATATAGAAAAGAAAAAGATATAAAGATTACTTACCACAGTGAGTCCCCTGTGCCTGTCTCACATGACGCTAAATGCCGATAAATCCATATCGGGTGCACGGTAACAATAACACAATACCTGTCATGAGAATCTCACCCCGTGCACACCTACCCGTGACGCAATTCCGCCTAGCGGTACCCTACCATTAAGGTGACTTACCCCAAGTGTATACAAAATATACATGCTTACGTGACACTCTCTTGAAACTACAGAGAAACGTCTTATGTAAATTATGCATTTCAGTTGAGAAGGAAGAAAGCAACAAACACGTGTTTGAGAACATGTTTTTTAAGATGGATGAAATCCATCAGCGATGCGACTGTCAGAAGGAAATAAAGAAGTGGGGTTTTTTTTTGGGGGGGGGGGGATGGAGGGGTGAAAAAATGCAACTTTTCATAATGATGAATTCTCTAGCCGTTACGGTAGAACAATACACTTCTTCCTGCAGTTTCTAAATAACCCCTCCAATTTCCAGCTTGAAAAGCTTGCAGCCATATTGTTTCAAAATGATTTCGTGCTCACCTGAAAAATAACATTAAGAATCGTTAGGAACATTTCAGGAAAATTTCAGCTGTCATTAATTCCACTGGTTGAACTTGAGAAATTGTGGTTTAAAACAACAGACAAATATTGCACTGAGTTCCAATTGGGAAGCTTGAATAGAAGACGACAATGCTGTAAAGTTTACTATGTACGGCCTACGACGCTTAAAATTTATGCCGTCGTAGTTGTGTCCGTGTGCAAGACTGAACTCGAATATTGCCCAGGAAGGTATGCATGCGACGTGATTTCCGTATGCTGTTGAGAGTCCATGTAAACTGTTTGAAACCACCGACTCAACTTGATTATGTTGTGATTAATTTACTTTTTTACTAATTAGTACCCCCATGCGAGAAAACAATAAATGAACATAGGTTAACCCCTGAGCCGAAACCCTATCAGGCAGAATTATGTGTGCCCTTACTCCAAATTAAAAATTTCCCGCGAGAAGGCTTTCAAACTTTTTATTAACATTGATGTTATATAAGCGCCTGTCTGACATTGAAAGACACTCGTTCGAGCTTGTGACGTCAGTCTCGTAAACATGACCTAAAAATGGCTTCCAGTGGAGGTGTCATCTTTGAGGTGAGAATTATTTTGATGATTTAGATAAGCTTGTGAGTTTTGTCAGTTTATTGTTATTATTCATTTTCAAACATATATAATCCCTATACAAATGATGTTATGTTGATTCGACATTATGTACGTTCGTTGGTGAAAACATGGATGAAACTGAAAAGCACGAGTGATAATAAGTGGTTGTGAATTGCCTTAAAAGTATTTGCCTGTTTGCATCTCGTTGATGAGTGATCTACTATTACGAAATCACGTGTGCTAATTTGTTACAAATGCATTAGTCAGCGGTAACTCTTATCAGTTTTAAATTCTAAACAATGATGATCAATAGGATAAACGAAGTGTTAAACTTTCCAAAATAAACAAAAAATGATTATATGTAATATCCGATATGTACAGTACCGGTCTAGCCCAGTAGGCAGAATTAAGATGGCTGGTACAGCTCTAAGTTATGGATATACAATGATTTATAATATTCAACACAACTTGAATTCAAACAAAATAAACATATTCTTAACCATCCATATCTCTAATCCCACTTGAAATTCTATTTATTTTGTATATGGGTAATAAATCTATGGGCCAAAATGAATAATGAATACTTGCTGTACATGTTTTTATTAGAATATCTTGGTCTTTAAAACGCAAAATTGGGCTTATAATGTACTTAATTATTATGTCTATGTGAATGTGACAAAGTTTTAAGGACATATACAGTGAGTAGCATGTTCTGTTTTTTTAATTAAAAGTTAGACAAGAAAAACATATTATTAAATCAACTTTTGGTTGATTGTGTCCCTGTTCTATGATTTGTTTTACTGCCTATATTGTAATCTAACATTATAAACAAAATGTTGTGGTGAAATTTGAAAGCTAAAACTGTAGTACCAGAACAGCAAATCAAAATCAAATTCAAATAACAGTGGTTGAAAGCAGAGAAAACACTACCTTATTTATTTGTATTTTGTTAAGCAGAATCTTTTATAAGTGTCTCAGAATCTTACAACAGTAGTCTGTTAGATAGACTGTATAGTATATGATAGACATGCATTTATTTTTTGATCATTGATGTAAAAAAAAAATATATCAAGTTAGTGACATTCAAGTGGTAAAAACAATTGATTATCTATATAGGTACATGTTGTAATTTGCATACAGTATATAAGTTTTTAATTGGCATTAAGACAGATTACAGTATATCTTCATTCAAAAAGGTATGTGTTTTCAAATTCTTGATATTACAAGGTATCACAAGTGATTGAATTCTCAGAGATCTTTATGTTCTAAAGATATGGTCCTGTTATAAGTGTTGGCACTTGGATAAAAATTCATCAAAGAATGAAGCCTATTTGAAAACTGACAAGGATTTTCTTCAGAAGATAGTTAATGTTGATGTTGACTTTGAGGTTTTTACAATTGTGACACTCAGAATTGTTTGAGATGTAATTGTCTTTTATAATTGTGTGAATCTAAGATTTTCAAAATATAGTATTAGTAATAACTTACACCATACATTTGTTAAATCTGACCTGCTGGCCTAGATTAAAGTTCTCATAGGGATATATTATACTGGTAATTATCACAGGAATAAACTGGAATACCCAGAGACACGTCAAAACCCATGTTTTCCTGGTGATCTTATACCTTTTAACATCAGATTTGGCAATCAAATCTATATTACCATGCTATAGGTGAAAAGGCAACCAGGTGACCACTTCATCACCTGACAAGCAGTGAAGTTAAACTTAAAGACAAGACTGTTTGTTCAAAATTCAGTTCTGAAACATTGGAATTACCAAGTTACATAAAACAAATTCAACTTGCCAGTGGTCACTCACACCCAATTAAAGTAACAAGCAAAGAAATTTGCAGAGTTGAAGGCCTGGATTGACACCCATCATATAGATCACTGCTTCAAAGTATACTCCATCGAAAATATGTCAATCCAGGTATTGTAATTAGGCCCACTGTGACTATTTTCATTGATTCAAGGTGTCAAGATTTCTTGATTCGCTCAGACATAAAGAAAAAAGAGGTCATTGTATTCACCATGTAAAATTATAAGTACAGTAACTAGGTATTACTGTGTCATATATATTGTTACTTCATTATAATCTTATGCCACTTAATAGAAATTATTCTTCTATACAGAATTACATTCTGAGGTATATTATATATATATATATATATCGATAATGATCGATACATACGTAATTGCTGTCAGTGCATGTAGATTTTAATTGGTGTTTGTTGTGATTGTTTATAAATGAAAGATGTTGCATATACATACCTTACACTTTCCAAAAAGCATCTCATGTACAAGTTTGATTTCGTTAGGATGAAGCATTTTGGGTTCTTACATAGCCATAATGTTCAACTATGGTTCTTGATAGTTAAAATAATGACTGCTTCTTCTCTAGATGCTATATATATTGTATTTACCTTGTTGGTTCATTTATGTGTATATATATATATATATATATATATGTTTGTATGTGTGTAGCTTGTGTGTCTGTATTTTACCAAGCCATAGTTGAGCATTAAGAAAGTCTTACAAAAGTGAAAATAAAAAGTCTGAGGTTGGCTTTTGTTGAAATTACTCAAAAGTCATTTATATAAAACACTGTAAGTGGATTGAATGCTTTTATGTATTTGTGTAGGAGCAAAGTTTGTATGGTACTATTGTTTTGAGTAATAATTCTATAAGATTTTCATGAAGTCATATGAGAAACTGTAATCATTGGGCACATGGAATGAATGTAAAATAGCTAGTGTGGATGTACTTAGCTATACCCTTGTCGTTTTTTGTTTCAAATCTTTTATCTGACATTATGTATATATGTACATTTGATTATTTCTATCATATTTCAAACTTGTACAAGTGAATGACAATATACAGATATTAGCCTGAGGAATTTGTGTCATGAATACTATGTTGATGTGATTATCACGCCTTACTTTAGAGCAATAGTTATAATCCAGGTAATTCCTTAAACAAATAGGTCTAGTATATACTTTTTTTTTTACTTGCTTTCATTAAATGTCTGTTTGTGTACCCAACTAGTTTTTCTCCATTGATATGTTAAGCTGTAAAGCGTTCATGAATGTACATGTTCAGTACTAAATTATGATGAACTGCCAGTTGATTATAAGGAGCTCTCTGATATTTGCCTGTAGTAGCAGAAATGTTCATTGTTAAGTAGCAATTTGAATATGAATACACAAATCTTTCATCTGTTAACCATTATCACCTGATACAAGTAGTATAAATATTCTTTGATATTTATGAGGGCAAGCTTAATGGGTAATCATTTCCATTTCTAGATTCATGTTGTGTGTGTAGCCAAAACATTACCAGAATAGCAAATTGGATCCTTATTGTTGAAAATGCAACAATGAGAAGTACTGTAATTGTTTATGTTCAGAAGTTTCTTAGGAGAAATTATAGGCTAGGATAAAAGACCCTAGATTGGTAATTATAGCAGTAGATTTTGTACATTTAGATTCAAAATATAAAGCAAGATATAAGAAAGTGTTTTTCCTGCTAATATGATGAACATTGAGTAAAAACAAAAACTCGTGCGAGTGTGTATTTCCATAAACAAAGGATAAAAGTGTAGAGACAAGCAGATATAAGCATGACCTAAATATAAGACATAAAATGATACTCATTACTAATTTACACAAGATCAATTAGAAACCCTCTCACAAGTATTAGTACAGATATATATATACTGGTATTTTTATAAAGCTAATGTATCACAAATAGTGCAAGTTAATATGAATTAATGTGAAATAATTTATTTTTGTGGGGATTTTGATTTTGCTGCTACTCTTAATCCACAGATCCAGATCAAGTGTCCATATAATTTTTTTTTCTTCGAAAACCTTGAAAATGGAGCGACACAAAAATGTATGATTTTACAGTACATGTATATAAAAGTCTTTATGTTATGCCACTGAATGGTTTTGATCAGCTCAAGTTAACATCACATTGTTGTTTCATCTTTGATACATGATGATATAACATGTATATACATGTTTAATTACCACAGGTAAATCAAACAAGAAACCTTTGCATTAGTATATGTACTGGCTTGGTTCACTTGTTTATTCATATTATTTCTTGATTCACTTAGTTTTAGAATAAATACAAAATTGTAAAATCATACATTCAGAAATAAACTATATTTCTTTGATACACTGTATGACTTAATAAATATACTTAAAAAGTTGGAATATACTCCAACACAATGTGATATTATCTGAAATCTAAAATAATTAGTTTAGATGCCGTAAATTGTTGTTTTAATTCTCTATTCCCCCCCAAAATTCCATGTTAGTGATTTTTTAGCTTGTATTAATCCTTAGTACCTAGCAGATTTATTGTACTTTTATACATAGTTGTTATATTTATATGCCCTCACCATTGAAAATGAGAAGCATATAACTATAGAATGCCTCAATAGAATTAAATAATATTTTGCATGTATGATGAAATATTAAGAATATTATTCACTAATAAAAATCTTTAATTTCTCTAATTTCAAGATTATTCACTACAGGTTGAATTTATTTTGACAGAGTTATGCCCCTTGCACTCAGAAAATTTCAGGAAAGTTATAGCTCATTTTCTCAGTCGGACATTTTGAATTGGAATTTAGTATGTTGGGTCGGGGTAGATGATATTTAATAGAGTTATGCCCCATGGGCTAATCAAACAGTTCACATTTTCAATTTTGTCCCAGCATGGGCATTCATCTTGTACTGACATATCTGGTTTTCCTTGTAGAATTACCTTTACAAGTTGACCGGGGGAAAAGGGAAGTCATTTTTCAGCAAGTCTAATCCATGGAAGCAGCGTTATGTTATACTGAAGAGTAATGGAAACAGACCTGTGTTGGAGTACTACAGTAAAAAACCCAAAAACAAGAATGCAGCGCCAAATGGTAACTATCCTATTTAGACGGTATAGCTGTATTTAATCATAAATTGTCAACAATGCCATATGCTGCTCTATACTAGCCCTGAACAAGTTCCAAATGTATCTGCCTGAAAATACATATGTACTGTATATGTATATCGCCTACGGTAGACTACTGTAGTGATGTTATGTCACTTCTATGCAGGGAACAGATCTACACGTATTTAAAATACTTATTTGGTAATTGCCTTTAATTCAGACATAATTTTGATTTAAGTATAAGTTTCAAAACCAGTCTTCTTTAGCATAAAACAAAGTCTTTCATATTAGTATAAATTGAGGTACAGTCACTGTACTCATTTGATTAACTGTTTTCATCAGAATATAACTTAAATATGGTTATGATTATAAACTCTTTGGCCAATGATAACAATATGCTCTGAGTTCTCAAAAAGCATTATCAGAATATAGTGTTATCAGTGTACAAACTGATGCTTGTTTGATAACATAAACATGTTCCAAAATATCTGATGTGAAAAAACAAAGTTCCCATTGTTGTATCTGATGTCAGGATTTTCCTAAGATAAATTACACAAAAGACTATCCAGGTAATCATCATTATAAGATTGGTACATTTTGCTAATAGAATTTGATATGATCTATTATATTTACTCTCTTTGAACACCTGGTCTTATTCTTCTAGTACTTTTTCAGGAGTTTCTATGTAATCTTTCCTTTGTTCAAATTTTTCCCTAGTGTTATCAAATTTGGGTTTGGATTATGATGATGTTGACATGTTGATATTTGTTGATACCATGGTTGATATTTGTTGATACCATGGTTGATATATGTTGATTTCATGGTTGATATTTGTTGATTCCATGGTTGATATTTGTTGATACCATGGTTGATATTTGATACCATGGTTGATATTTGTTACCATGGTTGATATTTGTTGATACCATGGTTGATATTTGTTGATACTATAGTTGATATATGTTGATACTATATAAGCAGGTATTTGATTCAGTGAGTTCTGCTTTACCATACATTCCTTCTGAATTTTATGTCAACAAATTAGCAAAACATGTTAGAAGACTTTTGGTGTATAACCTAATAATGTGTACAATATATTATTTGTTTCATAGATAAGGTCAGTCTGGCAGGAGGTTTCCGTTTGGAAAAAGTCACCAACACACGTAACCGGGCCTATGTATTTGAGCTTACTACAGCTGAAAAATACCTGTGCCTGTCAGCAGATGAACAAAGACACATGGACATGTTTGTGTTTATGATTCAGACACAGATTACGCTTCGTGAGCAAATTAAAGGTTGGTTTGGGTATGGACGTTTCAGTATTTTCTCAACAACTTGAGTCATATGGCGACCATGATGTATTAATACCACTTTTTCCTGATTATAAGCTGCACCTTTTTCCTCATTATTTGGGTGTGCAGCTTGTATATCGGTGCTGCGTATATGTGGTTAAAAAAAGATAGATAGAATGATAAAAAAATAACAGGTAACATACTAATATACTTGTAGATTAAACATGTGCAGTCCATCACATGTTTGTAACTGAAACAGATTGTCTAAAACCATCATTTGCAATCGTATACAGGATGATTTGAAGACTGAAATAAAAATAACATTGAATTAATCAAACCATTTAATATGAATCACATTAATATCTTCTGGACTTTTGCAGTTACTTCAAAGCCATAGCAGAAGTTTGCAATATCCTTTTGCATCCTGTGATCGATCAGACATCGATTACAGGACTGCATTTCTGGTTGAAACGGTTCAGGTGGTTTGGAATTATTCCACTATACATTAACGCACTTGTACCGGATGTTGGACCTGATATATATAAAGCTCAATATGCACAGTTTCAGAATTTCAAAAGCAAATAACTAAAATTAAAATACATTCCATTTCACTCATACTTTATTGCACAATGTGCTGGAAATATGAGTGCACCAACTCTACTTATTATGCTGAAATTTGAAAACTAATGATATTCAGCAAGTTAGTTTTAGACAGGTACGGCTAAACCCCTCAAACTGCTAATTCCAAATAAAGATTAATCATTCTATGTATCATTTGTATTTGTAGAGGACTTTGTTGCTGTTAAAGCAGAAAATTCTGAAGCTCAGCGAAGAATCGGAGCCAAGGGAGCTAATTGTATATTGCATGTATCACCATGGGGAGCCACTCTTGCTTTAATGGTAAATATTATTATTGTTTATCTTTCAACAAAGATTTCTATTTATTTGGAAAATGTTGGTAACAAATGTTTCATTTGTGTACATTTAGGTGGATAGTAAAAGTCCTGCAAGTCTAGAGGTGTGATTATATATGATACAGTTGTCGTGGTGTAATATTTTAGAAATAGTCATTTTTCATCGTCTTGTTTATTGGAAGATTAAGGGAAGGGTCTACCCGGTAGTCCTCAGTGTCTAAGTCAGTCTTTGTAGCAATTTGAATGTTACTGACAGTGCAAGTCGAAAACAGATATCTGCTCTGTTAATAAGAAGAATGCAATGTGGAAAATCGTATTTGCATGTTAACTGTTAAAATTGATAGCAACTTATAATCTTCAATGTGATGTATGCAATTTGAATTTGGTCTGAGAATTTGTGTTACAGATACAAAGTTAAGGCATGAAACTTATCTTCAGTAGGTTGGTGGTGCTATTCTCTAAGGGCTCATAATTATAGTCATGCTATCAAATATCATTATGAAAACTAGGACATTATCCTTTACCTACAATTTGTGATTTGCCTTCAGTCGTGTCGGTCCGTACTTGCTCAGTGGCCATTGAAGAGTGTACGATACTTTGAGGCCTCAGGCCAGGGCAGCTTCTTGCTGGAGGCAGGACGTGTGGCTCCGATGGGTGATGGCATATATGTATTTCAAACAGCACCAGGGGATGACAGCAAACTTTACGACCTCCTGGACCAACATATTGTTGATGCTCTTGGAAAGATACATCCAGGGCGACGGGGAACAACAGAGGAAGTGGAGGATTATGTTGAAGAGGCTGAAAAGTTGTCTGCTCTTACATCTGTCTCGCTCATGACACTTGGAAATCCAGAAATACCAAAAATACTCAAGGACAATTGGAATCATGATGTTGTAGGGAATGGTGAGCATATGAAGAATTTACCCGTTTCAGCTTGTAACTTTAAATTATCTTTATGATTATATTTACATAGTTTGATATATTGAAGGATTTTCATGTAAAAAAAATTATTTTTGATAGAAGTTCAAATATAAAGTTGTACTGTCAGTACCATTGCATCTCTGTTTCATGAAATTTTAGATTTATGCTGAGCTGACTGCAAACACTACCATTTGCCATCAAATAAAAAATCTTTCTGGCTGTATAATTATACTTGCTAAGGAGTCTCTGAATCTGCATGCAAAATAGACATATATCAAAATATATCTGAACAGCAGAATCAAGGTAAACTGTATCTTAAGCTTGTCAAGAGACGACATTCCTTTCAAATATAGCTGCTTTGATTCCAGAATGCGTATTGCAAAATCCTTGTTGCAGGTTCCATTGTGTTTTGTTTGGTGAAATGGTTTATACAGAAATCTGTTAGATAGAATATTGAATTACTTGATTCTCACAACTCTTCCTACAATTGCTGTATAACTATTTATTGCAGTTCCTAGATCTGCACCAATTGTTCACACTCGCCAGAACAGTCAAGCATCAAGTACAGGGTAAGTAAAATATTTATGATATGATATACAATGTACTATATATAGTGACAGTATTATCCAGTGGTTAATTCCTTCATGATACATGTTTCAGTAGATAGAACTCTGGTTTACACTATACATGTTATATTAAAGAATTGAAGCGGAATAAGAATGAAATATAAAGATTTTCACTCCGTTTCAGTCAGATCACGTGAAACTTTTTACCTGTTGATCATTAATTAAAGATATCTTGTGAGTTTTTTCCAAAGGGAATCGTTATTTGAGAAAATGAAAATCTTATAAGATAAGGATATCTTTAAATTTTGCAATGATTTTGGCTTGAAAATTTTGAAGTTAAGGAGCTTTTTTGAAGTAAAGAAACTTTTGGAAACTAGGTTTTAGGAGGTTGATTTGAAACATGTCAATTATACATATATATGTTTTCAGCCAATGATTTGTTGCAGACTACCATTCAACCACACACTGAGATTCTCCAAGTTTGAATCTCCAAAAATTATGAAATAAGTATTTATTCTGAAATTATAAGATGGGGATTAGTCCAATTTTTCAGAATGGTAATATGTTTTCTTAGTGAATAAGCAAGAATATTCTAACTTAGGGAGGGTGACCTTGCTTTGGCTAATTGGCCATCTGCATGAGCAATTAGAATATTATGAAAAAGATGAAATATATTTGTAAGTCAATAGAACATTATTATATCAAATAATCAGTAACTAGTACCTGGATAACAAAAGCATCATACATACCTGTCCAGTCTGTTATGAAACAGGTTATAACTTTCATATACCTATATTTTATTTGTTAATCATTATTATTATTATCATTTTTTTTTTCATCTAGTGGGAATGACAACAATCCTCCACCATTACCCAGAAGATTAAACACAGAAAAGCGTTCCAAAAGTTCACCACAGATGTTGAGAAACCATAGCCAAGGGTCTGTCAGTGTGTCTAGTGTCAAGGGAAGTAACCCTCTGGCTGATCGTCCACCTCTCCCTCCTCCAGCCAAGAATAACACTAAACCTATAGGAATTCCACGTAACAATAGTGAGGGAACATTACTTAAAGATGATCATTATTTCAGGATGAATTCAACTTCCAGTTCTGGGAGCAACATTCAGTCCCCAAGTGTTCGAAATGCCGCTGATGCTTGGTCCCCTCCCCCATCTTTTTTCGAGGCCACCAGGGGTAGACTCAGTGACTCGGGACCAGGTAACAATGAATATCTGACTCCTAGAGTCGGTACTGAAATGGATGGAGGTAATGGTGTTATAGATTACATTCTTCCTTCTCCTCCTAATGAAGATTTCAGTAGTTTGCCACGTCAGAATACTTACAACAACCAAAGGTCTGTGCAGTGCCGTCGTAGGTCTTCAAGTTCAAGGTTAAATAGATTACGATCTGTCAGCTGTGAAGATGTACATGATGAATCAAAAAGGTTGTCAATGAGGAGAAATACAGATGTAAATCAAAATGTTCAGACTTATGATTTAGCAAAACCTATCAATCCATTTCAAAATCTGCAAGACTTTCATGGCAGTATAGAGCTTTTGACAGACAATCATCAATACTACAGTAGGAAATCCACAGAAACCTACTACAACATTGAGGGATTGCGTGGAGAAATAGATGAAACTAACATAAAACCAGTAGCAGAGATACGGAGACGCTTTAATGAAACTTGTAGAGACACACTTGTGCGTTCAATATCAAATCCTAACTTCCTTCATCTTCAGAGTAAAGATAAACTGAGTGATGTCCGTGCAAGTGCTATTAAATCTGGTACTCTGGAACTTCAGTCTACTTTGAAATCTCAGAGCAAACAAAAAAGTAAATCTCTACTAAATCTCTTCAGAAACAAAGGTGGCCGGCAGAACAGCAAGTCTGATACATGGAGCATGTATACACCAAGGAGTATGCCAAGTAGTCCCACAGGCACACTTACACGGCATGGAAGTAACCCAAACATCCTCATTAACATGAAAGACATTAAGATTGTCAGCAGAACAAGGTCTTTCAGAAAACCCAAACCCAAGGAAGGTTTAGAAACATCGCCACTGGTTCCTAGAAAGTCACCACTGATTCCAAATAAATCCCCAAAGGTGCCTCACAAATCACCTCAAGTACAACGCACAGACAGATCATCACCAATCTACCAAAAATCACCAGCAATGTCCAAAAAGTCGCCACAGGTTCCACAAAGGACACCCAATGGTGTTACAACTTCTCCAGTAACTGTCCACAATCGTGGATATTATTCACCGCCAGACGGCAGTGTTATTCGTCACACTCGTGAAGGAAGTGGTTCAAGTTCAGGAAGCAATGCCGTTCACCATGCTCGAACAGGAAGTAGTTCGTCAGGGGGATATGTCAGGCACAGCAGTGAAGGAAGTGGAAGTCAACTAAAGAATTTCTCTCGTCAGTCCTCATCTTCCTCTGTCAATAGTAATAAAGTAGAAACCATTTGTTAATGGAACATAAGGAGTAATTATAGACGTGTCTGCAGATTTGCTTCTTAGCTTTACTTGCAAATAGATGACATTGTAGAATATTAAAATTGGGCTTGTTCTATCAGCCCATAATGTAATTGTGATGTCCAGTGTTTTATACATTATCGTTCTCCAAGATATGAAATTGGGCCCAGTATGATTGAAATATACAGGTAATTCATTTCCATGTGTTTTATGTTATGAGTTTATGTATAGCATGACACAATCTTGTTAAAATGTATGAAAATGTTCTCAATACTGTATAAAGTCGTCTTAGGACCAGTGCTTGCCAAGGTAACTTTGCCATGCATTCATGTTACACAGTGTTTTGAAGACAATTGAGGATTCTTTTGTAAAGTACGTGGTACATCAGCAGATTTTTATAGTACATGTTTTGAGTCCTTGGATAGCAGGGTTACTTTTTATATCCTTTACTTTTTGTTTCTTTTTAACAAAGGTAGAGATGTTTTAGAAAACTGCATAATGCCATCAATGATATGTGTATATAGTTATAGAAATCATTATATTACGACTCCGAGATATACACAGTATACTTTATTTTTTTGGTTATTTTCATAAGAGATCTAATATAATGTAGTTGATACTATACATAAACTGCTGATAACACTATAATTATGCAATTAATTTAAGTGTTAGTGAACCAATGATTATCTAGAAATACTAATACACTTAAGTACATGTTCCATGCATAACTCAGAATGTATCTGTTTTCTTATCAACTCATTTCTTGCCCTGGTATGGACAGAAACTGTAGCATACATCATTTTATGGAAAAAGTATGCAAATATTTGTAAATATTAAAATGTGCCAATTTCATATGCATTAACATTTTCAGACTATTAAGTGTTTTTGATTACATGAATTATGATGACAGTGTTTATCTTGTGGGTTTTTTTTATTGTTTTTTTGTCTTGTTGATGTTGTACATTACTTGTACAGTGTAGATAGATATGTGCAATATACCATAAACAAGTTATTATGTAGTATAATGTAATTGATTTTGATATTCTGGTTTATCTGACAAACCAAATTCTATTTTCTGCTTCCTGGAGCACATTAGTTGGTATTCAGGGATACGCCCTATAGCATTTAACTAACAGCTTGCATTGAGTGCATGTTTTTAGTTTGTGTATTTCTTAGAATGTTCAATACTGTACTGACCTGTAAATGTATGGTCTACATTTGGGAAAATAAAGATTTTAGTTAAATGAAACATGTATATACATGTCCAAAATAAAATGGTTAATTTCCAAGTTTTATTGCACATCACTATTGATGCTGAACTCCTTTTGACTGCAAATTAATCTTGCTTTCTGTGGTTGTTAGGAATACTTGTCAGGATGATCAATACCTGAAGTGAATTCATGGCAGTGACCATCCTGTAATGATTTCTGCCAAAATGTTACTTTGGGGTTATTGTATATTAAACATAGGGGAAATTATATATTTTTGTTGATAGAAATGAAATCAGAACTGTTTTGAAATCAGGTAGCTTGGTACTGGCAGGTATGTTTAATTGATGAAATAAATAATTTAAAATAAAGTTACCATAAATTTGGTTTATTTCGATTTATTTTAAGGCTTTCAGAATTGATAAATTTTGATCTTTCATTTGATGCATATTACTGTATAGCTGACTTGAATGTAGTACATAGTTCTGCTTAAATTCTTATGATAAAATCATCTTTTGTTGTAAACTCACCATTTTGGGTTTCCCAACTTTGGTCGTGCCCAATCCTTTGTGATTTTGATTTTGTGATTATGTCTTCCCACTTCATTTACTGTGTGCTCTTAGTTGTAATAATTTGCACACAAATATATATACATGAATCTCCCCACTGTTCGCTACTCTAAGACAAGATTGTATTTACTATGTTATGTATCATTTCCACATTGTAACTTGCTCAAAGTTGTGATGATGTATATCTTCCCCATTTTAAACTTTTTTGAGTTTATACATGTAACAAATGTGTGGTATCGTAGGATTCTTAATTACATTTTTTTTTCTCGCAGTCTTTACTATTTTGGTTGGACTGATATTTCTAATTCTAAATGTACCATCATCAAAATTTACACGGAGATAACCTTATAATCTTCAATTACATGTATAGTACAGTTGGTCACTGTGACCTGTATTTTGTGATTTGCCAAATTTGACGAGTCTTTACCAGGCTCACCCTGAACCAAAATTATCAGTAGCCAAAAAATAGCCAAGTGTGAATTTTAGTAGCCAATTTCTTCAGAGAGTAGCCTTGGCATATTGGCGAATAATAATTTACAGTACATAACATGTAAATAACATTTTGTAGCGCCAGAAAATTTGGAGCTGGGATATTCAAATATAGTAAGAACATTCACTGCTTGTAAATCAAATCTCTCAGAAAGACTTAATTTATCGACAGCTGCCGTCCCATTGTAGTTCATGGTTTTTGATGTTGTTTTTTCTTTAGTTTTTCCCCGAATCAAGGAGTAAGTGGAAGCCTGTACCTTACAGCTGTTATACAAACAGATATTTGATTTAAAGAACAACAGGTAGCAAGCTTCGAAGGATGGAAATTTTAACAATTTCAAATACATAAGAGTATGGTAATCTGCTGCAACTAGCTCCCAAGGTGAAGTTTTCAGCTTCTCTTAATTCAGTCCTTGTCAGATAATCCAAGGTTGTTGACATATAATTCAGAAGTCCAGATACTGTATTCCAATGCTCTCCAAGTACTGAAATTACTGGTAATGGCTCTTGGTAATGGATGTACTTACTATACATCCAGTTATTATAATTTGGGATTCTGGTTACTATGATACAGGATCCTTTTCCCTATCCATTCTTGGCCCTTCAGGTTTTGTGTATATATTTATGTAATGTCTTGGTATTGTGAATCAGTGTATTTGTATGTATAGATACACTATGTCATGTTACACTATCAGGTTATAGTTAAAGTGAACAGCTGGCAGTTCAATTGATGAAGTTGTGTGTAATGTAAGATGTTTATATTTCTGTGCTTTGTTGTACCCAATGCCCTTGTAGATATATTAATTTACAAACTAATTTGTTAATCTGTGAACCAAAATTGTTACCATCTATTGATACAGGAATTTTTTATAATGTCTATAAATGCATAAGTGATGAAATTATTGTTAGTTTTGAGCTGAAAGTGTTGTTGTTGCTTGATCGTGGTTGATTCTGTTTATATGTTTACTATATAGTTTATTATAAGAGTTCAAAATATTTTGTGGTTTTTATGTATACACATGTTGTATGACTGATTATATTAAGACACTATTTCACTTTTCCATAACTAACATTCAGTGTTAAAGCGTAATACATGTATCCATACATATGTTCACAGGCTGTAACAGTACATAAAAAATTTATAATACTGTATAAACTCCCTTGCGGTGTTGGGTTCAATTCGGGTTTTATTAACTAGACTCTTAACAATGTTAAAACATGATGTACCAGTTTTAAACACTTTTTTTTTTAAAAAAAGGTCCCAGATTGGAGAATTTTATCCAACATTTTTAGTTGTTGAAAATGCATGAAAAAAATGTATGTTCTACTCTTACTTTCATTTAGTGATCTATAAATCCAAAATAAGACAAAAGTCAATAGTGACTCAACATTTTGATAGAATTAGAACAGTTTGATTGATGTTCAAATGTTTTAATGCATGTATACAAAGTTGTACCTACAATGTATAAAGGTCAAATCCTGTTGTATGAAACTTTGTGGTCAAACTGGACACCACAGACATGATCAAAGATAAAAAAAAAAAAAAAGAAACTTGCATTTAGAAAATGTTGATGACTATTCTGTTTGTCTTTGTGATAACCATTATTTCCAGCATTGATAGATCATAAATTACAATAGTATACCAGTACTTCAATCTGGTAAGGGTAGTTTTTGATACGTCATCCTGTATCTAAAATAATTGTTTAAAAATAAAACTCATTGAGAGTATTGATAATAATATTGTTAACTGTAAATAAATGGCTTTATAATACACTTCCTTTAATAAGATTTAACATTTTTTTGAATTTTTAAAATGTGTATTATTTTATAAGATGTTAAAAGTTGATGTTAAGTTTGATGAGTTGTAGACATCTAAAATCCATTCCTTATTCTAATGATGTTCCTTTATTTGTCATACTTATAAAGCTCAAGTGTTACATATGGTACAAATTGTAATTTATAGTTTTAGAATGTTTTACCCGGTATAAAAACACAGAACTTCATGTATTTTGAAATAAATATTTCAACATATATTGCAGCAATATAACAAATATATGATATAAAAAAATCATGTAATGCCATAAAACCTTTCCAAGAACACAAACTAATAAGATTTTAGGCGACATGCTGGGTAAGTTATCTTAACTTCTAGTAATCATGACCAATATCACGTAGAAACATAAGTTCTAGACTTCATACTTATACAAAGTTCTTAATGTATTTTTACCAATCACTTTCTGTATTCATGTAGGTTTGATTATACAGTTTGTTTTGTTTGAACAACTTTGTAGTCGTTGAGTTGTATATTGTTCTGTGAAATAGGTCTTTTGTATACTGTTTTCATATGAATGGTTGCTGTTGTTCAAGTCCAGTGTATATATTGATACTCATAAACTAAATGGTGTTTCTGCTCAGTTGATAGGTAAGAATAAAAAACTTGAGAAATGATTATGTAGACATTTAAACGAATCCTAGTCTTGCCAATCTACTGTAGTCATCGAGTTTTAAATTGAAGAGTAATATACAACAGGGATAAACTTCCTTTTGTTGCATTAGTTATGGTTACATTTATCTTCTTTGGAAAAATGTTTTATGCAGATTTTGACATCTAAAGGATGGACAATAAAGAATTGAATTTTTCAAATTATAACGATTTTTGTACTGCAATTGGCAGAGAAAATGAACAATCACATTATTGAATCTCATCGAATCTCTGATCACAGTCCGGCTGCTATCGTATTATATTCAAATAGTCTCTGTTTTGTCTATTACCAACACTATCAATTATTCTAGTCCTTTTTCCTCTTTTGTATGTTATTTTAATCTTTAAGATTGATATATATTTCTAACAAAACCACTGTTATATCTTACTTATACACGTCTTCCAGTGACTTAATCCTACTAAAAATAAATACTAAATATGTTGATATGCTTTGAAGATTATGCTAATAAAACTGTAAAAGACTGGATTTGTTTTATTTTGAAAGTACATCTGTATTAGAGGAAGTACAGGTATTTCATGAACTTTCAGAAGTTTTGCAATATATATTCTGTACTACCATCTTTCTCTTAAAAGAAACTTGAGGCACTTTCCAAAACACTATCATATTCAGAGTACTTTAGTTATAAGTGAGCAGTTGCAATGTGTGAAGTCTAGAATACAAACTTTACTGACAGGTGGACTTAAATTTGGAGCCTGATGTTTTTAATAGAGATATTGCAATAAGTGGCCTTTTTTCATTCCCCCACCCCCCCAAAAAAACAACAAAACAAAATTAGTTAGCTGTTGATCACTTGTTATTATTGTGATTCATATTTGCCAAAGTGTCACTGTTTATTTGAAAATCACCAGTACAAGACACATTGTCTTAATTTTCATGTGTATTAAGACAAAAAATATACATTTGATAATAATCTTGTACAATCCTTTCAGACAAAAATGTATCTTACTTTTACAATCCTTTTACCAAGTCAACGTTTTCACTCAATCTCATTGAAGTTTGATATAGTTACATATAGTGTTAACTCGATTGCACTTATTCTCAGCATTCAGACATTTCCAAGCTTGCTTTCAAACTCACCCCTGCACAACTCTAATCACATCCAATGGACCCATGTGAGATAGTGACTTTAATGTACAGTAAGTCACTGGATTTTTCTCAGTGCAATGTAAACAAATTGTAATGAGATATTGCCGTTTTTTAAGTTTTTAACTTATGATGTCATGGCTGCCATATTGGATTTTTGACCTACTTAAAAAATCGGCATCGACAACTTCATATACGTATCTACAAATAGATGAATAGACTGTGTGTCTAGCTTTTACAATTTAAAAGATTACGAACCCACAATATTGGAAGAAGAATAATAAGAATAATAATAAGAAACATAACAAAAACAATAGGTCTTTTCACCAACTGGTGAAAAACCCTAATTATTCAACGCAGGAAGAACTCAGCATTTTGAACTAAACTGATATGATCAAGGATGAGACTATCTATCATCAGAGACAGGAAACGGATAACTATATCAAAACACCTGTAAAAGGTGTGATCAAGCAACAAAGGCAGCAGCTGATAATTTTAAATCAATATATCTGATGTATTTTTTCCAGGCCTGCTGAATATTTTAACACTTGTGTAATGAGGACTTGTTTTGAAAAGTAATTATAAAGATCAATGAAAATGATTTAGATATACACTCTGCATTTCCTTCAGGATATGTGTCCATCTTTCTGATAATCTGATAATTGTTCAATTATTTCAACCAGTGAATACCTGAATATTTATAAGGGGGGAGCGGAATCTTTTCACACATCACAGATATAGCATGGTTAAACATATATACATCCTACACATTATAATAGCTGTAAAATCTGGAGAATAATTGACATAAGACGCTCATTAGGTTCAGCTCACAAAATTACATGTATATTTTACAAAATATTTATTACTCACACAAACACACAAAGGTGTCACTTGCAAACATTTAGACTTCAAGAGTAGAAAAATTCAATATATATTTCATTTATCCATGTCTGCTTTTCCACAAATTTTCTACAAGTCTTTTATAAGTTTGAGAATCCTAGTATATCATTTTTTTCTACGAATCTGTGTTTGCAAAGCAGGTGGTTTTCTGAAGCGTCGCGCATAAAAGACAAGGCTCACAATACAGAGAGCATACCTGAAAATAAAAATAAATGGTAACACTTTATATCATCATACACCAGAACCTGCTTAGGCTTAAAACGACAACATGCTCATCATAAAAAAACATCATTCAAAAACAGGAGTCAAAGTCCTTATCCCTAATGGTCACTCTTTCAATACATAAGAGACTAAATAGAAAGGGAGGACTAAGTGAAAGCCAATGATAGGTATAGCAGTAGAATGCACATATCAGCATCGTAACAAGAGTTTGATTCCATGATTAGGTGTAAAAAAAAGTACAAAGCACCTGTCTTTTCATCAGCTTTTCACCATGGTTAATGGCACCCTCCACATCAAAAACACCTTGATATTTTAGTCAACATAACCACTTTATGAACAGGATCAGACATTCAAAGATTCCATTATGAGATCATTGCTAGCTACATTTATCACAACAAACTATCACATCTAGCTTCATGTATAGTATAGTACATGTATATGCAAATATGTATCATTCAAGATTAACTCTTACATGAAAAGGCAGCTTGTTCAAAATATCCATGTTTTGGAAACCCTTGCTGCCTGTGTTTAGATGATTGGTTTATTATGAAGATAATGTTGTAAATTAAATTATTTTAATGTGAAGTTAGCCAGTAGATAATAAAAAAATCACAGCATATTAGGTATGATGCTTAGACCATAAAAGGTTCCTGATTTACACAAGGTAAGACCATGAAATTGAATTGGTGTAATGAACATGTACAATTAAAAAGCAGGTAGAATTACATTGTGGTGATGTTATTCGTCGTAAATTTCATAAGTCATTTGATCACTGACACAAACAATAACTACTCTCGTCTGGGGTTTTAATTGAATGAGAATGAGAAAATGTTTATGTCATAAACTACATTGATTTATTATTACATAACATATTAAATTAGGGTATCAGTTTTCCTACACAAGTACCTACCAAGTCAGAATATATTGTAAATGTTCATTTCTGAGTGTGACAATAGTTTGGCCCCCAATTGGTCCTCCTTCCACAGTGCTACCTATAAAAGATTTCGAAGTCATAAGTATTTTTCAAGGTGATTGATACTTAAAAGATAATACAGTAAAATCATACATGTGGTTATCTGTAATGATGACCTAGTTTTTCACTCTCAGGGAAAAATAATGCATCCCTTCTGAACATCAAACTCCATAAACAATCACTACTGAGTGAGAAATTCGCTTAAGTCAATCAATATCACCAAATTGTAAACTGATACACAAAACTTATATCACAAGATACAAACTATCTATCACTCTAAGTCACTTTATAAAAAAAGATTAAAATCATGAGGAGATAAACAATAATAACATTTGAGTTAAATTAACACAATCATAATTTCACAATTTAGACATTGGTAGTAAGTGGTTTTTTTTTTTCTTTTTTTTTTGAATACTATCAATTGAATTAGGTTTTCTCCATGCTTCCATACATGTTTTTCTTGTCGAAATTCATTGCTAAATCAGAAACAAAAAACCATTTTATTTGAATTCATGTTATGATCTTGCCCTCCTAAATGTCTGGTTTATGACATCATCAATTTAAACTAATCTGTGCAATACGTACAACTGGACAAAGCAATCCTTATTAATGTTAATATCTTTGTTTTCAATTCGAACTTTTCTCACATAAATTTGACTTATAAATTAGAAGTCTCCATACAGTTGTCATATCCATGGAGGTTTGAACAACCAGTACATACAAAACTTGTTCCTTGTACAATTCAGTAATACATCATACACAAGACCTGTCTGAAAGGCTACCTGTCTGTAGAGGCCTCTTTTTTGGTTTCCTGTGTAAGTCAATTCAGTCAATGAACCTCTATATAAAGGCCATATGTGTATAAAGACCACTTTTCTCTCTCCCTGAGTGGCCTTTACAGACAGGTTTGACTGTATATGCAATAATTTGTAGAGAAATAAGAAAGATACATCATTCTCCTCTACATCCTGTTAGGATAAAACCATCTGAATCATAAATTTGTTCACTTTAACTTTATTAAATCAAGATACCTACTGCACAATAACATCACCATTAAATCACCATGAATAAAGTAAATCTATTTATAACTCTTTGTGTCATCAAGGACCTTGAGCCTTGTTGTAGGTGCAGCAAAAACTGATTAATATCATTTCCCATTTGTAATAAGAAAGTGTAATGTTAGGCAGAATGTGACTTTAACAGTTGATACTTTTTTGCCATCAGTGCCCAGAAGTAAATGTTTTGATATCTGCCCAACTAACCTTATTCTTATATTTTAGATAACAAAATATCTTTTTCTTACTTTCACCTTTGAAACAGTTAAACTTTCATCTTCATTCATTTATTTCATTGAGATAATGCAACTTGCCACTATTTCAGACACATAACTGGACAAATGTAAATATATCCTTTCAATTACATAAATGTACAAACATGATCCATAACCATTTACTTCAATTGTGACCATTGACCTACACAGTCCTATCACTTACTGAAGTCAGCATCCAAGTAAACAGGAGACGTCTTCAGAGTTTCAGCCAGACTATCTACATCTCGTTTTATCAAAACTTTTGGGTTGTCCAAACCTTGATTTTGGGTGAACGTATTACTCTAAAAATAGATGTCAGTTTGTGAATCAACTCATATATGCATAGCAAAGTATGTTAATTAAAAGTTTTGGGAAAAATGCTGTATTTATTAGTGTGGATATTTGCATATTACATGTATATTGTGTTATATTGGCAGATATCTTCAAAATCCAAAGGTTCCATTCTTGATATGATTTCCATTATTTGATTGATTCCAGACATGAACACTCACCAAAATGTTTATCACCTTATTCCCTTTTTTGCGCTAAAGAGGTTACAACAGAAGCATGCCTACGTCAAATAGAACTGTTCCCAGTATGTTTGACTAATGCCACCTCCCCCATTAATGCTTACCAAAGTCCTTTCCCCTCCTCAAATGATTTTTTAATGTGTCTGAACAGGAAGTGAAGAGAAAGCTTTCACTAAACAAAATTTACCATTCAGTTTACAAAGCTAAAGTGGCTAATTCCCTCAACAAGACATCACCAGGTATCAATGTTTTTCACAAATACATTAACATTATAAATTATTGTTATTAAAAGTCTTGCTTAATCAGAGGAATTGTTAAAAAATTTAAGTCATGTGACCATAACTATTAGTCAAGATCATTTCTTTACTCTAAATTTTTGGTGATTGAGAAGGAGTCATTTAAGGGATTAATAAATTTCATATCATATATACTTAGTATCTGCCTAGACAGTCATATTAAAAATTTTAAGATAAAATGAGTTAGAAAATTAACAGCAAGTTCATAATAAGAATACATTTGAATCACTTCTTTTGTCTTTTTTGAATTTCTAAGTTCATTGTAAATGTGCTTTCATCAAATATTAAATAAAGCCTAGTTTTAAACGCAGACTTACCGCTTCAGAGTGTCGTAACACACCAACCAATTCAACTTCACCTTTAACCTAGAGATAACAATAATTAAAGTAATAAAAAGACATTTACATATTTTATCAAAAGTCCAATGATGGAATCAAATTATTTGAGATTAATGAATAAGTAAAGATTTTCTGCCCTTTTAATATAAATCAACTACAAAATATACAAGTAAGCCAGTGGTTATGTAAATATTATCATTATTCTTTATTGATCTGAAGCAATGCAGCTTATGGATTCTAATACATAAATATACAACATGTATCATATACAAGAGGGAGGGAGAGAGAGAGAGAGAGAGAGAGAGAGAGAGAGAGAGAGAGAGAGAGAGAGAGAGAGAGACAGACATTGTTTCTATAATCATTGTTACATACAAAAACTTAGTGATTTTATTACAATAGAAGAGATCGCAGTTTGAGAGCATGATACAAATACTTTCCCAAGTTACATAAGTCTTTTACATTAGGAGTTTTAAGTAAATCTACTAATTTGAAAATGGAGGGATTACTCCTATAGTATGGTTTGATATATTTACAACGCAAATTTTTATAAAGGACATTTAAGTACAAAATGGAATATACTTTACCATTAATCTATGAAAACATCTTAAGTGACCTAACCCTTTACCATCACTCTATGAAAACATCTTAAGTGACCTAACCCTTTACCATCACTCTATGAAAACATCTTAAGTGACCTCACCCTTTACCATCACTCTATGAAAACATCTTAAGTGACCTAACCCTTTACCATCACTCTATGAAAACATCTTAAGTGACCTAACCCTTTACCATCACTCTATGAAAACATCTTATGTGACCTTTAATCAAACAACTAACAAATCTTGTTATACAATGTACTTTTGTCTATAAATAGATCTGTTTAGCAGCCCAGAAGATGGTCAAATATGACACCAGATCTCTTTTAGACTAGACATTAAAATCTAACAGTAAATTTTTGTACAATTTTTTCTTACACATCTAGGTGTCAGACTTATCAACCAATAGCATACCTACAAGTAAATAAAAAAAAAAACCCTTGAAATTTTTGGTAACTATCCTTTTCAAGAGATAAACACATTTAATTAAATACCATGTAAGAATATCGTATATGTTACCTGTCCTTCAGATCTTGAGTTTGGATCCACATTTGTCTTTTGAATCCAGCCTCTATTGATTAATATTCTCTCACTGAAATACAGAGCAAACAGATATACATAATTAAGTGAACTTATGACACAAAATATCCTCAACACATACATATATCCAGCTAAGTTACAATATAACCTAATACCACTGCCTTCTTTTGTAAATCATTCTTCAATCTCAAGAAAGCATCTAAGCACCTTCAATGCTTTGGAAACATTGTTGGATAAAAAGTTAAATATGGTATACACTGACTAGTATCAGGTACAACATAAATGCCTTGCCTACACATTGTTCATTAGAAGATGAAGTTTAGATAAATAATACAAACCAATTAACAGCAAACATAGTTCAAGGTCATTTCTTTGGAGAAATCAAATAGCCTACCACCTGAACAGATTACAAAATCATTATTTTTTATGTATGGAAAGATGAGCTAGCTCAAGGACTTAGCTTTCATATTGTGCTATTTACCTGTTCATATACCAGGTATTATTTTTTTGTGCAATATTCTAAATAACAAAAGCTCTAAAAACAGGTGTCAACTCACTCTCTGTCTTTTAGTTTAAATGGTGTTATGACAAGCATCCCACCTCGGGTTGGAGTGACTCCCATGCCTTTCACTTCAGAGATTTTTATGTCCTGGACATTGGCACGTGGGTAGATGTATCGTTCCATCTCATGATCAAATTCTCCTACAACCCTTAGAGGTGTGTACTCCATGTCTGTGTCCTTAAGGTCTTCTAAACTATTAAACAAATAGTGAAATAGCTGTATTTACCACATACTTTATCATAATAATGATATCAAAATATCAAACCAGTTGTCATGAGTTTAACTGTCAAACAAGTGTACAAAATTTAAGTATTTCAAATGAAACTTTTATGACCAGTTTTATTTAATTTTTCAACCCAATGTGTTAATCAACATCAATATTTTAATACTTATTGCAAAGCTCTTATGAATATTTAACAAAAGTTAGATTTTTTTAAAACATACAAATTTCATATTAACTTTATGGTATGTTATATAAATTGTAATGGAACAGAAATTTTTGAGCACCTTTTACTGTAATACATGTACTTGATCTAAAATGTTTTACTATGCACACTGTGAAGCATTAGATAGCAAACAAAAAGTTCCACATATATAAATTTCTATCAGAATAAGTATATTCATTGAAGTTTTAAACAGGATCTATAAATCATACAAGTAACATCCACAATTTATCAATGGCTATGTGAACTTTGACCTTAAACCCTCCTAGTTAACTACCTTCCAATCAAAACATAAAAGCACACCTAATGAATTACGATATAAGCAGAATATGTCACAGTGATATTTTAATCAAAGTACTGAAAGGGAAATACTTAGTTGGTATTTTGATTAGTTGGAATTGTAAAGAGGCACAAAAACATACTTCATCATTTACTTGTAACTCATGTAAAATTGCACCACTAACTATACTTAAGGGTAATATTCAATCGCAACAAGTCCAGGGTACCAGAAGAGTATATTTATTACAATCTGTCAACCAGTTTCGCCCGAACATGTGGGCTTCTTCAGGACCCAGGACAATTTGTGGTGTAAAACTTACCCCTAACATACTAAAAATGTGGTGTCTTTTTATATTGTTATTTATGACGTATCTACAGTAAAGGCATGTGACATTATAGTAACGATAACTCTAACTTTCATGACATTCCATGAACGAACCATCAGGTATACTTGTTGTAGGTAAAGATCTGAAATTCACTTGTATTTAACAGACAATCAAATGCTTGCTCTAACATGCTGTTTACAATATGTATACCTAGGCACTTTATCAAAGTAATACTGATTAACTGTCTTGATACATAGTAATGTATCAGATGCACCTGATCTTGCTAGAAGGTCGTTCACTTTTGAAAAAAACACTGTATTTGATATTTTCTTGTTGCGATGCAATTGATAAGATAAAATTGTGCTGTTAGGTAATAATAATTATGTATGTATATATATGCTACTGAAAGTTTTTCCCTAGCATTTTGACTTCTTATTGTCAAGGATACCTAGTTAAATCCTTCTAGAATCTGTTCTGTCACAGTGATAAATCTAAATGTGATCTCAAAGAAAGATAACAATAAGTATTTTAGTGATTATAGAAGATTACACACTTCATTCACTTACTTCATGCATTAACGTAGCTATTTGTACCCAAGTATGTGCATAAGGTATATGAAACAATTTTCTTTTTACTTTCATGAACCTACCTTTGTACAAAATGATGGATATATATGACTGAATATGACTAAATGCAGTTACATGGACAACCTTGTCCTAAATGATTCATAGCCTATATACCGGGTATATCTATAACTAGTCACAATTGTTACCTTAAACTAAATTTTTTCATTGTGTGAAATTAGGTGATAGCAAATTGTGTCAATGTGTCATGACTTTCTGCATGCAGATACACACTATAAGAAATAGCTTTCTTATTATAATTTAGGTAGTGGAAGAGGGGTGTTTTTTATGTGACCAGTTTCTTCATATAAACCCTCCAGGCAGAAAAAGTGACACTGAATAAAGATGATATAGTTTGTGGTAGGCCTACTGTTAAGCCTCCATGAGTGAAATGAACTGTACATGTGGGTGTTGTTTGCGCTTTGCACCTTTTTTTTTATAAACCAGATATAATCACAAAATTAACAAAACAGAAAATATACAGGGTTCACTGCTTTGACATGTACAACAGCTTGTTTCACAGTCCCACTTGTGTGCACACACACATTATATCCATCAGTACTACATACATTGGGAAGAAGTGTGTTAATTGTACAATCAAATCCATGTATGTATATACATAGTGAGCCAGGCGTTCATGAGATAAAATTAGACAATTTGCCACCATGATCATGTCGAGAATTTGCAGCAGTCTATCAGTACAACTTCAGAACATTCTTTTTTAGGAATGTCGTAATGTGATCGTTCGGCAGTTTGAAATTTCTTGGCTTGGCTATTTGGTGCCATAGATCATGAATTTGAGGCCTAGACAGAGCACAAGTCAATGACTGTCTGCCCTTATCAATGTTAATAATATTATTTTAAGTATGGTTGAATTGGTCTCCGATTCCTCAACTTGTCCACAGAAAACTCACCTCAGAAAACCAGATTTTCTATTTCCAGACTAGAGTTTATAAGCGAGGTCAATGTTAAATAAGAATGAAAGCAGAGAGAGAGAAAAATATGGGTTGATGGGGCAATCCTAATCCTCAGCGATAGAGCCTTTAGACCATATTCAAAATATTTTTTTATATATATTTTTTGCACATTTAACTGATTTTTATCAAAAGCACTTTGTATTGTAACTATACATACATTCATTAAAGTATTCTCAAAAGAAAGTTTCTCATTTTTAATCAACCATTCCCTATTTAGAATAGGACTGAGATATATTGGGAAACTCCTATCCTCGAGTGTTGCATGAAAAATGAATTTCTCTGTGATCACATAAACACTCAGTGGCTACTGTGCACAACGTACCCAGATTTATATAAAACACTTTTGATATTTGAATCACAATCTTTCATACAACAACCTAAGATGGTTTTTTGCCCCTTATAAAGGGCCTTTGCCGTCCATTGGCCGAAGGGTTTATCGAGACAGCTAATCTTTAAATACCATTCTCAGGTTTTGATTTTAACTTTGTATTTGTTTTATGTTCTATGTATGTAATGTAATTTATGTAATATTTGTGTCTTCATAAAGGGCAGACTGCCTTTAAAATTTGACAATTTACTTGTATGAACTGTTGTTATTACTTAAACGGTCATGTATCTATTCCAATCAATTCCATTTGTTGGCAAGAATCAAGTACCTGTGAGGTACTAATATTGGACCATACCATTGATATCACTTACTAGATTATATATCTTTCATTCATTTGGTTTTAATGAAACAGTTTTACTTGCTTAAGTTTGTATAGAATGACACATGTGCCTAGTGTTGAAAGTAAAGTAGAATATTTCTTTGTAAATCAAAGGTATTGCAAAAAAATAGGACCATATCAGAAGTGTCTGCTTTCTCACTAATGTTTTTATACTAGTAATGGTCAATTGAAGTAACACTTAATTTCATGTACCATGTGACTGGTCACTTCATGCATAACAAGTCCTTATAAACTGCCAGAACATATCAAGACATAGTTTTGTACTGCCATATCAGTGATAGTGCTTTTTGGACTATGAACAGAATTCAAAACCTAAATTGTGCCCAAAAATCTTTAAACCTTTACATATGGTCATTATCAGTTTAGTATGCACTGAAAGTATAATTATTTTCTTTTAAAAGTTTACATACTTCTCTGGTAAGGGAATAGGTGGAGAAGAAACTTTATTCTGCATGTAAGCTATTTTTTTCTCCTTCCATTCTTTGCGGGACACCTGCCATGTTCCTAGACTGAATGTTACTGCAGGAACAGTCTGGTGAAAGACAAATAAAACAAATTGCTAATCCATATAGTACAAATACAAACATAAAAAGAACTTGAGTTATTTAATCATTAGAATCTGGAAAACAGATATTATAAAAATTATTACAATATCACTCAGTCAAATTCATTCAATTTCTACACAGTAAATAAAACAGAACACTACAGGGTGGATATAGGTCTATCCCATGCCAGAGCCACGACTTATTGTATCCAAAAGAACACAAATAAGGAAATGGTAGAAATGAGCCAATATAGGTTTTAATGAGAAAACAAAGCATACCAGTTTATAAGAAATGAGGTGAATGACAGGAACTGAAAGAAATCGCTTGACAAGAATAAAATTTTAAAAAGGACAAATGGCTTTGACATTTTCAAAATAAAATTGTAATGGCAACCATTACATTTGTCCCACAAACACCTTTAATGTAGAGTTGTAATTGATGTTAAATTAAGAGTGACAAGAAATGCAATAAAAATTGAACCACATTTAAATTTCATCACATTAAACATCTGTGTAGAGTAGAAAATGGACTCCATTATTGTGTTACAGATGTCAGACATTATTTTCTTGAAAATCGGATAATATCCAAAGTCAACCAATCAGCAGCCATGTTGGCCAATCAGAAAACAAATTTCATTTATCTACAATATTTTCAAACAGCAATAATACCAATCCACTCATTGAACATACATTTCCCCTCCTTACTCTGTCTAATTTTACTTCTGTGTTAGCTATAGCTATAGTCTCGCCACTTCTTTTGCATACACAAATGTTCATACAATAATGCAAACAACAATGTTTTGCTCCCCATCTTCCACTTCACGTCTGTGTCATTCATACAAAGGATAGAGCCATATATCAAGATTAATTCTAGGAAATAACTAATTTAAGATGAAAAAAGAGTGAATGTTACCTGGGAACATTTATTTTCATAAGTGAAATTAAGCTGAGTGTGTATTTATATTTGTGTGGGTTTTTTTGTAACAACACAAGTCCCAACTTTTTTTGAGAAATACCTAGAGTACTGTGGGATCTTGTTAAGTCACATGGTTGAGTTTCTACCCTAATTAAAAATATGAGTGGATATAGCAAATGTGTTTGCAGTAAATTCTGTAACATGACAATGGTATGAGCTTGTGATAATGTGTGATATGCATGTGAAAATGACAATTTCTTTCAACAATTATTGTTTTAATGCTGACTCATGCACTGGTCACTAATTTCCCTTGCTTTTTATCTGGACTGAGTTCTGATGTTCATCCTCTCCAAGCCGTAAGAGTTGAGAGAACAACAGAATAATTCAGACATGGCCATACCATAATATATCTCATCAAAACTTTTGATGGGTGTATAAAAATCATACATGCAATACCACCTGCATACATATTTTAAGATTAATAAGAAAGAAAATATGTTAAGTCACTCACTTAGAGAAAATGTATAACATATACAATTATACAGTATATATAAATGATTTTTCTTTTTTATGAAACAGTTAAGAAATAAATCCCTTAGTGAATCCATATGGACATAAACACTTACAAGCCAAGCCACTTCTGTAAATATGCTTTTCAGAGTTGAAACAGGTGATTTCTGTTTTGAAGCATCCTTACGATAACTTCTTATATGTTCAGGTTTTGATCTAAGCTTCAGACTTCTCCACTAAAAATAAAGCAAACAAAAATTACAGCACAGACAACACAAGAGGTTTCAAATGTTTATCCATTATACTAAATAGGTCTCTAGACAAACACATATGTAAACACTTTATTCGTTCTTTGCCTTCATTGACTGTCAGTGAAAAGAAGAGAAGTAACATCAAATGAGGATATGATGAAACTCAAATGCATCCTCTCTTTATAAAGGATAAAAAAAAATCATTTAAACTTAAGGTCATTGGTGAACCAGTCAAGTCCTGCATTGCTTTCCAAACTAACCAGATAATTAGCATTTTTTTTGTTCACAACTGTGGTCTTGAAATTCTATATCATAAGCTTTAACCCCCACTCCAAAAAAAAAACAATAAATATATGATGTTACATATGATGTTCTCTACCTTTTAAGCAAATAGATAACTATACCATTATTCACTACCGATATAGTTAAAAACATTCACAAAGAAATTCTTTTGTCTGAAATAGGTGAATTGAAGAGAAAAATGACCGATGGCTTTATTAATACATGATTTGTATTGTGTCTGTCCTTTGAATTACACTACAATGTACTTGGTTGGGTTATCAAATTGTACATAAATGATGTACAATGTAAGTAGAACACATGTACAATTTTACATCCAAGGCAGATGAGATGTAGTTAATAACTGTATAACATTTATCTTGGACATTTTGATATGAGCAAAGTGATATACTAGTAACATGTTTAAGACAATGTTTCATTCACATACAGGAAGAGAGGTTCCAGGACTGGACCCATTTGAGAAAAATCACTTGCTGTCGCTTGTCATATTTTGTGCATTTCTTGAACCACTAACCAGTTAACCAAAATTTATTGGTGTTTTATATTTTCTTGATACTTCCAACCAAGAATGTCATTGTGGCATGTAAGCTTCGCTCTTTCCAGGCACTGTCTATTCATATTATGGTGCTTATACCGTTTTGTGTGGGTTTTAGAAAAACAAAACAAAACCACTTTTTATGACTTAACTGTATATTTATCCTCTATAACTATCACTATGTAACGACATTATGAATAAGTTAGACTCGACAGATTGAATGTCGATCTCAATATATAAGTGTACTCTGTACAACAGAGCTGTCAACCACATTTAAAGAACGGTTTCATTTAATGACTTTTAAATCAGAAACTGTGATACAGTGACACTGGCGTAATTATATAATTCTTACCAAGTGCCGAAGGAGAAACTTCTGCTTGCTCATAACGACTTGCAGACAGTTATCAAACTGTGGAACTCTTTTGTATCAAAGTTACGTTTAGTAACGCAAGGTGCGTGAAAACGTTATGACGTTTACCATTGGCGTATTATTTCTTAACCGGCCAATCACTGAAGGTATTTCAAGTATCGCCGTTCTAGACTTGCTTAAGTTAAAACAACTTGACAAAAAATCGGCCATAACGTTTCATTTCAGAAAAAAATCTTTTTATCGGATATGCACCTGTAGGTGATTTGTTTGCATCGTATTAATTATGTTAGAAAAATGAATAACTAAATAAAGAAAACAACTGGAAAACAAAACGAAAGAAAGGAAGAGTAAATTAAATAGATATCACAGAAAAAAAACTGGCTGTAATCCTGATATGATAGCTATTTTGCTTTCTATAAATCTATAAGCAATTATTCTTTGCGTTCTATGTTTATCCGTTATTCCTTCTCTAACTCTCTTTTTGCTGAGTCGCTCCAAATCCACGCATATTGTACATCATTGTACATTTGACAATGTTATATATAAAGCACCCTGACACAACATTTTATAAAGACATCTAGAGTTGATTTTGTTTCACTACGTTATCAAAACTATACCATCATTTTTGTTGAATATCTTATTAGCATTTTGTCCTTTTAATCTCCAGAAATATGTACATATGTGTAAAGATTATTTTAAAGTTAGTTTGGATAAAAATCTGTTATTTCCGATAGTTCCATAAAACGTGAGCTATGATTTCTTGTTCCACAACAGAAAATATTACAGAGTGAATGATACTTTAAACCTACTTGCAGGTATTCAGCCAAGCCTAACACAAACTTTCCTATAAATGCCGAAATGACAGCAGTGAGAGGACGTGGAAGCAATGCTGGCCTGGACGAGTCACATAGATTGAAAACCTATAACCAATCAACCACCTAACAACATCAACCGTGAGAATCTTTAATTCAAACACAAAATCGATGAAGCATGTGAAAAATACAAAGACAAATTCAGGTTACACGAGGACTTAACGACAGGGAAAATACGACCAGGCGTTCTAGAAGGGAAAACGTATTTCCCTTCATCACTTAGACCAGCAATGCTTGATGTTGTGGACTCCTCCGCTAAAATCGAAGAAACCAAGTCCCCGGTTGTTGGATAAAATATTCAGTGTCACTGGGTGTATATCTGTAAATCTTAGTCGATCCAGGTAATAAATGTCATATGAGAACAAGGTAAAAGAAACAGCGACACAACTTGGAATTTATTTCATGTACCACCAAACTCTACAATATTGCCAACCAGAAATTCGATCATTTTGGCAATTTCATCCTCATTCATTTCTCTTCTACAGTCGTCCACTTTCTCTTAACAGGGTAGAATGTACAAATGACAACACAAATCTAGATTAAGGAGGCGACCCTCCAGTTTAAAACTGGGTATGGTTGTGCATAGAAAAAATATTTAAATGTTTCTATATAAGATAAATTTTCAAGATCGGTATAGTACTAAAATGATGGTAAGACGTTTGGATGTTGGTTAGTTGATCAATAAAGTGAGTCACCAACAAAACGCTCCTTATAAGGGTTATTGTGAGTTAGGGAATCCAATACAAATGATAATGTAAATGACTGACCAATATTAATTTTGAATAATACTGAACAAGTGCAATGGTCGGATAAATAGCATAAATTAACATGTTTTTGCATTAAACAGCATTGACATTATTTTACAAATAAAAAGAAATTAAGTTTTGTTTTGCTTCTACATCTGATATTGGATGCAGAGTAAAAAAAAAACAAGGACAAATCTAATTATACCACACCCCTCCTTACCCCTGTTTTCATGCTTGCCGCGCCTCTCAAGTTTTGATGACGCCACAATTATTTGACGTCATTATTTCATGAATATTAATTAGTTGAACGAGCCTATTTCTCCATATGAAAACTGTCCGTATCTTTACGATTGATTGGTAGTAACTGATAACTGAATGATTCCTATACTAAAGCGTGACTAGCTAGTATTTATTTTTTGGATGATTAGACAAGTGTCCGATAGATCCAGCAATAGTGTTAAATCAGATGATAGATAAAATTCGACCGACCGTTGGGATATGACAGGTTACTAGGAGCAGAACACACAGAATATATCAACGTTATTTCAGCTTTAATGCAACTTAATTGTTAGCGCTTCACATAGTCATGTTGCCACCCGATCACATGAAGTAAAGACGAAGACGACATAATTTGACAAGATGTCCTCACGATTGCCTTATAAAAAGCAAAAATGACATACGATTTCAGTACGAAAACGAACCTACCCGATGCCTTCCGGCAAATATGCCATCGCTCACGAAGTTGCTGTTGGAGATTTATAAACTCCACCAGCGGTCTTATCATGGCTTAAGATACCCTTGCGAATGGTCCGATGCTTTTACAATCAGAGCAGAATTTGAACATTCCGTTCTGATGTCCATCTTTACTCAATTTTGGGACAGTGTGGCGCCAGCACAAGGACAGTCGAACTACCTCGGATCCCAGCAAGATGTACTCAACACTTCAGTAATGAAATGCACTAGTAATGAAATAATGACCGTAATTCACATGGACAATCACAAACAAATGACAAGACACTAATTATTCACTGTACCTTGATCTCTCATTCTGATGATTGGGAAGGTGGGGAAAAAGCGTGCAGGGAAACAATAATGAATATAATGGCAGAGTCAACAGGTCCTACTGCTACACAGGTGTCCCTCACAGGTCCCTGGTACTTACAAACATCTTGCTTCTTTCACTTTTCCAGATGTACAAAATACATGCAGATATAGCCTACAATACAATTACATAAATTAGAAATAAATTCATGAAATTATACATTATCAAGGAGAAAATTGATGAAACTATGCGAAATTCAGTAAAATTATAAAATGTCCAATGGAATGATTATTTGACTACAATTACCAGACTGATTACATATACATATAGAAATTCATTATATAGAGTCCTTTAAAATTATTAGAAGCACATTTCAACAAATTTGACAATATCTAGTCCTTTAGTCTCAAAGAAACTTTAAAGATGAATGTTTTTCACAACAATGACGAATTAAACAGCCTTCCGACGTCGAATCTACTCGAAGTTAGCAGTTTAGTCAAAGCACAAACACACACAGGTACATGTACACATTGACACCCCATGGCCTGGCCGGTACAAATGTTAATTATTACCAGTAACCAAGAATGTTAAAATTCGGCTCACAAGCAGGCATCTAATTTTGGTTTTTACCACAATCCGTATAGGCACACAGCGCTTGACATCCTATTCTAGGTACATCTTGTACACCATTATTGCAACGTTAGCGTACACGCGTACGTGTGTCGCAGGTCGCACATATGGCCATCTTACGAGGCTACTTCCCATACCATCCATTACAGTATCTGGTTCCTAATTACAATGGAAATTTACGTTGGGCGCCATTGTAACCCTTCAGCTCTTTAGTGATGAGACGACTCAAAAGTTTGGTACTTCCATTTAATCAATAATTAAGAAAACCTACAACATAATAAATACGAAACTAAGGAACTTACTTTTACTTTCGTTGTAGGAACACACGATATACATTTAACTGTCGCGACAATATAAATTGGTTTGGAATATTTGATTATTTCCTAAGACTTACCAGAGACCCATGAGGTACGTGGCACAGCTGTCTCTAAGAGTCTTGATCATGATCGTCCAGCAGTCAGATGGAAAGTGACTGGTAGTGGACGTGAACAGGGCTTTGGTATGTGTGCAGGGTGGCTTGAGTACGTAAATACCCGTGCAACATACACTCTTCATACAAACTTCGTACTAGTTATGACACGAGCACAGGACATATATTATGTACGTAAACATAAATAGCTTAGTGCATTGAGTACATTGAGTACACCCTGTTACATACATGTAACGGACTGAGTTATCACGCTACCTTTTGAAGTTCAAAGTGATATATTTTTAACACTGATCGATTTTTTTCTCTTGGTTCTTGGATATACACAGGATCTTAAATCAACTTTCCCTTCAAATGAGATTTTATTGAACAAGTCTTCGAAGTTCTTAATTTTGCGAGCCTCGGCGGGCAACAATTGAAACTTCAAGACGAGTTTTTTTCTCACATAACTCAGAAATACTATATTTTGACAAGTTTTAACAAAATCAAACGAAGGCAGCCATTTTGTTGGACCATTTTCAAATTTTGACTTAACGTCATTAGCCTTATTAAGACATCACAACCAATTTCTGACTGACGCAGCCAACGAAAAAAATGCTCCAGTGTATGTTAAGCTAGTGTCATATTCAAAATATATCACATGGGCCACTTCATTAGATAACAGGACGTTTTGTGTGATACAGTCGTTTAACCAACGTCCTCCCTATCTTAAATTCTGGGTCAGTTATCTTTTCTGTTGACTTTGACTGATACTCTCGGTGGATGTAATCAGTTTGAGTTACAAACAGGCTGGTCAGGTGTTCATTGCCATCAACAAACGCCTTTACCAAGATGATCCGTCTTTGGAGTCTGGTTCTCATCGCTGTCATATTTAAGAACTACAGTTGTGGTGAGTGGCGCTTATTCCTGGTAATATCTTTATACAACGTCTTACTGTTGAAGGTCATGGCAAATGTACGAGAAAACACCTAGATAACGAGCATACGTGTTAATAATTAGAAAGAGGTGGTTTGTGTTTAGTTTTATTCCTTGCTATATTGGTCAGGCTATCTCAGCATCAAATGTCGGGTAATATTCTTTCACTGTAAGGGATATATATAAAGAGTCAAACACTCGACATTATAAAAAAACATGCGCATATAAATTCTGTTACCAATACACATAGTAAATATGTGTTATTTAGATTGGTAATACTATCCTGACTATCACTACAATAACAAATCCTCAACAAAGTGTAATAAATAAGAAAATCGTTTGTCGCCGTTCTCCAAACTGTAGAAATATGAATATTAGTTGTGAGAAAAACATGTATTCTTGAAATGGAATTTTTTTTTTCTATCAATTTTGTATTTCAAGGCAACTATTACTTTTACTCTTAATTTGAAAAAAAAGCCCACGAAAAACAGAACTACACGACAATAACAACCTCTGCAGTTCTTGCTCATTACCTCTACGACTGTGAATTAGGGCCATGCCGACCTGTTCGTCAGTTTATGTAATCCAGTCATTTTCCTTAGGTCTACCATGTCCTTTAAATTACTATTTCATACAAGGATTATTTTCATTGTACGTTGTATACTTTCGCCTAACCCCATTGGTAATTATGGCAATGAAATAGGTAAAACTATACTTATGGATTTTTCGTAACTGTTGACTTTTGCAAACGTATCGTTTTCTACAGCTAACATCGAATTTAGTCAGACGATATCCGATTCTGGTGACTACACCATCTTGGTCAACAACAAAGTGTGGTTACAAAGCGCACCTGTCTTTCTTCGCCTCAATAATGAGACGGTCACACTTGGTAACTCATCCTTAGTTGTGGATTCCATCAACAGAAACTGTACCCACCAACAGGATGATTTTGGAATGTATGACTGTTCCAGTTTCAGACTCAGGGCGTCAGAAGATTACCTCTTTGACATCTACTTTAAGGAATACAATTTTCCTGCAAAGTTCTTCATATACGAGTTGGTAAGTGTTGCGCTATATATTGTGTTGCATATTGTCGATGTTTTTGTAGCTGTTTAGTGTGATGCCAATAAAACCAGTGGGAGAGGTGAGGGTTATGCAAATGGCACAAGGATTAGAAGATGAGCGTTATTATTGCTAGCTATTCTTCGTAATGCCAGAAACGTTTAAAACGAACTTTAGAAAAAGGTTAGAAAAACACCTCACCCTTTTAGAACACCTTATATTGTTATTCTTGTACTATTTCAGAAGACTCCATGTAAATCTTTCTTGTGTTCATATTTCCCCCCTGCTGATATGATTCTGTTGACATGTCGGTATTTTCCCTGTTGTAATCTATTTTGCGTACTGCCAACAACACCATGCCAACACTATGAGAGAAGGAAAGTCCCTTCAAGGAGGGAAGGGACATACAAGTTGTTTGTTCGCCTCGTTCGTCCGTCCGTCCGTTCCTGCGTCAGTGAAAGTTTTTCAGCGCTCTAGCGGCATCTTTTCTTGAGGGATTCTAAAATTCAAAATTCACACACCTATTAAGCATCAAAATATCTCCGACGTGTCCGAGTTTTCGCATACTGGGGTCAAGATCAAAGGTCACTGAAAATCATTGTCAGCTCGCTAGCGGCTACATACCGTAAGACAATCTTGTGAAACTTCACAGACTTATAAAGCATCAAATTATCGTGGACAAGTTTCGGGGTCAATGTCAAGGTCATTTTACATTACTTTAAGTGTTTCTTCATTCCTCTGGGGATTCTCATCAAACCTCGCACACATTTGAAACACTTAAATGTCTTAAACAACTTCGAGTTTCAGGGTTGTTGGGCTAAGGTCACTATTACTATTAGCATTTTTATCAAACCATACACGCTTACAAAGGACAATTACACATTATTTTTACAATGTTGATGAAATTGTATTGTTACATTCCATACTCATTTAATGCAATATCCATTAAAATTAGTCACAAACTAACTTTATACTTTTCCTTTCTTCAAAATTAATCCCAAACTGTACCATCTAATAGCTTGTGTGAACCAGTGGGGGACATGTATTCCCCTACTATTCCTCAGTATGGTTGATAGACTATGTTACTTTATGTAATAGCGATTCTAATGATGACGTAGACGATAAACGTTGATTTTTTTTCCATGACTTAATCGTCATTGACAATAGTTCACTATCCTATGTAATGTAGCTACTAAGAGACGGCTACTTGTCTGCAGAAGGCCGTAAAAACCGCAAAATAAGTAGAGAGATTTTATTCTTCTCACTGATCAGTGGCACAATATCTTATGCACTATTTCTAATAACACAATTAAGCCAGTAAACATCTGTTTGTTCGTTTGAAACGACACCAGTACCTCTTGTATAATAGTAGGAAGAATGACGCAAACCATTGTTTAATAATCATGTTATTGTAGTTATGATCCTGTTACAATAGAGATATATAATGTTTTTTATCAATATTGGTAGTATTTTCTTATATAAATATAGTGAGCCTACGATTAAAACATCGTTTAAAGAATAATCATTATTTTACTATCTAGGTGTACGTGAATGCCACACCTTGGACACAGGCCCCCGACTGTCATCCCCCACCATGGCCGCCCGTACCTGGGTTTGAAACCTGTTACAATTCTACAGTGGGGGCATTTCCATCGTTTCATGTAGCACAACAGAGTGGATCTCCATCGCTAGGATACATGACATTTGCTGATAAAATGATGGGTGACGTTGGAAAAAATTTTGGACCGTAAGTATACGGTTGTTTACTGGCTGAATATATTTATAACTAAAGTCACGTGATCGAGAAGATCTTGTAAAGTTGTCTGTCAGCTTATGTCGCCAACTGTACTAAACATGTTTAATGAACGACTGCTACTCTATGGTATCCTCATCATATACATCACGCTCTTTACTCCGACACTTCCGTTATTGATTACATGTACTTCAATTTAGAACTGCAATTAGTAAAACACTGATTACATGTACTTCAATTTAGAACTGCAATTAGTAAAACACTATCAGCGTTAGGCGCAACGTATTATGATATTTCGTTTTGTTTATCAACAGCTCCGTTGTATACCATTAATTAGAAAACTGAAACATAGAAATATATGATATTTGATGTATTATACATTAATATTTTCGCTTTCATTAAGAACTGTGCTTTTGTCCTTTTTCAGTTTGCAGAAACTATTTGGGGCTCTCCACAATACCTTTTCCGAGTTGGAAATTGGAAAATTATTACTCTGTACTCTCATCAATAAAATCTAGTGGTTTCCGCTAATTAAAGATGAAGGTTTTTTAAAAACGTTATAAAAATATCATTAAAAAATTCAGGATGTATACAAAAGTATGATTAATTTGGAAATTTTGGAAAAAATACAGAAATACATTATTGTGTTAATGAAGTTAAGCGTCCTCTGTAATAGGGCTCTGGTCGTGGTGTACAGGGGAACATTTAAATAATGGTGTCTCCTCCAAGATACACTACCATGAGAATAAAATGTTAAAAAATTATTATTCCAAATTCCTATTTACATGAAAATAAAAACATATACATGTCTTAAATTATTGAAAACGTACATGTTTTAGCGGTAATACTACTTTAGCACTTTTAACACTGAAAATATTGCTCTGAAATGATTGCACTTATAGTCGCATTTTTGTATCAATTATTTATCATCTCTGCGCTCATTCGCAAAAACTGATTATGCGTTAAAATTTGAATGCGTCAAAATAAGAATTTTTAATGTATATGAATACCTTTTTTGATTATCGATGAAACTTTTCTATTGTCTCGTTAATAATGTAAATGAAAGCCAGTTTTTATCATTGGCCCCTCACCTTTGGACCGCGGGTTCCAAACCTAGTTGGGGCAGTCGCTAGGTATTGGCCGCAGGTTGGTGGTTTTTCTCCAGGAACTCTTGCTTTCTCCATCACCCAAACCTGGCAGGTCCTTAAATAACACTGGCTGTTAATAGGACGTAAAACAACAATGGACAGAACTGTATTGTTTTTACAAAATGTTGCAAGCATTTTTAAACATTTGATAACACAGATGGGGAGTGAACACACCAAAGCTGGCTGATGGTATGCTAAGTGGTCCGGTCGCCATCTTTGACGAGGCGGGGACAACCCTTCTTCTGTCGTCAGCTGACAACTTTATGGCCTCATCCATGTGGCACCAAGACTCACCGGGAGGGCGTGTCAACTGGGGAGTGATGGGCGGGGTGGACTCCATACCGGCGGGGTACTCTGTGAGAACAATCCTCGTACCAACACAAGGCATCAACATGGTCAGTAAGGACTCGTGCGGTTTTTCGTATTAATTCTTCCCCTATAGATATGTCTACTCAAACATTTTTTATACTGGATGTGTTTTTCTTTTAGCATGTAATGTCTACACGTTCCAATATTAAACCTGGTTCCTACTTATTCATATATCGCAGTATTGAAATATGAGTTTTCTACCCACTTATCACAACATTACATCTATATAGTGACTGCATGTCAATATTCAAATATTCTGTGATACATGTTCAAAACTTTGTGTTTAAATGCGATTGTCTTGTGATTTATATTATTTAACGTTGGTTTTTATTCTTAATCTTGTGATTCATGTTCAATTTCTTTTATATTGTAAAACTTGTGATTTATGTCTTTAATTTCGTCATTTATCAAGCAAATCTTGTGGTGCATAATTCGAAAAACATTATTTATATTTTGTGTTTTATATTGTTCAATTTTATGTTTTACATCGTTACAATGTTTTGTTTTACAATCCAAGTATTGTGTTTATATTGTAAAATCATTTTTCCCGAAATCTTGTGAAGTATATTGTAAAAAGTATCAATTTTATATTGTACAATATGCGATATTGCAATGTTGTATATATATATATCTTTATACCAGTATCATTGCGTAACCTATCCCGCATTTTAAAAAGATATCCACCGCCTAGACTGTATCTGATATGTGTTTCATCAGGCATTTGAAACATGGGGACTTATATTGCGCAGCGCCCATCAACATGACGGGACAACACACAGAATATATACGTCGGATACCACTATTAGCCATTTAGGATACTGGACAGACAATGGTAAATAACGTTGTTAATGATATGATAATACAAACCGTACTGGTCAGTAAATAGTAGCTGGACAATGCAGTTACCATACCCTTTATCCTAGAAAGAGTTGTTTCTCTTGGAGCTGAGTAGCTAAACACGCTTTTCTCACCATAACAGAACAAATAAGGCACATTCTACTTGCTAAGGGAAATATCGTCTTTAATGAATAGGTATATTTAAGTCTAAATTGGATGTATCCTAATGTCATTTTTCGTGGCCGATTCAAAGCTGTCTGTCCTTGACTTATAAACAACATAGAAATGACAGATTCTTCTACATTAGTCGACCTTTCCCTTTCAACGAAACCAACAGTTTTCCACCCAACTCTATGCTAAACACGATGATTTAAATTTCCCTACTGTGAATTTTCCAGTTTTGAACAGCAACGTTCCTTTCATCCCGAAATGATGTTTACATGTCGCGGTTTATTCGATATTCGAGGGCTTATTTCCAATATTACGATTTTCGTACGAGATGTCTGTAACTGAGGTATAAATTGACAACACAGGGTTTCGATAGATGCCGATTGATGAAGATCTCTATGTGATTTTAAGGTCGTCATAATGATATCATCCGAAAATATTCTATTTCCGATATTTGCGATATAAAATTGGATTTGTATAGTGCTCGTTGGCGTGCCTGGTGGTTCTACTATTGTTAATGCGTTGAGAACGTGACATTACTTATCTGGATTAACCAACGTTTACGTAGCAGGTGTCGTCGATGAAGCAAAGATGCTTACCCTTCTGGAACATCTGGACTTCTAGTACTTTTCAGTTTCCTTTGTCAATGTTTCTTTTGTTCATATTTTGCAATAGTTTCATGGAACTCGGTTGCTGAAATGTCGTTAATTTGTTATTTTTGTGTTTGATTGTTCTTCAGTTAAGAAGTATAACTGCATTGAAATCTAGTCACTGGTGTATATTTTGGTGCATTTCACTGTAACATAATTAACAATTTTAGGGAATTATAGGTAGATTGTAATTACAATAAAAAAAATCAAAGTCAATGTCCGATGAAAATCGATTTATCCACAAAAAGCTACTGCTCAAAATATCACATGGATTGAATGCACGCATTTAATTGATCGTCTACAAAGCAGCAGATGACATCTTGTCATTCCTCGATCTATACCAATATATTTTCAGCTTCAGCTGCCAAATCTAAGTGGCAGTGGATCATTGATATTGCCAGATCAGAAAGTCAATTAGAATTGCATACTGTATCACCATCAGTTCAGAAGACATACTCCAGCAAACAAATGATTGTAGGTGGATAGCTTTCATTAAAATTTCATTATTTGTCTTGATTGTAAATTAGTGTTCGTCAAAGACCCCGTATACATATCAAGTCAACACGCGCCACACTCTGATGTATTATTTATAAGTTATAACGTGCCTATGAAGGTTGTCCTGTATATTTATACACAGGTCAGTAACAAACCACATTATGTAGCTTGAGCTATACCGAATTGTTTGATTTTAAGTAATTTTATTGAACTTTCTATATTTTATAACTATGCATTTAGTCACATAGAAGAGGTACTCCTCGTGGTATACAGATTTTGGTAACTTATACTGAAAATTTTTCCTGGAGGTTAAACATGTTAATGTGTTCTATATCACTACATATTACATATAAATGAAACTGTTTTTTTCGTACATATTGCCGGTAAGTTTTGTACCTTCCTGTCTTTCATTTTAGAAATTCCTTGTTAGATTCATTCTTAAACAGTTAGTGCTACTTAGCCAATATTTTGGTAACTTGACATGCACTAATCAATATGTATAAAGACTTTTTAAAAGCATAATTTCCCTTATGATATAGAAAGGAAGTATAACTTCCTAATTTTGCGTGATTATCCTCATATATCATTTATTATACCGACACCCGCCCCTTTATCATAATAACGACATATGTGCTATTACTGCAGCTTCGGTCATGTGCTCAGAGAAGAGTCTCGTATATATTTGATGTAGTTGCCTTATATTTTACAACTACTTTGGTTTTTGACAGGGGCGTTCTACTATTACAACACAGAAGACGCGGACGTCGGAAAGAACATAACGTACGAACAGACACTTACTGATGTCAAGACTTATTCTAGCCTTCACAAAATTCCCTACAGGTGAGCACTGACATGAACATACACCAGAAAGGTGCTCATTTTTATCGTTATTTTATCATGACGTCATACTGAGCAGTGAAATCATATTGGTCTTCACATTGCGGTTTTTATTAGTATGGATACAACAGAAAACCAGAGAAGCTCGAGTAATAGTAATCAAGGGAAGCTCCATCATCAGTTGCACTGTAATTCCGTACCCAGACCTTGTCTCCAACAGCCAGCTCTATGATAGCGTTATTCCCACCGTGGTCATAGGTATGCCCACGACCGGCTGCATATATCGTGGAAACCATATTCCCATTTTTTACCAACTGGGTAGAAACATCCTTGCCAGGAAGAACAAGAAGATGTACATTGAATACATACACCCCGGGTACGCCACACAGAAATATACCCGAATTTGCATCGTATTGGTTTGCCAAATTGGTGACGACATGGTCGAATACGATTGCTTGATTGTTTCCGAGATTAGTCAGTATATTACCGAGGTAGGAATAGAACGCCACGTGATTACTGTAGGTCTGACCTGAAGTTAGGACAAAGATTAAAATGTATTTCATCATAATCAGATGACAACAACCAATATTACTGCAATAACGATTTCGTTTTGTGCTCATTGTTGGTCATCCACGGTAGTAACGTGAACTTATCTTTCTTTCCACTTATGTCGATAAGCCAAAGTACAATTGAACGCGTGTTACCGACAACTTCTTGTGCTATAAATATAATTATATTTTACACATTACCTGAAAAATTAATAAAATTAATCGTTTTACATTAAAAGACATGAAGTGTTTTTAAAATGTGAACAATAAACACAAAAAGCGGGATTTGAAATTGTATCATACAACATAAGTATTATCATATATACTTTGGAATGCATAAATTAAATGCTTAAAAATACCTCGCCGGCGTTAAAGGGTATTCTTACTTACCTACTCTCGCATTCCGCTGATGTGTCGAGGTCGACAGGTGGTCACCGGATTTAGACACATTTTCCTGTCGATGTTCGGAGTTTCCTCTCCTGTTTTGTTGAGCCGTCAGGTCATTAATACTACCAATCCCTGTAGTGTTTGTCTTTGTTACGGTTGACGAAGATTCTTGTTCAAGATATTTGGGGCTACTACACTGGGCGTGTAAAATATCCACCTGTCTTTTCAGGTTTGTTATCTCGTTTGCATGACTGCTTTCCTTCTCTTTGATAATATTGAACATATAATCTATTTGATTCTGGAAGTCTTTTTTCAAATCTTCAATCTGTAAGCTAAATTCTGCTTGTGCAAGGGGAACTACACCAGTCACAAGTTCGGTTGTGCTCAGTACGAACACAATAGCACGAAATGAAATACTTAATGTCGCCATTTTGTGAAAAATGTGGCAGCATGACCTTTTTCTTTCTTCAGATAAGAACAAAGTTCAATTATTCAAAGGCAAAGGCTGATAACAGAAATATTCTTATCTTGATATTCAACTCTAATATTCCAAAATACTCTACAAAAAAGCAAATCCCCAAAGACAGCGATTTGGCCGTTTGACGATGTAAAAAGAAGACGGTATTTTCCTATAATTACGAATACACTTGGTAATGCTTGTGTCGTGTAAACTATATGCATACAAATGTTAATTATTCCTAGAAAACGAACATGTTCGTGAAAATTTTTAATCGTTTAATTACTTAATTTGCGACAGGATACTGTATAACATCATGTACCAATAGTCCGTAAAATACTTCTTATGGATTTTAAAGTAAAGTTAGCAATATCTGAATGATGAAGGTGACATATCTGTTATCGAAATCTCACACATAAAACTCTGATGAAGGTGACATATCTCTTTTCGAAACTTCACACATAAAACTCTGATGAAGGCGAAGTATCTGTTATCGAAACCTCACATAGAAAATGTTTGGTCACTGAAGCGTCACACATAAAACTCTGATAAAAATGAGAAACCTATCATCGAAACGTCATATTTCTCAAATCTTTGTTTCAGTGTTTATTTGATACATGCAGTCATCGAACTGGAATATGGTTATATTATTGTTTCTGATATATTTTTTGACAATCACTGCACGTGTTCCTTGTCGTTAACTTTTACAAAATTCCATCCACAGTTATCTGCAGATTGACTCATGGTGGTATTACAAAGGGTTAATGGAAGGTATCAAACAATGGTCGTATAGACCGGATATATTTCCCAGAGGTATCAAGTAAGTTTTGTTTGTTTGTTGTCTTTTTTTTCTGTTTATTTTTGTTACATCAATTGGAAATATTGCTCGTTTCTGGATTATATAATTGTATGACAGATTACCTTTATAGTCTGTATCCATGTAAACAAATTTCGTATATATACACTTAAAAAGATTTAATTGAAAACGAACACAATATCACTATCACATGTACAGATTTAGAAACGGTCCATAATATCTCAATTTTAAAAGAAAAACAAAACAAAGATATGTTCCTGAATAATGTGATAGTGACTTGAAATCTATTTATTTTTTAACAGATTTCTCTCCGAGACAACAGGTTGGCCGATAGCAGCTCACAATAGATACTGGTGAGTAAAGGTGTAAGGTGATAAAGAATATTTCTAACAAACGATGCGATACCAAAGATATTATATATGCATATAAAATCCCGTGAAAATTGTTGTCGAAAGGTATTCCGATAACATGTTATGATTTATGACTTATAAACATAATTGACATAAGCTAGTTAAGATCATGAATGACGTGTTTCTGTATTTCTGAATGAAACTATGAATTTTGCAGAAATTGTAGGAATATGTTATTTAGCGTCAGTTGGCGTTCACCAGTCGGATCTAAGGACAAGTAAGGTACGCAGCAAAGCTTTTGGAACTATTGTGATCGAAAAGAACCCAGATGAATGAATTAGTCAGAAACATACAGTTAAGATTTTCTATAAATAATCTGTTATTCTACGGACAGAAAGTGTTGAAACACGCTTATGATATAAATAACTAAGGAATATTAATTCCTCTTTATCTTAAATATTGTGTGTCAAAATGCTTGCGTTCACGTCGAAGCGGCAACGAGCAATGACGGAGATACTACGATAATAAAACAAGCTATTAGTTTCTGATGCTTACAAAAACAACATTAAAATCAGCACTTCAAAACGGAAATAATTTCGATAATTTTAATTGTTAATGTTTATCAATTTTATATCACATATGGGTTATTATTGATTCAAAATATCAAAAACGTTTTTCATAAAGATCGGACTGAGATCATTGTTTGATAAAGCATGTGCTCGGTGCTTCCTGATATTTTACATGACAGGTATCGTCAATGAAGCAGGAGTCTCTCTCCCTTATGGAACACCTGGTCTAATTCTTTTTCAGTAGTCTTTTTCATATTGTAAATCTTTCATTGAAATTGACCTTGAATTCAGATTCTGTTAACATGTCGGTTTTTTCTTTATTGTTTTTTTAATAAAATCCACAAATAAATGTACATTCAATACCATTTGATACTGGTTGTATTGCCTGACCAACATAAACTCGTTCGAAATAGACTGCTCAACAATATACATTGTACAATATAGTTTAACCTTGCACATTAATATCCTTACCCTGATTCTAACAGTGATAGATGAAGTTTTTTTTAAAGCCAAGTTAAAGAATCCTATCATTGTTTTGCGGATATTAACTACAGATTTATTACTGCAAATACATATTGTAAAAAATGGACATTAATATTGAGAGTACATCATTTTTTCAATAACCTATTATTTATTTCGAAATATCAGAATTTTAGTTTGAATACGGAGAGTATCATCATGCCATGGATGTTACCGATCTACATTTAATTTACGGTACTTACATGTGCTATGGTCCTTTGGCAGTAGGTATACTTTATCTTTTTACAAAAAAAAAAAAAAAAAAATTAACGACTTTGATGGAAACACATATATGTTCGAGTTTGTATTACATACAATAAATTGAATATAAAGTACACACGACATTTTAATTGAACGCCTTATCGACCTTTTATGCTGATGTAAAGATTTAACACAATAGTGCATGTACCTTGTACTTTGCTTAGCACGAGCCAATCTGGCAGTGTTGAGTATGTTTTAAAACGCAGCTGTATTTTTGTGTTAATTTGTGTTTGCTATGTTTAAAAAGGTGCGATTACAATGTTGTAAAAATATTTCAAACATCTGCATAACTATTGAAATTACATAAATTAACGGTTCTACAAAAAAGACAAAGATTAAAACGAAAACAATCAGGATACAGAAATTGTTATCATGATTTGATGGGGAACAATGGAAGATAACAACAAAATAAATCAGCTGGAATGGCTGACAGAGGTGTGAGAAAATAACAGAGGTGTGAGAAACTTACAGAGGTGTGAGAAACTTACAGAGGTGTGAGAAACTTACAGAGGTGTGAGAAACTTACAGAGGTGTGAGAAAATAACAGAGGTGTGAGAAAATCACAGAGGTGTGAGAAACTTACAGAGGTGTGAGAAAATCACAGAGGTGTGAGAAACTTACAAAGGTGTGAGAAACTTACAGAGGTGTGAGAAACTTACAGAGGTGTGAGAAAATCACAGAGGTGTGAGAAACTTACAGAGGTGTGAGAAAATCACAGAGGTGTGAGAAACCAACAGAGGTGTGAGAAAATTACAGAGGTGTGAGAAACTTACAGAGGTGTGAGAAAATTACAGAGGTGTGAGAAAATTACAGAGGTGTGAGAAACTTACAGAGGTGTGAGAAACCTACAGAGGTGTGAGAAAATAACAGAGGTGTGAGAAAATAATAGATGTGTGAGAAACCTACAGAGGTGTGAGAAACCTACAGAGGTGTGAGAAAATAATAGATGTGTGAGAAACTTACAGAGGTGTGAGAAACCTACAGAGGTGTGAGAAAATCACAGAGGTGTGAAAAAATTACAAAGGTTTGAGAAAATCACAGAGGTGTGAGAAAATTACAAAGGTGTGAGAAACCTACAGAGGTGTGAGAAAATAATAGAGGTGTGAGAAACTTACAGAGGTGTGAGAAAATTACAGAGGTGTGAGAAACTTACAGAGGTGTGAGAAAATAACAGAGGTGTGAGAAAATTACAGAGGTGTGAGAAAATTACAGAGGTGAGAAAATCACAGAGGTGTGAGAAACCAACAGAGGTGTGAGAAACCTACAGAGGTGTGAGAAAATTACAGAGGTGTGAGAAACCTACAGAGGTGTGAGAAACTTACAGAGGTGTGAGAAACCTACAGAGGTGTGAGAAAATAACAGAGGTGTGAGAAAATTACAGAGGTGTGAGAAACCAACAGAGGTGTGAGAAAATCACAGAGGTGTGAGAAACTTACAGAGGTGTGAGAAACCTACAGAGGTGTGAGAAAATCACAGAGGTGTGAGAAACCAACAGAGGTGTGAGAAAATCACAGAGGTGTGAGAAAATAATAGAGGTGTGAGAAAATTACAGAGGTGTGAGAAAATTACAGAGGTGTGAGAAACTTACAGAGGTGTGAGAAAATCACAGAGGTGTGAGAAAATCACAGAGGTGTGAGAAACTTACAGAGGTGTGAGAAACTTACAGAGGTGTGAGAAACTTACAGAGGTGTGAGAAACTTACAGAGGTGTGAGAAAATAACAGAGGTGTGAGAAAATTACAGAGGTGTGAGAAAATTACAGAGGTGTGAGAAAATTACAGAGGTGTGAGAAACCTACAGAGGTGTGAGAAAATAACAGAGGTGTGAGAAAATTACAGAGGTGTGAGAAAATTACAGAGGTGTGAGAAACTTACAGAGGTGTGAGAAGTGGTGTGAGAAAATAACAGAGGTGTGAGAAGTGGTGTGAGAAACCTTCAGAGGTGTGAGATAATTACAGAGGTGTGAGAAAATTACAGAGGTGTGAGAAACCTACAGTGGTTGTGAGAAGTGGTGTGAGAAAATTACAGAGGTGTGAGCAGTGGTGTGAGAAACCTGCTTTGGCGTGAGAAACCTACAGTGGTGTGGGAAACCTTGAGCGGTGTGAATAACTTACTTTGGTGTGAGTGACTTACAATGGTGTGAGAAAATTACAGTGTTTTGAGAGACCTACATTTGTTTGAGAAACGTACGGTAGTGTGAAAAATCATTAGTGGTGTGATTAACTTAGAGTGGTATAAGAAACTTACAGTAGTTTGACTTATAGTGGTGTGAGTAACCCACAGAGGTGTGAGAAACTTATAGTAGTGTGAGTAACCCACAGAGGTGTGAGAAACTTATAGTGGTGTGAGTAACCCACAGAGGTGTGAGAAACTTATAGTGGTGTGAGTAACCCACAGAGGTGTAAGAAACTTATAGTGGTGTGAGTAACCCACAGAGGTGTGGGAAACTTATAGTGGTGTGAGTAAGCCACAGAGGTGTGAGAAACTTATAGTGGTGTGGGAAACATACAGTGGTATGAGAAACTAACACTGTTGTGAGAAACCTGCCCTAAAGTGCTGTGAGTGACTTACGTTGGGGTAAGTGACTTACAGAGGTGTAAGAAACCTAAAGTCGAGTAAGAAAACTTATAGAAGCGTGAGACTGCTGTGGCGTGAGAAACTTACAGCGGTATGCGAAACTCACAGAAATGTGAGTGACTTATAGTTGTGTGAGAAACCTACAGTGGTGGGAGTAACTAACTGTGGTTTGAGAGACATAGAGTGCAGAGAGAAATGTAGTGTAGCAAGTGACTTACAGTATAAAGGGTGACCTACAGTGTATAGACTGACCTACAGTGTATAGAGTAACTTACAGTATATAGAGTGACTTACAGTGTATAGAGTGACTTACAGTATATAGAGTGACTTACAGTGTATAGGGTGACTTACAGTATATAGAGTGACTTACAGTGTATAGAGTAACTTACAGTATGTAGAGTGACCCACAGTGTATAGGGTGACGTACAGTATAGTGAGTGACTTACAGTGTATAGAGTGACTTACAGTGTATAGAGTGACTTACAGTGTATAGAGTGACCCACAGTGTATAGGGTGACGTACAGTATAGTGAGTGACTTACAATGTATAAAGTGACGTACAGTGTATAGAGTGACACACAGTGTATAGAGTGACACATAGTGTATAGAGTGACACGCAGTGTAGTAAATGACTTTAATGATTTAAAGTGCAGTGAAGGAGTTACAGTGGTATAACAGAATAATTGTGGAATAACCTAAGTGGCGTGAGTGACTCGTAGTGGTGTAAGTTTCTAATACTCTAGAAATGACTTACAGAGTGACCAGGGATTGTTTACTTACAGTTCAGTAAGTATTTTACAGCTAATTGAGTGATTTACAATAATGAAATAAAAATAACAATTGAGTAGATGACTTAGGCTGGTAATCTACAATGGGGAAGTAGCTTAAATGGGAGTGATTGACATAACTTGAAATCAGTTTTTTTTCCCGCTGGACTAAATTCTGGCGGTTTAAGTAGCTTTGAACAATTCGCAGGATCGATTTTTCGTGTTCATAAATATGAAGTATCACGAAAATGGCTACATGGTTCCAAAATGTCTGACGAATTACTATCTCCGCGGGTTAGTGAAAATTATATTTCTAAATATTTACATTCACGCTGTGTATTCCTTAATTGGCCTTACGAGCAAAATTAATCTTTACACTTCGGTAAACGCAAAGTGTGGCGCGTAGGAAGCCCGACTGCTATATAATTGCGGTAAGAAATAGTGTGAATCCCCTATAGCGTTTTTTCTTTTTCAATTTTGTGAATTAATTTTGTATTAAACTAGAAAACTCAAAGCGATTTGTAAATGGAAATGTGAAGATTTTTTTAAATATCTCACAAAAGTTTTATTAAGTGATGATATAATTGTGGATCTTCTCTAGTTGACATACTTTTCTGTAAAATTGGAATCAGCTGTTTTGCAGTTTCATCGGTTATTTGGTTTTTCCGTCCGTGCGTGTTCACTTTAAAGTCCTATGAATGACGATTAATTGTTTTCTCAGGTGAGTTAACAAAGAAAAAAATATTTCAAAATGTAAATATAAGAAATATTTGTTTCTCTTTTGTTATTATTACTGGTGTGTAAACTGCATTTTGTAACAGGCATTTCAATATGACACGCTGAAGCGCTGTGAAGTATTAAACCCGTTTATACGTTTAATATGTTATCTACATTGGTCTCGCTTTCATTGAAACAACATTTCAACCACAAAAATTGCGACCATTCAAAATACACTTCTAATGCTTTACATGGAGTAAATGCTCTAATGGGGAATTAATCACCTGTAATGTTGTGTTGTAGGTGTCAACTACACATAACACTCCTTATCAAACAGGAGCATGCCGTACGTTACATGTCATTTCATATTACCATGAGAACCAAATTTTCATTAGTGTTGTATTTCAGTTTTGTGTACCCAAGGGAAATTCACTCAAACGTTAATTCAATACATAATCGTAACTTTCATCATGAAGAGTCAGGGCGTCGTCAAGACTTCCACTAACGCTGTTAGTTATATCTAACGTAATACAATCAGCCCCAGGAGCATAACCCGGTGTCAAGTCTAAATCGGAACATAGAAGTAAACACTGATAATGGTAAATGAATCTCCTATATGTGATCCACGCGTGAAAAATGAATCTTGATGCCTAGTCTCAGTAGAAATATTGCTAGAGCGGCTTGTTTACTCGCCTGACGTCAACATATACCACCCCTTCCTACACAACAACTCAATGTTAATCTGATTCACAAAAAAGATTTATATATATTGTTTTATACAAACGAGATTGGTGCTCGTTGACTATATATGACTTAAAAGATAATTCTGAAAACTCAGATGTAGATGATTGCATCACATGGTATAAAGAAGTAGTGATGTAGAAAATACAAAAAAAAAAAAAAAAATAAAATAAAAAAAACTGAAGAACAACTTTTCATACAAATTCAGCATAAGATATAAAGCAGAGCTAATCAATTAATTCAACTGCATCATATAGCTGTTTCATCCTTCTGTGACTCGTCGGCGATCTAAGGGCCTGAGTTGATGAGCTGTCGGTGGAAAATCTAACTGGCAAAGTAATAGATAAAATAAACAAATAGGAAACCAGCAGGAGGCGCATTTATCCCAAATTTCAATAATTTCATTAACTTTCAGTATTGAATTATTTCAGAAGAATGTCAGGTTCCTGTATCTACCACATACAATACCATGAAATACCATGAAATACCATGATACTGAATATCGCCATTTTGAATGATGTTTAAAATGTAACGTAAAGATATATGTTTGTTCGTTGATGAATTGCGGTTATGTATTTTCTAGTATTTGTTTTTATTTAGGTCCTCTGACAATATTTACGACAAAACTAACGGTGGAAATTACACCTTTATCAAAGAGACTCTCCTTTCCATTCCTGATGACCAGGTAAGTCCACACACACCATCTGTTTATTTTAAAATTCTATACCGTAACCAAGAACTCTGCTGTAAACTTACTAATTCAGAAAATTAATATTAGCGTGTACAAACGCATTATCACAATAGAATATACATTCAATATTGAATATACATAGTTACTATATGCATAGTGTCAAATACATCCAGGGAGTTTTTATATATCACTGAAAAAATTGAGTCCATTCTTCAAAATGGCTCTGACTGTTCACGGGGCGATGAACCCATCAAATAAGTTCTTATTTATTAAATAATTGCTGTTAAATAAAAATTTAGAGTTAGATAAATTCCATTCAAATAATGAATTAAAGTCGTGATAACATTAAGTCTTATAACATTGTCAAATTAACTATCTAAGACATTTTTTAAAATGTTTATTTTGTGGTTGCTATACAGATTTAAACTCGTTAAATTCAATAAAAATTAACGTTATCACATTTTTTGTTATTGTTCAACTATAACACTATAACCTATTATCTATAAATGAAAAATAGAAAATAACAAAGATTACCTACTATTCTGAAAAAGTAAGACTGATACGCGAAAATGAATAATTTCCTTTAACACATACTGAAGCCAGCCTGTGGCGGAAATATAAGTGCAGTGGCATGCTGATTTTCGCTTCAAATAGCATTCTGAAACCTAACCTTTCACCAAGTCCCCATAGGAACAAAAGTTAAATGTTTGAATGTTTGGCCACCAAAGCCTTCAAAGTCTCTTAAATGTCAACGTATAGACAGTTAAAAAAGCGAGTTACGGTGCCTAAAGAAACCTTTGACGTCGCAATAGAGTTGTGATATGACAGTTAACACATTGATATTGCTTTACCACCATAGAGGATTATGTTAACCTTGTACACAGGAAAACATCACAGTAAGGTTTGGTACTAACATTATACTGGTTATCAAAATATTTAACTGGAATTGAGCGACGTTCAAAATTCTCATAGGATAATTTAATTCTGATTTTGTAAATATTCCTGGTAAACATAGGAATATACACATACATTGCAATTTTGGAATTTTGCTTTGATTTATCCTTTAAGGCCATTGACATTGAGTGTAAGACAATTCGGCTTGAGCAGGAAATGCTACAGCATTAACTATACACACGTGTCAACTAAACTAAACATCGCTATTGTACTTTTCATATACACTTGCCAATTTCAAAGCAACTTCAAGTATATGCACATATTCTGAACCGTACCACTATTTAAATGAACAAGAACGGGGCAAGCAGGTTCATGTAAACTTCGGGGACGAGAAGTCATCCAGCAATATTCAGTTAGTGAAATCTGCTTGTATTTTTTTCAGGCGTTTTGGAACAACTTTCTGTCAACAGCCAAACAGTGGGGCCTGATTATGTATGAACAGGTAGGTTAGACAACATAAATTAACGAAAGTTAACGAAAAAGTACAGTATATAACGGGGAAATACGATCTTATGTCTCCTTCATATAAATAAACGTGGGAACATATAGTTTCCTCGATGGCCATCTTCTGTCATTATTTCATTTTGACTTTGTTTCCGTTCATGAACTCTTAAAATGATAGAGACCTGGTATTCAGTGTTATTATGATAAGAGTTAGGCCAGGCCTTGATTTTGTTACGGCAACAAGTACTGTCAAATATCATACAAGTTTCTCTCTCATTCCTCGAGAAGAGTGTTGTTTAGACCGTTAAAACGTCATATTTGAGTGAATTTAGAGAGTTTAAGAATCTACGAAATGTCATTTTCATGTTTTACAGGCATCGGTATTTAGTTATGACAAAATACCTGCAGTGCTTACATGTCATACATTTTCTTAAAATTAAGATTCTAACAAAGTGGACCGACCAGATATATAATCACGTATATATTTCAATTCTATGGATTTTATAACTTTAACTTGAGAATCAACTACAAAACCCTGGAGGAAGACATGTTCATTATCATTGCAATATCATATACTCATATCAGATCCAATGCTCAGTTATCTGGCCCAGAGGATCTTCAGTGACATTTTATCTTTCATAAAATTTTCCAACATATGAGATTATAATCATCCAAATAACACATTTGTATTAGTGAGTGAAACTATATTGCCCAGGCGTGCATCCTACACACTTTGTTAACATAGTTTATGTCCTTTATCAGCAATGCAATTGCATCTGATTTGTTTCAATATTGATGACCCTTGAGAGTTTTCATTTTCAGTGTTTAATTTAGTTTAGACGTCAGCCCCGTTCAACCAATACCTTTCAGGATTAGAAAAGTTACAAGAGCACTTATTAAAACAGTAGCACAAACAAGCTACATACTTATCCTTGGTTTCAGACAGGGGCATTTTCTGTCGCACCGACATATGTAGATTTTCATCTAATCATGATGGTAATCAACAAACATAATCTCCGTCGATTTCTGTCTCTTGATTTGTTTGTAACATCCTCCCCTTCCCGTCTCTTTATCGAGCTAAATATTTCCCCACCAATCCAAAGTAATAGTGATGACATTTCAAATAATTGTTAGTTATATTCCAGGTGTACTAATATTCTATTGAAATATTTAATTTTTCTCGATTAGTAGGATCTAAATAAAACTTTCCTGATTCATCGATAGCATCAAATAAAAAGTAATCATTTCGATAATCATTTCGATGCACTTGATATTCTTTTCGTTGTTTTTAATGCTCTACCTAGTGATGTTTCTTTGATCCTATTTTGCGAACGTTTCAAAATATAATATTAGATTCCCACTGTTCTTGTCACATTGTGATTAAGTTAATAATATACTTTATTTCATAAGGATTTCAGAACCTGTTTAGCCGAGGCTAATCTTCCACAGGGTCCTGTTGTTGGTAAAACATGGTATATGTTAAAATACATTATTGTTCACAACATCATTAAAAGATGTTCATACCTTTATCACAGGTACATAATTAAGAATATCACAGAATGCACAAAAGTTCATGCAAATTGTTTGATCATTTAAGGACAATTTGTCTATTACACATACATACTTATATACTATAGTATATAATTGACATAGTTATATGCTGTTATAGCATAGAGTAAAACATTAATGGTATTAGAAGGAAAATCTAAAAATTAATTCGTTAAGATTTCAAATGATAGCAAACTAGCTTTGCTTGAACATAGGAAAAAATGCTTCAGATTTGATTTAATTTAGAAGTTTGTTCCATTCCTGACAGCAAGATACATAAACATGAACAAGGAATAGTAAGTTTTCCTGTGCTTTGGAATCAATGCAATTTTACTAGATACCTGCCCTGTAGACTGCTGATGAACATTTCCAGCCAAAATGAATCACTGGAAAGATATTGTGGTACCATACCATTTATACATTTATATGTCATAATTGACTTTTTGAACTTAATATTTTTTAATTGGTATCCATTTCAAATTTCTGTTGAAGAAGCATCATACGATTTCTCTAAAATCACTCTGGAAGCACACTTTTGACGTTCTGACTGTCTAGAGAAGCTTCAGTAGTTCCAGACCAGACTGTATTACTCCGTAGTAATACTAAACCTGGGCTGATTTTTGAAACAACCGAGGAAATATACGCTGGCTAGAGTAAACTGTCAACAATTTTAGTACCTTTTACCTGGAACACAGGTCCTCCCTTATTGTAAGATTGAGACTTTCCTTGAGTCTCCCAAGATTCTGTTTGGAAGCAATAAGCATACATCTAGTATAAATAGAGTTTATATATAAATAACACAAAACAGGGTGGTCGGGTGGTGCAGTGGTGCAGTTGTAACGCACTCGCCTTTCACCTAGCCGTGCGGGGTTCGATTCCCGGAATGGAGGTGAAAAGGTATGGGGTCACCTGCCCGACCACGTGGGTTTTCCCAGGGTACTCCGGTTTCCTCCCATACTAAGACTCCTCGCGCGCTTCTATTCGAGCCAACAAGAGTGATTGATATAAGTTGGAAAAGCTTGCTTCGCAATTGTTGTAAAATAAAGTTTATTATATTATATAAATGATAACAATTACGCAGAATAGTCAAAATACTTAAACTGTCAAATTTAACACGATGTTTAAAAGTGTATGGACAATTCGTTTTCTCAAATAATTTCTTATGTTGTAGGACTGGCTGAACATTCAGACTATCGGCACCGTCGCCCTCCAGACCGACCTTACCCTTGGTGAAAGATGGTTAAAACAAATGAACGATGCCGCTCAGAAACTCAACATAACGATTCAGTACTGTATGGCACTTCCTAAACATGCTTTACAGAGTTTGAAAAACCCAGCAGTCACACAGGTTATTATGCTTCTTCCGTGCACTTTCCCCATTAAATTATGACAGTGGGAAAACCTTTAATAAAATATATTACCGTTTCACATCAAATGACCTCTCCGCTACAATGTGTAGAAAGTCTCGATTTGTTTTTTAAAATTCATCAGAAATGAGGACAATTTTTAATACAATTTAGCAGGACCTTAATGATATGTTCTTAGTACTGAACATGTGTGTCCAGTGTTTTGAGTGTTTGAAGCCACAGAAATGCAGTTGTCACCATATTTCTGAATTGTGAAGATCAAGTTGTCGGGAAATCATATTGCTATGGTTCATTGTATTGGTGCTATTTTTACTTCTTTTTGCTTTCAGCTCTCTACAACACATGCATGCATTCAGTTCTTATTTGGTTATTTACTTAGAATAAGTAACATGTCTGATACAAAATATGTTTTTCCAAATTTTGTCAAACATCCATGAAACTTTATACAGGTATCTGAAATCTATTTCAAATTCAAGTATCAGGTAGCTCTGTGTCCACATTAAGCGTGTTCAATCTTTTCGCAATTAAAAGTTAATTACCGATCATATAATGATTGTTCACTATTCGTTTGTGAGCAAATAACGTCATTAATCTGTAAGAAAACCTCGTAATTTTCTAATACAAAATAATGACGTAATGATGTAAATACGGATTTAACGATGAATAATTTTACAGGTGCCGTAAAACAGTTATGTCAATATAGACATGTAATGCCTTCAACTACACTCTAAATTAGTTATAAAACTAATTGACGATATCCTGATGACTTTTAAAAGAGTCTTAATCAACCAATCTACAAAAATGATATCACCACCATCTTCCTCTCGCGGCGTTATCCTAAACATCAATAATAACAGGTTGATAAACATTTCAACGGTTTGTCCTATTCCGAGTGATCATTTTTAACATTTTCACGTCATACGATGTGTATAAACTATTTGCATATAAAACAATATTTTTCGATATTTATCGATATAAAAATTGGTTAATTCTTTTTAAATAAAAAGGATAATAACTTCAGCAAACTTTTGAGCATCAATAACTACATACTCATTAGTGGTACAGGCCCTAATAAAACAAACTCCATATTCCCTTCTAAATGAAAATAGTTCATTACTTTCATGTCTACTTCATTTATAATGTTTGGTTTCATAGTTTTATCTATATCTAAGTAACAATGTTTTAGATTTCCCCCGTCCTCTTGAAATACTTTACGAATTAATAACGTTGTAGTTTTATTCTGAGAAATTACTCTTCCTACTTATTCCCACAGAATATTAAATACACACTAATTAAAATTATTTGCTGTGATCACCATCGTTCAAATTAATGAATTATAGTAAACCTTTTAATGCGTATAAGTTATGACAATTGTTTCTTCACACAAGAAAAGCTGTTCAGAGAATTTTTCTTCCCCACTTTTTACCAAGGCTAGAGTAAGCGAGGATTATCACCTGGTTGCTGACCAGTGGAAGATCGGAGTCTCATCCATCTTTGCCAACGCAATGGGCCTTGCACCGTATAAAGATACATTTTGGACATCAGAAAGTCAATTGGGCAACTCTCGCTATCCAGGTAACTACTCTTTTTTTCTTTGGTATGGCGATATTGGTAACAGAGGGTCTTCGATGTGTAGTTAGAAACATGTAGGCGTAGCTTATCTGACTGAGATCATGTTTTGACACGAAGGCCGTTCCTCTGCCGTTCTGGGTACAAAAACTGCCTCTCCAATTAGCCATATATGGAGTCGGAGTAATTCCTGCCTCAGAAAATTTGGTTAGCCATAGCTACTTCCAGTCTTCGGTGAACTCTTGTTCCTTCAATAACATTCTTTTATTTCACTATTATAATCATAATGTTACATCTCAAACATTTCTCCAGTTTATTTCATTTAATATGGGATTTCAGGATACCCGTCTGAAATTTTGAAATTTTGCTCGCACACAAAAATATACATTTCTAGGACTTATTTAATAAAATACAATTTAAAATAAAAACTCATTTGAAATTCTTTATGCCTTAAATTAACCTGAAGCAAGCAGAAGAAGCAAATGAAGTTGTAATCAACGTTAATCACTTTCATGAAAGCCAATTGAGAAGAATTGAGAACTGTCGTAATCACCAAACCCTTGTATTTTGAATTTGGAATATTAATAAAATGATTGAGATGGGTTATCTGATACTAGATTACAAAATATTTTTCGTTAATTTCATTGTATTATTTTCCTTCTTATCCTAACTTGTGCACTCGTATTATACTGTAGCAAAGTCGTGTAAAATTGCTATTACTTGGATGCTAGGGAAAACTGGCCAGAAAATGTTTTGATGATTTATTCATAGTTTATATGTTGATATTCTATCGGGGACTTTGAGTTGTTTCCCAATCCTATACATAATGATATATATTCCGGTATTGATGCGATAGTCTTTTGAAAATTGCTTAATTGACAACTTTGTATCAGTTTTTGGATTCCAACTTTAACTTTCAATAAGATTTATGTTTAATTGTCAGATTTTTGCAGATTTGCCTTCAGTACTTGCAATGAAATTATTTCGTATGTGACGAGAACGAATTATCAAATCATTGTAAATAATTCTGACATCATATTGCTGAGATGAATATCTGAATATCTCTCCAAAACACAGTCCACATGACACATGAATAGAGAATGTGTGCAGGAATTTTCCTGTGGTTGTTAGCTGTAGATTACGTCTGAAATGTCTTCATAGACCGTCTCAATGAGTTGGCTTAATTTCAGATCACGATCAAGGATGACAAACGTGAACTTGACGTTATTCTAGAGTCATCCAGAAATGATAATAATTAATAAAGATATTTGAATAATGGAATAAATGCATATTTCGATTCATGTTTTAGCATTACAATGCCGGTTTTTGTTTTATGAACTCGCTAGGTTTCTTCTCTTCCATATTTTTTTTCTTGTTCTCTGTCTTTGAAAGGTATTTTCATCAATGTGATCATTTCATAATGTAAACATATTGACCCCTGGAACAGATATGTTGTTATAGAAACGGGGTGATAGAATTATCAGAGGAAAAAGAAACATTGTTGAAACCATCTGCTATACTTTTTGAAAAATCAATTAATGAAGTCTGTGTACGTCATCAAAATAAGGCAAGTAGCATCTGCATTATGGTTTTAAGACCCCAAGCATTACTTGCGCATCAAAGAAAATCTACAATGTATTTAAATGAAAGTCTTCATGGAATGTGGTCATCCTGAATATTGATTACAGATGTAAGTGAACCCTATCCAGCCCTTCAATCAGCTGTGTCAACACTCAGTACAGGACCAGTCGGACCAGGCGATAAACTGAATGCCACTAATAGAGAAGAGCTGCTTAGGTGCGAAATATATTTGATTTTACATGCAGCACTGATTCTGGCTGTCTTATTCTCATGTTCAATTATGATTCATAACATTAATTCTAACTGTCCATACCGCATTGATTTCAAACTGGATGATTCACGAGTTTAAGATTTTGTGAATATGACTTCAATTCCAATAAGCTGATTTTTCCGTTTTATCGTCAGGTAAGAAAGCCTTATCCCGATCGGATGACTCCAAAGTTTTGCCTTTTTTATTCTGTATAATTCCAAATCTTTTAAAGACATATGTTTGTTAACCTTGCCTTACATAACACGGTTAACCTGTTATCACACGTGAAAAACACGTAATAATATCTTTTTTATTATTACTCTGCCCTTCTCTTGGCTGACTTATCTTGTCTGGATGTTTTGTCTTCAGATAACAGGAAAATTATTTATCACATCTACATCATTTGGAAATCAAGTAGTCATCTCGTTTACATTAGCAGCTGACCTCGACCTTTCCCTACTATGATACCTACAGGAACTATCAAGATGTGTGAGGATTTTAATTTCCCTATTTTGAATTTTCCTTTCCTGGACAGCAACATTCCTATATTCCAAATTTCGGTATTAACATATCGAAGCTAATTCGATGAAGATTATTGAATGTTGTCAAAATATTTTCATCTGGATGTATCTCCTTGCGCCATATGAAATTGGACATGTTTTATGATCATTAGATTGACTGGTGGTTCAATGATTGCTTTCCTTGCTGTCATATCGGTTATATTGAAACGTGCTTTTCACTTGGGTCTTTTGAACAATATTTGAAACTGCTGGTGGTTTATTAGACATATGTACTTGACGTTCTTCTGAAGTTATCGGACATATTGAACTTACGAAAGGTATTAAATCGTGGTATTAGTGCACTTGCCCATCTAGATTTTGACATTTCGTTCAATCATCGATTTTCCTCATTCACTGCTTCGGTATTAGAACTCAGCTCCTTAGCCTCACTTCATTATTTGGACCAATTTGATCTAATTCTGAATTACTGGAGTGTTTTAATGCAACCTTCACGTTAGTGTATACTTAGCGAGATTTGCCAAATATTATTCAGGCGTTTTTTCCGTTTCTTGATTTTAAAAGTTATGGAGGAAACGCTACACGATTTAAAAAAATCAATATTTTTGCAGATGCTGCAACGATGGCGGTTTAATTCTGAAACCATCTAAACCCGCAAAAGCTATTGATCGACAATTGATTAAGGTAATACATTTTTAGGTATAACAATTTGTCTGGTTACAGGCAAAACACAAAAAGATGTAATGCACATCAAGGAAATTCGATTTCAATTAGATACTTAATTGAATTAACCTGTAATGAACCGATCTCTTGTATGTGTACATGTAACTTTATACTTTTCACATGATTAAGTCTTCAGAATGAATCCGATGCATGTCTCAAGGTGAGCATATTCGAGGTACCAAATCATACTTTTCATGATTAATTAATTTTCATTATCAAAAGATATCAATATACAGATATCTTTTTTGTGTGATCGAAATATTTTTAAAAACTTAATCCTTAAATGTTTCTTCATAAAGCCGTAATCTACATTTAGTTCAAAAACGTTTTACTTTCATAGATCCAAAACAAATATTCAAATTCATGCTTACAAATATTTCAAATTTTCGCGAGGATGCATCATCTACAGATGTAATGGCACGGACATAGACTATCTTGATTAATTCTATTTTCAAGGTGTTTATTTTTGCGACTAAAATCGCGAAAATTTGTCCTCCTCCACTCCATTCCACTAAACACCTCGCCTATTACCATATGATTACTGTATACAGGGATATTTTCGCCCCATGTTATATTCACCCTTGAGCCATTATATTAACAGAATCTTGTCCATTTCGTCCTCTGAGGATAGTATAAAAAGGTCATTTAAGTGTAACAAATTATCGCCCCATCTTAATTTCACGGTCTCTGTTCTTGAACGAAAATAGTAAACATTAAACGGGGGCGAAACTTTCCCGGTCTTTGGTATCATTCTTTATTTTTTTAAACGCAATTGTATTAAACTTCTTCATCTAACTCTAGTTGTATGTCTTTTGTACAATCATCGATATTGCAGGGGGTAGATACTACTGGTTGATTTTCCGACGCCAGGGCTTACCGTTAGCTGCATGTCACGTTTTATTTCATTTGAATAGTGGCAACGTTCAGGATATAAACATGTACTTGACTTTTTTCGAAGAGTGTCAGACATACGTAATGAAGAAATTGGGATTAGTGCACTGTCTCGTCTTTCAACCACTTTTGATTATTGGTCGATCGCCTCATTGGCTTTAAAATGTGGGGTCTATGCATCATTGACTGATAGTTAAATATCAAAATGTTTACCATTTGAAAATGCTTTATGGGTGACAATTTTGTTGCTTTGGACTTTTATAAAATCAATTATCTATGTTCATATATAGATATCCTTCACGTCACTGCTTAATGAATTTGTTAAAGTTTGAATTGAGCAATAGCCTGTCGTAAAAACACAAAGGAAAAACAAATGTCATCATCTTTGATATTGTAACATATCATAAATAAATTTCATTTATATCTGTATATTGCTTTAACCTTTTTAAGAAAGCAATGCCAAGTGCTGACGGACCTAACGGAGAAGTATGGACAACTTATTCGAAGATAAAGCAACAAAACCAAGCACCATATACTTACTATGGTATTCTGTTCGCAGCCAATATGACATCAGACTATGTTATCTATCCTAACCAGACTGAATTTCCATCGGAGGTAAAACCTTCTGTTCTTTTTACATGCCATTTCCTAAACAGTTCTCTTTATGATCTCTTCATATCGCCTTTCAAGCAGGTAATTACCGATTTAACCATTACAATTTTTGTATTGCAGGAAACAGTATGATTTTTAGATAAAACACTGATCAACATTAAGCTGTAAAATCCTTACCAAAATTTAATACATTTCAAATAAAAGAGACATCTTCCTGATAAATTCGCGATAAACGACGTAGCTTTTGATAATTTATGGCTACCCACTTAAGTTTAAATGTTGCGGGAATATTCTAATGAAGTATAAATATCTTTTGTAACATATACATTAAAACAGGGAGAGCATCACAGTTTTCTGAAGATTAAGATTAGGATTTATCTTGACTGCTTTAAGTACTACAGTATCTGTTGATATCTTTCAAAGCAGAGATAGTTAAATTACAATACCGCTTTTAGTGGTTACCTTATTTTAGTGCTTTTCGCGCGAGAAGAAATGCACTAAAAATGATTGGGACAATTACGGTTTCTGTATGTTGTTTGTATAAAGCTAGAGTGAATGCTAAAGTTCATTAATGTTTACAATATATTATAATTATTACATAACGTTCTGTTTACAGTATATTATATATATTACAGAACATTCTGTTTACAATATATTATGAATATTACATACCATTCTGTTTACAATATATTATAAATATTACATACCGTTCTGCGACATAATTACGGCCTGGCTCATATGATTTTGATTAAACGTAGTATAGCATGCTTGGCGGACGACCCTATCTAATTAAGTCTGTTTATAAGCGAAACGTGAAGCTAACTGAGACTTATGTGCATAACAAAGTACGAATCAAGACAAGAAAATCTATGTGGAGACAAATTGCCAGCAACTACAATGTCATATTAACCATACTTTATGTATTCTTAGTGCAAACAAATAATATTTAATCCTGTACTCTATTTCAGTCTTGGATTTACATATGCCATTATAGGCATAAATTAAAATTTTTATTTTGAAGTCAAAACACAATTGAATAATTTTCAATCGATCGCATCAAATCCACAGCATGGCATTACAGTGTAAAACAATGAAGATATTGTCTGGAACCAAATGGTTAACTTTCCAATCACATATATACAAAATTAAGCTTAAATGATGAATATTCTTACATAATCGTGGAATTCATGAGAACTGTCTTTACATGGATCGGTTAATCTAATTTCTTCTTTAAAGATGTTCCGTTTCGTATGCAATCTACTCTATAGCCATGAGTCATCTACCAATTTGCATGTATAAGTCGTGTTCAGAATCATGTCGGAGAACTTTTAAGACTCACTCTCGTTTGGGATTAGAATTCTGGCGGAAGGGGGGCTGATACGGTTTTCTTTTATATACATGAAACTGTATTTAGCATCCATTTTTGAAAAAAACATAGCAGTGGATATTCTATATTGGAAATGCTTTGAAATAGTTGAAAGACGATTTTAATAAAATGTTCAGAAATTGGCGATAACAATACTACAAGTCACATATGATGATATCGCGAAAGATCTGTCATCTACCAACAGGACAGCCAGTCGCCTCCACCCTGTCCTCGCTTTCCAATATTTGACATATTTCACTCATTTTTCAATTTCCGTTATGTATTGTAGTAAACGTTTATTCCACTGCTTTGTGCTATCTTGTTCACGTTAAACAAGAATATAATGATAAAAAAACTAAATCAGATGAAAATGTCCATATTTTAAATCGTCGAATATAAATATCTTATTCATTACAACATGAGGTGAGACTATATCCCTGATGTGTTTTCTAACAATGTTTATTTTTTCATTAGCTTACCTCAGGTGTAGTATTCTCCTACAACGACGTATACAATGTTTCCAAGTTTGATGACAACAACCCGCTTCATTTAAGAAACTGTACGGACGAAAATTTCTGTCTCTACTACTTTTCCACCGTCTACTTCATGTGAGTTAGGTTTAATACTTCGAAAATCAATTATCTGAAATTTTTGTTACCACTATGACACAGCATTTCGATAATTTACTATAAACATATCAATACATAGTAACAATTGGTAAATGTACAAACCTTATTTTCACGAGAAGCTTACGACTATGATATAAAGATTATATAAACTTAGAAGAAAATATCGAATGAATTAATTGGACCCTTTATATTTGCATAACTTTAAAGATGGAATAAGCTACAATCTGATATCGTTTCAGGAATGGAACTACAATTGGTGTATTGGGAGAGGTCAACAAGTGGGTCCCCATGTCCCCACAGCGCGTAAACCGTGTGGTGCGAGGGGAGATAACTGTGGATGTGGTGGTGACGGGGGTACCATTCGAGGAACTGGAGATGTCCTTTCTTATTAACAATCAAGTTAGGAACTTTGTATGCCAACTCGGACCGTCCGGTCAGGCCACGTTTAGCACGTCTTTGAGCGGTTGTACGAGTTATGTTTCATCTACCCATCCCCCATTAACGTCACACGGCCCTGGTAATAACAAGGGGAGATCACTAACAATGCGACTGGATTTACTTTTTGCTAGTATTTTTTTCGTTGTATTGTTTTTACGTTAGGTAGAATTAAACATTCTGCTGATGTTTTGTATAATATTTTTTTTTCATTTAACTTTTTTACGTTCGTCACACTAGATAATTTACTGATTATAATTGATAAATCGGCAATGGCCTTGGTGATAATGTCATATTGTCTACAGTTCATACATAGTGATGTCATACAATATATGGGAACCGATTAATAGTTCTGCAGGGAATAATAGACAGCAGAATGTTCACCTGATGTAAATATTGGTCATGGAAAACATGCCTCCTTTGTTTTTGTATTTCGCTTTTGCTGTAATTTTAATTAATTTCTGAAAATACGCTTAAATATCTGCATCAGTTTTACCAACATAATGTAGAAATTCGTAGAAAGATGTACATCCATGCTAAATAATACATACTTGCTTGTATCGTTAAAAAAGATAGTTGTGCATCAAAATGTATGTCTAAGTACTGAATCTTAAGTCTTTACTTCATTTCGACATACTAATATGCACTTCTAAATATTGAATTGAGATGAAAAACGCAAAACTCTCAAATTATTTTCTTTATCAATTTTTGTTATCATTTTAACCGAACTTGGAATGCTTCCATGCACATATACTTCAAAATAAGTTTGACAAAAGCCGAATAACTGATTCAGTATTGAACAACTATTTCATCATAACTTATGATGTTAACAATTTAAGATGTTTAATTCAAAAGGAAGTAATTATTTTGTGTTTCAATTATGTAAGAGACTATTCCCTGTGTCCGGTGTATTTTAACTAAATATGGTGTTAAAACTATCGTGAAATGCGATGTTTTGGAACAATTGTAATCTCGTCACCTTGTAAGGAGTAAAAAAGTTTTTAGAGAAATTTAAGCAATTTGCAAACCCTTTATTGTAACTTGTGTATTATTATCACCCCCTTGGCAATACATATAGTGAGTTTGGTAAGAAAAATGTATTATATTTATGTCATGATGACGCTATGCATTTACAGTTAATCCTGTAGCTAGTGAAAAAATCCTACAGATACAAAAAGAACAAAAAAATTCCGACAATCGGCTTTTCTTTTGGCTATTTAGATTATTGAACAGTAACGAGCTCTGCAGTACTTCGATGCACTCTGTAGAGCGAGTATCACGGTGCCGCCAAGAAAAAATATCATTTTATGAAATATAGATGTATTTTAGATAAAAGATTGGTAAAATGTTTACGACTTAATGTAATTTCTATCTCTATTATATTAATATCTTAAATGCCATGTTATTTATTTTTTTAAATAAAAATAACGTTCGATCAATTAATGCGTGGAAATAAACATGAAAGTTTTAAAGACATGTCTCCACATATTTTTCTGGTATATATGATATCGATCATTTGAACGAGTTAATGCGGTGATACATGTTTTAAAGATAAGAAGCAAACGATCTTATTCAAATCAAAATATTTAATGAAAAACCCACAAATTTTACACAATGAATGGACTATTGGATTAATATAATCGGAAGTCTGATTGCAGATTTTTTGCTAAGGTATATAATCTGTAATAACAGTGGGATAATTCTTAACGTCAAAAACAGGGTCATGTTGAGATGAGAAGAATTGCATTCCTCGACACAAAAAAGGCATAGCAAAAATAGAAAATGCGTCATATGGATTTATTTTTCATGAGCGAGGATTCAGTGACGTCATGTGACTTGAATGCGTATCTTAATTTGTACACATTTTTGCTCTGGAGCTGCAGTGGGGAAATCTTTCACAGCAATCGCGTGAGCTTCTGCACGGGTAACCATACCAACAATCGTAACATATCTTGGCACTTTTGTCACAAATATTGTGATATCGACAACAGTCTTTGTTCGAGTTACATTTCTGCCGGTAGCATTTCCTGTTTGGGAGGCGGTTCCATGGCTGCCAGTAGGAATAGTACCTGGAGTGAGACAATCATTTACAATCATTTATAAGAAAAGCATAATTCAAAAGTAAATACACTTTAGATAAAAATGAATTGTTATAAGATTATGTATGTGTTTATTAATGCTATCTTTCCGCGAATTCTTCATCTGTAAACTGTTGTAACATGGAAATAGGAGAAGATTTAAACAATGAAAACTTCACATGAAATAGGAATATATTTACAAGGTATACGTATAAAATAGAGTATTATCTTTCTTCATTATTAACTTAATAAGTATTGATTTCCTATATCGCTTTGTGTACTACTTTAATGGATTTATTATGTTACCTATCGATAGCGCTATTTCATTTATATTGTTGTTGTTAAGATAGTTTACGTAAAGTATCATACGCAATGATTGTAACAATAAAATAAAACATACGTTTGAAACATATCAAGAATCTGTTATGATTTTAGAGGAGAGTATGTTTACAATACTTGAGGATTTTACGAGGTTATCGAATAGAAAAGAAAACGCACTGGCTATAAAATGGAAGCTAAAGTTCCTATAATAAACTGATGGGATCCTGTGAAATCGACAGATTAATACCGGCATGGCATTTTGATATGCATTTTGAAGTGCCAAAAGACAACAACAATACTTGAAATGGGTATAACATTAATTTCATTCCATTTATTCATGTTAGTTCATAGTTGATGATAATAAATGCTATATGCCTAGAATAAGTGGAACTAAGAGGCTGGGTTTGGGGCTGGTGGGAGATCTTTTACTACTACTACCAGTAGAAGTTATAATCTCATATGCAAGGGTGGTGAGCAGGTCTTTCATGCATACATTGGTATTGGTGTCAGAAGTTTAATGTACGCTTGTTCAATTAGAGTAAGTACACAGAATCAAGTTAATATTTATATCAAAACCTTTTCTTGAAATGAAATGAAATTAATGCGTATATATTTCGTCTTAAAAAGCAAAAAAATGAAGACTAGGTATTGATGATATGTTGAGACAAAGCTAAAGTCTGTACTAAACTTTCTAAATACAGCAATATTTTATTTGGATAGAGTAATCCTCCTACTAAACGTTTCATCATAGTTACAAAATGACATATGCAACGTTTAAATTTCTTCTTTCAGTGTGAAAATGAGATTAAATTCATGTATGATAGGGAGCTTAACAGAGTTTGCGCTGTTCATAAGTAATCTGCGAATAGGTATTTAGGAACTATATTTGATTGAAAAACGGGGGTTCCTTTGGTAGGTATTCCAATTCTACTACCAAATGTTAATATCATAAAAGGCGTTTCCGCCGATAAAGCGATGGTCTAAATTGGCATTTGTTTTTGTACACGTCAAAAATTATTTTTAACTCCAATTACATTAAACATGCAACACACATGTCGTCTGATGATGAATTGAATGGAACGACTATTTACATCCATTCATATCAAGAAAAGCCGGTATTCTAGCAGTCATTGTTAAATGGTATAATTTAATACGACTACATGCCTTTTACGTTCCGACACTTTAGTTATGTTTTTCGTCTTTTTTTCTAATCATGATGTCGAAATAGACTGATTATTTGTGATCTTTGAAGAAAATGGGTTCATTGATCTCCTTGTTATCGCTAACTCATTTTGGAACCGACAAAAATACATTGATGATTACATTACGGTTGTAATTACGTTTGTGTGAAATGCCACCAGGAGGCGACGCAGGTGTGGTTCCGGAATCACGTGGCAAGATCACTTGGAGCTGGAGTAAAACGAGCCACAAAAACGCATGCAGAATGACAGCAGGAAAATTGGAAAATGTCTGAAGACGACATTGTGAATGAAATATATCTTAAAAGGATATGAAGGGGTGAAAAGAACATGTCTTGTCGTGTATACGAGTATAGCGACTTGCCTGTAACGTTTGCCGTAATAGTTTCTGTAATAGTCATACCTATTTCTGCTACCTCTTCCCCGTCCATAGCCGTAGGACATCATGGCGTATCTGGTAGAAAGAGTAGAGTACGAATGTACACATATTGTCAGTGAAGTAAAACAATACTGTAAATTTCACGCAAAGGAAGCAGTATGTTAAGGCATAATTAAGTAGAAATATATTCTAAATACGAGTTAACAACGGTTATACAATTGTCAAGCGTAAGTGAATTGATCACTCTTATACTTTGCTGTGATCGATTAATTCCTTTTTCATCATAATTATCGAGATAACCAATATTTGTTACTCACAAGTTAAAACACCATAATTTAACACAGGCACGTGGTTTATGTCACCATACTACTGTAATATGTTTCAATCCAAATGAGACTCTTTGGGGTTTTATTTACTGATGGATACTATATACCTTTTGTCAGCGGAAACTGCGTCGTCGAGACTGTCTTCCTCAAGCGATGGATAACCAAACTGATCTAAAAAGAGACAAACAGATATTCTTTTACTCCGATCCATTAATGAGGCCAAGATGTGTTCAGTTGACCTTTATGATAACAAGAGTTGTTTGAGCATTTTAATAACATACTTCATAAATATCCTTTATAGACAATTATGCACACCTATACGTTATACTTTTTATTGTGATAGTCATTTTATGATAACGCCTACTTACATTGTAGTGACATACCTCAATTTTGATAAATAAATAAATGAAAAAACTCTCCATTTCCATTTCTCTGACCCCCAAAAATATTTAGCCACGTGAAATTGTGCTATATTCTTTACGTTTTTCGTTTCAAGTTCTCACGTGCTTAATATTTACAGGCCTATCAGCTATATGCAAAGCTGCCACTGTAACTTCAAAGAATGTTTTCGAGATCTTCCGTAGCTTCCGGTAATCTTACCTTAGGGTGAGGCAGACTTATATTTAGATTCGTTATAGTAAGGTCTAGATAGTCCGGTGTAACAATAATGTGACCTTTTGATTGTCGTGCTACCTTTTTTATGACACTGCAGTGAAATGACGGCGGTACGCATACATGACATAATCATCAACGAGATCAGTGTGAAAACAGTACACCACTTTCGTGTAAAATTACCAATTGTACTTTTAGGAGGAAAACAATCGTCACAGAATCTGACAGCTAACGTGATTAACTTACAGTTAAATGATGAATTAAGCAAACCTTCATGTAGCATTTTAAATTTTTTGAATTTGCTGTTCATTATCTAAAATTGAAATAAATACATTCATTTGAAGACGCCCAATGATATTTCAGAAAAGCTGTTTACATTATTGTATGTCGCATTAAATTCTAATTCCAAGTAACAGCTGTGAACCGTTTTGTATTGTATTATAAAACTAGGAAATCGATTTTGTTATTTTATTTAATGACATTATCAAATAATGATTCCAAAGTCAAATGAAATTAGTATAATGTATATTTTTATTGTTTATGCTATGTCAAACTATATTAAATAGTAGTGCACCAGATATGTATGGGTCGTTTATATAATCACGTTGCACTTTATGTAAGTGAAACGGACATATCAAGGAAAAATGGTCGATTTCTAGTATATGTATCTACATCAAATTGATTGGAAACATACTGACTCAGGGGGAATAAGTGTTCTTTGGACAGAAACTTCAGAGAGCATTCATAACTATGCGATTTTTGATCTCTGATAACGATCAGCCAAGACGCATTTAATTAAAACAAAGAATTTATGTAGACGTTAAACGACAGGTCGGGCTAAAAAGAAAGGTCTAGCAATTATTTTAGTAGCAATTGATGAGGAACGTAGAACGATGAACAGAAAAGGTATTTCCGTAATAGCGAATCTACTATCACAATGTGTAATTTTTACTGCCTGTGGCTTATTAATACCATAAGGTGTCATTTGTACACCAGTCATTTTTAGATTAAAGTAGATGTTTCTGGAATTAAATTCTATTTGCACCACTTTATATTGCCAACATTAATTTGAGTTTTATGATTTTAATTTTGTCATCTGAACGGATTTGTCATACATTTTATTACAACAATCAAAGCACAATGCCATATTAAGGCATCCACTTTTGCTGTCATTAGAGTTTTATTTCTGGTTATTCCAATTCTATAAACATATCATATTGAAGTGATAGCAATGCTGTTTTATATCCCGATTTACCTGCTAATGACAGTCCGAGACACAACACGATGACAAAGAGCGAAGCAAGGCCCAGGTTAACATAAGACATCGAAGCTGCCATGACGGTAGAAAGTTTTCTTTGTCTGGAACATATAAAATATGTTTGCGGTTGATCAAACAAACAAATAACAGTTTTTGTGCATTCCAAACATCACATTCAAATCGCATAAAACACAAAACAAACATTTCTTGAAATGACATACCTCTTGCTATCTCATGCTTGCGTAATTATTTAAGATAAAGCAATCAGTATGTGTCTTAGTGCAAACTATAGCTGGAAGGAAGACAAAAAATGTCTCAAAGCAATTTCGTCCCAGCAGACCTTACTCGATATTGTGTTTTAAAACACAATTTCTTTAATGTGTTTTCTTTTGCTTGTAATTACATCATAGAAAGACAAATTAATTGGTGTCGCATGAGATTACACACTCTCAAATATTGCATTTGCAATGGGTTTTAAATGAAAGTACGTTGTCAATAGTATGCAAGTCGTAATGTCTTCTCCGAAAACAGGTTAATACCAAGGGAAACAATGAAATTAAATTTAAATATAAGATGAAAAGGTTTCGTCATAAGTAGTATAACATACAAATGAACCTTCACATGACCTTAGAAGTATCGTCCATTTTCGAAACGAACTATAACGATGTTAAACAGACTTTGTTGTGTGGTGTCTTACAGTTCTTGTATAAAACTGGACGGCTTCATCAGATGACAGGTTTATGTGCCTTTATTGAAAATACGAAAGTTTTTGAATACACATAAGATTACAAAATTATCGAAAACTTCCTGTAATTCCGTAAAATCGATTTGAGACTTTTTACTTACGTTTTAATTCAATAATTATGAAATAAAGACGGATACGTTATTATGTTGCACCAGAGAGACAGTGCGGTTGCTTTTTGACTGGTGACAAATGGGCATTGAAATTGATTTGACACGAGGGACGAACAAAGAAAAAATGAAACTAATATAGATGACAAAATGCAGCAAATGATTAATCTGCCAAACTTCACGTCTTGTCGGCAAATATCAACCAAAAGTAAAACAACAAAATATTCTATTGCAAAATCAAAACACTATGTAATATATCGTATAGTCTGTATAATAAATACACATGTATATCAGCACATCAACAAAAAATAAATGAAACAATGAAATATATCAAAGCGTCAAAAACAATGGAATATGTCATAGGGTCAACAAACAATGAAATATATCATAGCGTCAAAAACAATGGAATATGCCATAGTGTCAACAATGAAATATGTCATAGCCTCACCAAACAATGAAATATGTCTTAGTGTCAACAAACAATGAAATATGTCATAGCGTCAAAAACAATGAAATATGTCATAGGGTCAACAAACAATGAAATATATCATAGCGTCAAAAACAATGGAATATGCCATAGTGTCAACAATGAAATATGTCATAGCCTCACCAAACAATGAAATATGTCTTAGTGTCAACAAACAATGAAATATGTCTTAGTGTCAAAAACAATGGAATATGTCATAGTGTCAACAAACAATGAAATATGTCTTAGTGCCAAAAACAATGAAATATATAAAAGCGTAAACAAATAATTAAATTTTATCCTGCAACTGGCGTTGCCATTGTCGGAATGCACATGCCAAATATATTTTTGCTGTATTCTGCAGTGACGGAAAACAGCTTTATTTTAGCATTTAGCGCAATTTATAGACAAAACTCTTGCTCTATTGTACATCAGACAATGGACATTAGACTTCTAACAAATACCCGTCTCATCACTAGCTGATCAAATTACATGTCTGAGATATATATATGTTTATACATTGCTATGTAAGATTTAGATAACAACTGGTAATAGAAAGTGTCTGGAACGGTCGTGATCTATATGAACACGGATGTGAATACACAGATACGAAATTCTATTGATATAGTAAGACAAACTGGTATGACATCACACCTTCTGGTAAAAATGGCTTTCATTGAGACTGAAGGTATTCCCTATACTGCTTAAACCGGCAGCGTAAACATTTAGAAATGTCTATTCTTTTTCTCATATTTGGACAGACGTAGTTTCCATGCGTTCATTAATTAAGATACCTTCTTTGTCTAACAATAAATATACATTATATATAACTATACATTCTGATAATGATAGCGACTACATTCCACTGTATTTTAACGAACTGATTGATGCTTATTACTGTAAACTATATATGACTGATGAGTAATACTGACGGTGCAGGCGAAATTCTTTGTATAATTTCTCACGCACTTACATTTACGGAACTATATTATCATATACACAATAGATTCATTGTTTACAATTATAGGTTTGTAAAAATGCTTACACTACAATGAGGTAACATTTATGACGATTGATCTAGTCACTCTAAGTTGAAGTATTTGGAAGTGTAGAAAATTCCTAATTAAGTTCTTAGACATGGGTCTGGGGGTATTCCAATATTTGTTAATGGTGTTATGTATTGGGACTTGCAAATGCTCTTAAGTCGAAGATGATTATATGCAGTTGTGCCCGTTTCTACTTTCTAAACGTATAGCTCTTACAAGCTCAAGCATTAGGATTTGCAGACTCTACAAACTTCAAATATGATATTTACTGAGATACAGAGAGCTGACACAAAATACCCAACAATCATTTTGATGCTCAAGCTACAACGAATGTACGGACTCGATAAACAATATTTGATATGCATATAAATAGAAACTTATTTAGTTCACAACAACTGCAAACAAGCTATCAGTGTATATCACTCACTCTTGTTCGCCCTGATAGAAGCGTGCAAAGGATCTTACAGTCGGAGGAAACTGGAGTACCCGAGGAAAATTGAGTTAGACATATATTCCTTCATATAATTCTTGGAAACAGATGTATCTCCGTACCACAGATAATCGCATCAAATCAAATTTCAGAAACCAGTGTTGCACTGGTGTTGTGATATATGACTGCAAGCTAAATTAGTGTAAGAACATCAATTTCGTTTGTTCGGTTATTTACTGAAATATCAGCCAACAACTGTTGCGAAGGCAATTTCAATTACAAGGGTATTGTATTAATCTATTAAGTATTGACAGTTTGAGACACTGAGACTCCGATCACTCCAATCTAGCTCTCAGTTTATTGAAATGCAATGGAAGTGTTAAAGGCATAAATCTATTGGACACGGATTTTATGCAACAAAGTTATTTTAGGCATATTTCAGTCACGTTTATGGCTTTTATTTAAAGCGGTTTTTTTCTTTTTGAAAAAATGGGGAAAAAATCATTAAATAAATAAAAATCAAAATACTAATTAGCGATTATATTGCGTGTGGTATATCGAGCTTGGAAAATATTTGTTACAGTTTCCTAGCAAAACATCTCTCAATTTAAAATTATGTTCATGTAAGGTTAAGAAGACAAAAGATATGAGTACCACGAAGAATAAAGCTGGTATGATGTGAAAACTCCTGAATATGTCCCTAGTATCACGAATCCAAACACTCACGAATCTACAACTAGGGTGTCTGTTATCTCGAAATAAATGATAACGAATATGTTTCTGGTAACGCAAATATCATACTTACGAAAGTATATCCGGCACCAGGAAGTGTCTCTATCTAGTCCAATCTGTTTAGTTTTTGGCCGAGATATTGCTAAGACACAATCGTCCTGGAGGAAGGTACTTTAATATAACCTGATCTTACCCGATCGAACATTCACTAATGACGTCATAGTGCGCTAGACATGTTTAAGTATGTGTTTTGTCTCCCACAGTCATTTGTCTTCTATGTTAAAAACCATAAACGTCGAGGCTTTCAACTGTTGTTTAAAAGACATCATTGTAATAGCCGTATCGACCAGTTGTTATTTCCGAAAGCTAATTTGTTTTCTTCCGCCCACAACTTTTCAATAATTTACCGTCAGAGAACATATTACTGTCGACCAAAATATCCTAGTCAGGTATAGTTCATACCATACATGCTGTCTTAGGCTCAGATAAGTGTTATACGCATCAGTTATAGTATGTTCCCGGGCGAGGAAATGCTCGCCGATCTGACACCAACTGTAGGCCAATGTAACACCCACAGCTATATCGTAATGGCAGTTATGGAGACACTCTCTGATTAGACGCATGCTTTTCTTTAATTTGAAGTAATTTTTTTGGTAGTATCGTGATAGTGGTATCTTTAAAAAATATCTGATCAGTCTCAACCAATTTTACATTAATGAACAATTTTACATTAATTTCATTAGTGTTATGAAAGTGACTTCAAATATAGTATAAAGCATTCACGTTACTCCTTTCTATAGAACAGTTTTTTACGTTTCCTCTTCCGCGAGTATTATGCTCTTTATATGTTAACCTCCTATGTGATACCAAGTCTTAAGCAAAGATAGACAGAATTTCAGATGAGATGTTTATCCTGTGAACCATGATAAAAATCCATCGATTTTATTATGAAAAAGTAAAGTCTAGAAAACAAAAACACTTTAGTGCATGTTGTCATTAATACGGTACAACAAAGTACTATTTGTTTTACGAAATTGCTGAGATTTACTTATAACATAAATATTAATTTTCAAACGCTTGGACTGTATCTTTTATGAAAAAAATTAAACAAAATCTTTTTAGTGATAAAATTACCAGAAATAATACTTTCCGTTTTATCCAAAATACGTCATCGCTCACAATTTTCAAAAGATATCACAGAAAATAGGCACACATTGGACTGGTTTTTACTTCGACATTCTTTCTCACTCTTTGTAGCCTGGAACACCTAGGATTGGCTACCTTTGTTGTTTGTCGCTCAAGGTTTTGAGTATTGGTGCAATGTGGGAGTGTCATTGAAATATTTCCGCCTGACAAACGCCCATCAGTTTGCGTCACGAACACTATTGAATCGTTAAGTATGTTTTCCACGAATAGAAAGTAGTATTTGTTCATCAGCAGAGTAATAAACTGGAAGTTATACAATGACCTTTCCTACATTCGAATAACAATAACGCCCTTTCCTCCGCAATAATACATACGAATATATCTGTCAATAATGAACACGTTTTTAA